TACGCGGCCGTGATAAGTCCATGCATTTTTTCTCATTACAACACAAACACTCTCATAAACACAACACACGACGATGTTGCAATGGCAGCACAATCTTCTCGGATCTTTCGCCTCGTTCCGTTGTGACACTGTAGAAAATGCACAAACAATAACACAATCGGCGCATATTCACACACCACGCATTCAGAGACCGGAAACGAGGCGTGTTGCGTTGCGCGTTGCGTATGCGGTCACGAAATATTGAAAACTGGTAAAGTTGGTAAAAAAGTGAGTACAGACGTTACACATTATCGAAATTTCTAGAATATCGAGTGTATACGCTTCGCTGAATTTATTAGAGTAATGAGAGTAGCGATGTTTGATACGTAATCGTATGGAAAAAGAGTGAAGACATAGTTAATGTTGATGATCTTGCTAAAAATTGAAAGAAAAACTCATCTACAAAAGATTTTCCGCCCTTTGTTCTACTCTCATCTTCATTACTCATATCAGACACGTTCTTTTCTCGGGGAAAGCCCATTGCTCACTTCTTTTTTTATAGAAAATTTTGCATCTGCGTTTCACAAAAATAATTTGTACTCTGGAATGAAAACACTTGTAGCCACAATTTACAAGAATGAGATCATTACTACATCACAAATTCAGTGAGTGTGGACTTTTCTTGCTACCTTAGGAGCAGAAAGTCTCAAAGAGCTCAAAGTCTGCCACATGTGGTGGGCATAACAAATCAACTCAATGGCTTTACTGTATAAACTTATAATCATACTTTTTACTTACAACTTTTTATTTCCTCAAAGCTGGACCTGATATCACCGCATTTTTTAAGATGCGGTGCTTGAATCTCTCTGTGATATACTTTTCGTTTGCTTTTATGTAAAAAAAACTTCGAGATATCTTTACGTGGAAAAATTACTCCATAAAATCCAAAGTTTTCCTGAGAAGAATCTCCTTTGTGCTTGAAGCACAACCCTTCCAGAATGGTCAACTAAACATTGCCTAAGAGAAGCCCTATCCTTTTTCAGAATATGTTTGTCACTTGAGGTCACTTTGTCACTTGTCACTGTCACTTTGTCACTTGTCACTGTCACTTTATTGTAAGGAATAAGGTTAAATTATTGATTGCTCATCTGAATGAACATTTTGGGGAGCAGGATGCATGTTCACTCCGCAAAAGTAGTAATTTCAGAGAGGAGAGCAAGTTTTTCATAAAAAATGTTAGCTGGCACAATTTTGGCATAATTTTCAGTTTATTATGTTTGGATTTTGAGGTACATAACCGCCTTCACAAATTTTTAGACTTAACTGGAGCCGATTCCCCTTAAGTAAATGTTCGCCTTCTTACACAACCATTGCATCATACTATCTATAATTCATTATTATCTACTTCAAAGGATTATGACGTTGTCTTCGTCATTCAATAGCTTAACACAAATTTACAAACTCCATTTTTTCAAGTTCTGAAAAGTCTGAAGCTTTGAAACTTCCAGTACTGCAATGTGTGTGTAAGCCTACACTTTCAAGCTCTATGTTGCATCTTTATCGATCCACAGCCAAAGTTCCGTCCTTTTTCGGGAGCCACAACGAGGGTGCATTGACGAAGTTTTAGGGAAAGATACAAAAAAACTATCCTATGCGACTAGTGCACACGAAACAAAAGAGGGAGGAGGGGGAGCTGAAGAAGTGGGAGGTGCGCGTTTGCGTCTCAGCGCGCGCGCGTGAGACTTTCGTTCTGTATAAATTTACGAACTCTACGGCTTTCTGAATGCAGTTCAATCCTGCTTGTGGCTATTTCAAGTGCTTCGCATGTACGGTAAATATACGGTAGAAGAAAATGAATAAAAATTCTCTTAACCCATCGACGACGCCTAATTTTGCATGGGCGCTGCGGGATGACGCGATATTGCACAACGTTTTGAGTTCTTATCTTACAAAGTTATTTACGAGATGTAAGGTTGTTTTGTAAGCAGCTATAAACATTTTCGCGGACAACGAGTCTACCAGTTCCACGAGCCCCATGAACTGCCACGAGTACAAAAATCAGAAGAAACTAGGCCCGGAAAGGGTATATTTTTGCAAGAGGTGTGGGCCACCGGTGTCCAAATCGTTCAATGGGTAAACTTGTGTCTCTATTCGGCAGATATACCGTCACATGCAAAATAAAGTCTTCTAGACAGCAAGTATCTTTGATATCACAAATTTTCAGCACTCTTAAAGATTTGCACAATACCTTTTGAATTAGATCCTTTTCTGTTTATTTGGCCCATAAAGGCTCAAAGAATAGTGAGTTGTAGCAAATGAAAGCGAAAAATATGATCATCGTCATCTGTAGTAAGCAAATTGTAGCAATTGTAAAATGAGTGCATTTTCTAGTGGTTCAAAGTCTTGGAAATCGTTTTTCTTTTCTTTTCGAGAGACGAAGTGATTCCAATCTATGTAAGAGGTTAATTCTATTTGAGTTTCTTGGACTTTCGTCGGAGTTCACCCGTTCCAAAGTTTTGTAGTTTCAGACTTGTGCTGGTGCATTTACTCAATAAAAACTGCATTTATTCAGCTAATCTTAGAAAATGCGCAAAAGGAAATGCTTTTGATTCCAAGTAGGTGTCGTGAACCTAAGAATTGTATAGCATCAAGTGATTTCATTACTTTGGTTCTACACGAAAAGGAAACTACGAAACTTTCTCCTTCGCCAAAGTATATCCAAATATCTAATCTAATCTAATATACAAAGAATCGTTAGGTCAGTTCAAATATCTTCCAACAGCGGAAACCCCGGCGGGTCCCGAAGCGAACGCTTTTCCAAATAGCACCTTTAGATTACTGGTTCACTAGTTCGTAAGTAAGCACTGTGTTGAAGCTGAATATCAGATCAGCCCAGGAAAAGTCGTAGATGGAACAAGAAATAGTCAGGGAATTGGTTTACTATAGGAGAAGCCTTTCTCTCTAGAAGGGGCAAGGGCAAGGTTATTCTTGTTAGTCAGGACAATCGCTACGGAACCTAGTGGAACTGGTCCTTCTCTATGGTAACTTTAACCAAATTTGGTCTAGCTTAACCATGTTAACCGTAAAATTTTCCTACAAAGGGAGTTGCCCAGCTAGCCGAACTCGGCGAAGGAAGGCGAAAGGGGCACTCAAGTTTTGCCCCGCGCAGCTCGTTCCCTCGTTCCCCGGTTTTGACAAAGTTTTTCGCCCTAAAAGAGGTCCGCCTTCCACAATAGTTTGTGGTTGCACATAGACGCCTTTGGTTTCGTTGATTAGTCACTCGAACTGAATCATTTCGCCTTCTTTCCGCTCTGTGCTCCAACAACTCTCTTCTCTCTATACGTGTATTTCTGTAACGCTCGAGATGAGATGGTTGTGTGGGCCTGAAAGCAGCAAACTATGAGCGCTTTTCTACGCTCCTGTACTCTGATGTGTGTGTGTGTTTGTTCGTTTACAAATGTGATTTTTAACTGTTAAAAATTGTCGAGAAGCGATTCGAAATGCTACGCTACAGCCAATGACAAATCGTCGACACTCACGAGAGCTAGAAGCTGCCGCACCAGCTCTTTTTTATATCGTCTTTGGCATGCTCATCTACTAATGAGGCCACCTTCCCTTTTAATTCATATTGATCTCGCGTAGTTAGTTACTTCTCTTCTATCTCTCTCCTATCTACGTAGTGAAGATTTCTATTGCTTATTTCACAATCTTCTAGAAAAGAACTGTAACCTGAGCATTCTTTCTAGTAACGGGGGTATTATGATAACAACAGAAAATCCTAACTACAAGCTTATTTCTGATATCATACAACGGGACACGTGACTAGAAGGGATAGTTCGTGATAGGGATAGAGATAGGGATAGAAACTTTTCATTCGAATGGTGTTACTATATAGGCTTAGATAGAAAGTTCTTGATAAAAAAAAAACGATGGCTAATAAAGGAACTCCCCCACAATCTTGATTTAATAAATCACCCTCAGATCTGCTTGAGCAAAAGTAGCAATTATCTGTAGAGAAACTTTCCTATTTTCCTTATTACTTTCTATTTTACCACATTCAAGTAAGTGGGAAGTTGCCTGGACTTGTGCTTCAGAGGACCAAAATCGTGTCAGTACTGCAGAGGTAGAATAGCACTGAAAGCTGGTACTTCTAGGAAAAGGAGCTAGAATCGTTTAGTCCAAGTCTCTCGAGCGATAATAATATATTTATAGAGCTTGAAATGATGCTAAAAAGTATAACATTTTTATTGAACGGTGTGACTCTCAATAAATCTCGGCTTGAGAATAATACTTCATTTTCTCACATATTTGTTGGATCAAGTGTATGGCTCAAAAGAAAGAACACAGTAAATCATTTTAAGCCATTTGAGTAAAAAATACAGAATTGTCATCCCTTTCTCATTTTTCTAAAAATTTTCACCGAATCCATATCCAAAGAATATTTTGAAGAATTGCGTTTCCCAGAATGATGGCCGTGCAAAGATCCATCTTCCGCAATTTATGTTGAACTTTCTTGAACCCTTCCACCACTACAAAAGTAAAACTATCATTTTTATATCTATTTATCTTCTCTAGCAGCAAAAAGGCGATACAATAGAGCCGTAATAAATCTGTTCTGTTGCAAAACTCTGCCCCTTTTGCAACGCTGGTTCCTAGTCGACCCCCTTTGATCATTTGTTCACTGCACACCCTACCCCGTTCCATTTGCTAAAAATTCGTTATCATTGGTATTGGTGGCGACGTGCTTACTTCCAGAAACGTACCTGAGGTGTTCTCGCCATTCGTGTCCCCCGTTCTCTTCGGGTGTACCATATTCTCGTTCACAAAATCACGATTTGTGTTGTCGATTGTTTCATTTATTGCTAACGCACATTGTGGTGTTCAACACACACTCACAGCAGCAGCAGCAGCGCTACCGTACCTAGTCGAATCGAGCGCGTTCGTACCGTCGTCGTCGTCGAATATCTTTTGCGTTCGGTTTCTGTATCGCTGTAAACTCACTCTCGCTCTCTTTTGACGAGGTTTCAGGTCCCGTTTAGGGGGACGATGACGCTATTCTGCTAGTGCTGCGCCAGTTCTGATGCAGCAGCAGAATTCGCGACTGCAGGTATGCGCAATTCTTTTAAGAAAACTTCAGCTTTTCCTTCTACCAGACCTCCTCCAAATTCTTAATTAATATCCCAATATATCCATTTAGGGATTCTGCGATTTATTTGATATTTATAAATGGAAAAGCAGGAAGGATCGCCTAGTCAGGTGCACACTTTTCCTTTTCCATTCAAATTTTTTTTCTTTCTCGTGCAACTGATTCATCTCACTCTCTGACATAAGTGTTCACTCAACTACAGTATAACGAACGTTGCACTTCTACTAGTAGATTGTATTCAATGAGCTTCCACTTCAGCACAATTCCGTTGAATTTTTAGCATATACTTTAGACATTAGCCCTAATGCAAATTTCAGGTTTAATTCGTGAATCGCTCATTTTTAATGTTCTTTTATTACAGGCAACGGGTATAATCTTCCCTACGAGTCAGCGAAGTACAGTAGATGAACCGCCGAGTCAGAGCCGTACGTAACCACAATTTTCCTCAGTACTTATTCCAAACACTAAACTGAGAAAACCTTGCGAAATGGGCTGATAAAGCTCTGAAAAATATTAGCTGGGCTCCCATGTGGAAAACCTTGAAATCCGTGAAAGCGCTCAGTCACTCAAAGTTCCTAAACCATGTCAGCTCTAAAAATACATTTACTACTCTTTAGCACTCCACCTTACTCCTGTCAATCACGAAAATGTCGTATATGGCAAAACATAACTTTTGTATCTATCATAGGACAGCAGCTAACTCTAAAAGGATTTTAGATTTGCTGAGGCTATCAGCTTATGATGTAGCTAATATCAAGATACCTTGATTCAGAAATCTTCCAATCATATCTTCTGTTCTTCTCATAGATAGCAGTACTGTAGCTCAATTCTCACAAACGTTAGCGTTGAATTAGTAAAACCGCACACAATTTGACAAAAGCAGTCTTTGGTAAACGTTTACCATAAATTCAAAAATAATGTAGACAATCGGCATCAATGCTCCTAACAATATTCTATATGTTTTAAAGCTGACTATTGAACTTTCAAAGAAAAATTTGTTTTCTGACGCCTTCTGAAGAACTTAAGTCAGATGTGAGGAACAAGCTTGAGAAGCGTTGTCGAATTTCTACTCACCCACAAACTCATGAAGTCTCAAAAATGGTTGTAGAACTTGCCCGACAAGGCTTATTTATAATAGATATTTGAAATGTAGTATTGCTATCGTGGCGACCACAATTTTGTGGTATGTGTGATATTTGAAGAATGTACAAAATTTGCTCAACATTACATTTGTGTTTATATTTGTAATGTTTACATTTGTAATTATATTTATTGCACGCGAAGTGCGCAATTACAATCAGAATACACAAATAATAATTGCAAAAGAGAGAAGAACAATGACTGTTAATATGGCAGAAATCTAGAGCCGTTAATAAAGAATAAACAACATAAATTCGAAATTTAGTGAAATAATCTAATACAGTATCTTGACTCGCCTCAATGTGATTCCTAGCTATTAGCGCATGTTGAACAACATTTTTTTTTTAAATTCATGTAAGTCTCCAAGATTCAAATTGACAACTTAGATCTTCCGGATTTCCGTTCCGTACTACCTTTACTTTGCCAAAGGCTGGAAGGCGACAATTTTTTTTCGACATTTATTCATTTATTTAATTAATATTAATTATAATTTTTAATCATTATTCATTTATTTATTTACGCACTAGGCGTGCCACAACTAGAACAAAGTATGGAGGACGTAACCAGCAACAGTTACAGCAAACAAAAAACATCCAAGTCAGCTCAAGTCCAGTCACCAAGTAGTTTTGAAGAATAATATGAAATTAAGCTTGTATGGGTCAGGTACGAAATTTTAACTTGAAATAATGGCGTAAAGACTCAATGGAGTCTGTCCCATGCCCCTGTTTGGCAGAAAAGGAGTGTAAGATATATGCTTTAGATATTCTCTCTTGCCATATGTTACGAAATTTCAATCTTTGAGATAACTTTCTCTAAAATTAGCGCATCCTAGAAGGTGAGCCGTTTTTCCGAAATTATCTGAAAAGTTCTGAAGCACTGAAACCTCTAGAATGAAGGCGCGAATAGGCGAGAGCTGTTCTTGCTTGAGCATAGACCAAACGCTTTGGCATTTGTCGTATCAGAACATTTCGGCGACTGAGACGTTTTTGAGGTTTGCACGTGAAATGGGCTGGCTGAATTTTGCCATCGAGGGGGCTTGCAATTTTTCACTTTGTGTAGTCGTCCGTCATTGATTGCAGAGGGGCAGAGAGAGCGGACCCGCCGCTCTTTTCCATAGGTATAGGGCTGGTAAGCGTAGTAGTTACACGATAAAAATGAAACCAGAATTCGGCACATACGGGTATTGTCGTCAGAGACGTTTCCTGCTCATTATATACGGGTTGTATGAGGGGTCGGCGCAAAATTCGACAAGGTTTCTGCCTGGTTTCAGATTATCATATAATCACGTGTGTATATCGTATAATTTCTCCTGCTCTTCTTTTTTTAGTGGAGCTTACGCCGGCGGCTGTGAATGCGTTTCGTTTTCCCACTACATCGTCGCTTTTCCCTAATGAACTGCTGCGAACGCTGGGCGTATCGCAACCTTATTCTCCTAGTAAGTTCACATTTCATATCTAAAATATAAAGAATCGTAACGCCATATAAAAAACACCAAATAGTGGGAACCGCAATGCGGTCCCGAAGCGCGAGGATGCAAATCCAGAACTTTTAGTTATTGGTTAACTAGTTTTCTGATAATTTCAGTATTAGCAAAAAAGTTTTGGTCCGCGAGCACGCTGCCAGTATAGGTCGGTATAGCGCCCAGACAATAGCTGGAGATCGCCATCCGAAAAACATATGACTGATTTCTTGCACTCCACTCGTAAAAGTTTTGAAAAAAATGTTCACAAGCTTTTGTAAGGCCGCTTGTTGATTTTTTATTTCGACAAAAAAATCAGGTGTCTGAAAAAATCAGAGAGAAAAAGGGATCAACTTGCAACATCGGAAAAGCGCGTTCTCAGTTTCCTAAAATTCTGCCAGCGGAGTGCGAAAATTCAACATTTTGACTTCGGATTTCCAGAGTTTGTGTGAGAAGCCTCTTCATGGTTCTTGGCTAAAGTCCAATGAATTTTTTTGAAGAAGTTCTCCTCGGTGATTAGAAGAGCAAAAAGGTTTAGGCATTCAATCAAGAGTTTTGGCTTCAGTAACCAAAAATATCTGAGTGGCATTCATCACCTTGTTTCAAAAAATAATTTTTTTGTTGCGAACGAGACAATCTGAATCGCTGAGTGTATGTAATAGATCCAGATGACGGGAACTTTCTTTGTTTGATTTGCGCCAGCTACAGACTGGCCCAAGGTTGGCCCATACCGTATACCTACCGTAAATCCACGAAAAATCCCTACAGTGCTTAGTGAACGCCATTCCCGTTGTCGGTACACTGCGAAAATCCTGATGAGCGAAATTTCGGCGAAATCTGGGATTTTGTGTTTACGGGTTGTATAAGATGAACTTGCGCCAAACCTTTATAAAAAAAAATTTGGAACAAGTCCAGATATGGCAGACGACTCGCTCAAAAAACGATGCAAGGTGCTCATATCACATTTGCACAAAATTCCAAATCCGATCTTACGAGAAATGGCTGTGTGACGGTTCTGCTCTCGGGACATCTAATTGACGTCTTCTCTGATCGGTGCAAAGTGTTCGTCACACAGCGAATCCGCTCTAATTACTGTTTTATCTTTTTCAATGAAATGCATAGCGGCAAAAATACTCCAAATCGAGCGACCACCCATGTCTTTGAATTTCAGGTCTTGGTAACTTGGCTATACAGGAAAGGGACGAGGCGAGCTGAGGTGATTATCGCCTCAGGACCCGCATATTAGCCAGTAATCGCGGGAGGGCGGTAGCGCGCTTATGTCCATTTCGAATAATGTCCCAATTTATGCCTTAGGCTGAGTCCAAATTTGTCTGCGCCAGAGCTGTGCCGCGCTGGGACACGGCCTTCAATGGATCATGACGCGGTACTTCCATGTGCGGGCTTTGACGACCCTGGCACGGCGCTGGCACGACGCTGGCACATGGGCGTCTTTGAATGCAGCCTTGGCTATGCTAAAGCTTCAAAAAAAACCCTGCGAACCAGAGCATATAGACTAAGCAAAATTTATATTGTCAGATGCGGAGGAAACACCTCCACCAGTGAACCTTCATGAATGGCTTGGCACGCGGGTATTGGCACGGGTCTCCAGTGGTGGTTACCAACCAGGCTCGATCAAGAATGTTCATGACAATAAGGATGTGGTTGTGCAGGTAAATAGTCTCTAGAATTTTGCAGATACTAGAGGATAAATATTTTGTAGTTTGACGATGGACAAGAATTAAAATTTGACGATGTGATGAACGAGGCCAACTCAAATCTAATCATTGCCGATCAAGCTCCAAGTGCTTCCATGGTTAGCGATTTCAATGAGATTAGTATATTAGATGGTGCTTTTGCCTTAGTTTTGAGAAAATATTATTTTAGTAGAAGCTTTACTCAAAGCCCAAAGTTTCATTTTGAAAATAGGACCAAACAAATCGTCAAAGTCCTTGCGTGAGGCTCACCCTTTGAATCAACTGTCTTGGCGACTGGAAGGCGGGGCTTCGCGACCTAATTAAAGCTAGCTAATGATCAGAGAGCACGTGCGCGGGAGAGACGTAGACTGCATCGCGGGCGCAAGCGGCCTTAATCAGGTCACAAAGCCCCGCCTTCCAGCCGCCAAGCCTGTTGAATTTTAATCAAATATTACTTCAATTTATCTCACCTCAAAGCCATAAGAATTTTTCTTGAATTGAGTTTTTTAAGATATTGAAGGTTTTAATTTTCTAGATAAAGATCAAAACGATGGTTTGCGTGCGATTACCAACAGATCAGAACGTGTACCGAACTGGAGAGCTTATTTCGATCTCAAATACTCCTGCAAAATATCTGGTTAGTACTTTTGCAGAAAATAACGTTCAGAACTAAGCGAACTAAGCACAAAGACTTCAAACTTGTCTAAATGTTCGAAGAATGAATCACATCACAGCAGACGAACAAGGAAGGCGCCTATGCAGCAAATTTCTCTCATATTGTAGATACATAAGTGGATCACTCAGCTAATTATGTTAAATGAAACTTTATTACAATCATAATGCGCTACTGTAAGCATAAAAGAACACTATCTTCTCTCTAATATGCTTTGCAAGTAAGTACTGTACAAGGAAATTTGCAATAACGGAAGTTCAAGAAATGAATGACTTATAAGCAAGTCGTAATCTAATTTGTGATTCTGCACACTGCGCGCGACATATCACGACTACTTGTTTGATAATCAGCAATTTTGATTATACTCCTCTGAAACGATTAGTTACTCCTGAATGCATCGTCGAATCATTTTGTCAAGTCATTTGTAATTTGATATGCGTGCTGCACACCATGCGCGATATATCACGACTTATAAGACAAAAACTCTTTGATATCCAAGGACTTCTCCTCATTTTTTTTCTTTTGGTTTGATCGAATATGCATTAGGTAATGTAGACCTTATCATAGTTTGTTCCGCTAGAAACGTTATACTGACAAATTACTAGTAAGAAGTTGTCGGTTGCAGCGCGCGGTCTGCAAACTCACATATTATGTTGCGAATGAATCGCGCATACTATTCATATATCAAGAGGGAGATCTTGGTGAGAATTTCGATACTGACCATCTACAGGCAAGTAAGCTGAGAAATACCGAGGGTAGGGGAACGAACCCGCCACTTTCAATCCGCCTCCGCTGGCAACTGGTCCTTTTGCAATGTTGTTGCATGTCGTTGCAGGACCACCAGTAGTCCGCGGAGGCGGCCCAAGGCGGAGTTCGTTCCGTCACCCAAATACAGATCGTGTAGTGTGAATGCACATACTACATTACCAATAACCCACCTGAAAGCTGATCCATGATGAAAGCGCTCATCTCATCGGCTGCGCACCGCTCGTGTAAAGGGTGACCGCCTTCGTCTTGTAGTTTTACATAGGTTACATTGCTTGACAATTTCTCGGAAAAATGCTCTAGGTGCGGGTGACTTCGTCAGAATGCGACTCATCGGTATCTCGCGCAAATCTTCGCCTTTTACGGCCACCATGGTACGAGGAGCTGATGGCAGTGCTCGAGTCACGACACAGTGATGCTGGGTGAGTGAACTCGTACACATACGAGTCGGCTCGTATTACTCTATTTGGAATTTTAGTTCTAGCTCAACAACTACACCGCAATCAGTGTTGGCGTCACCGTTAACGGCACCGTCGACAAACGGTATCATACCAAACTTACCGTTATCACCCGAGAGCATCATCACTTTACTCGCCCTAAGGCAGCAGCACATGCAACAACAGCTGCAAGCTCATCAGAACAGGTAAGCAAAATTTGGGGAGGGGGGGGGATAAAAACGAAAGTTTTCTGCAACGATACCCTGCCAGTTCCTGCTCCCATTCCCATGTCGTGTTGGGACCATCGCAACATTCCTTTTACGCACGTTTGTTTGCGCGAAATTTGAATCTCTATTTTCCGCAGCACATTCTCCGCGCTCGACTTAGCCTACCGTATTCGTTGGGCTAAACGAGAACGGCAATTGCAATTTTTCCCTATTACAGTCTCAACGAGCAATTACCGGGTTCGAAAAAGTCATCAGTTGTTGGCAGCGCCGATTCGGACGACGATCAAGGCACTTCACAACAGGTGTTTCTGTTTTATACTCTTTCTTTGGATGAAAGCTCGTTTATAAGGCTGAGAACAGAATTAACATGTTCAACAGCATTGATTTGCCTCAGTCTCTTTCAAATTAAGGTTACGGGGATGACTCGTTTGACTCTTGAGTTGTAGCTAGAAAAAAGGCGATGCATAAATGTTTCATAAACCAACCATAAGGGCCCGTCATACTTCGCCGAAAAAAGCCCAAAGAAGCCCGAAAAAGCCCAAAAAAGCCCAAAGAAGCCCGAAAAAGCCCAAAAAAAAGCCCAAAAAAGCCCGAAAAAGCCCAAAAGCGCCAGAAAGAGCCGGAACACTTCTCGCACGTTTTGGCGCTAAGGCATGTGTGTTGACTTCGCAATCGAGCCTTTTTGTCATTTTCTGTCGTCCGCATGATAAGATAATGTCAGAATTCTACCAAAAGTTCGTTTCTACATTCCGGCTCTTTCTGGCGCTTTCGGGCTTTTTTGAGCTTTTTTGGGCTTTTTCGGCCTTTTTCGGGCTTCTTTGGGCGCTTTTGGGCTTTTTTGGGCTTTTAGGGCTTTTTTGGGCGGTTTTGGGCTCTTTTCGGCGAAGTATGACGGATCCCTAAGAGTTAAGCAGCCTAACCATTCTTCTTATTAAGGTGGACACTATGCATGCCTAGGAATCTTTTCCAGAAATCATTGAGATCGTAATGCATCTACAGAGAAAATTGTAGTAAAAAAGTAAAAAATAAAAGTAAAAAAGGTAAAAATTGTGAATGAAAATTTTCTTCATCTTGTTAGAACCAAAAGTATGAAAAATTGTTGATTCCTGCTGGTCATTGTTTATCATACCTGCGCAGGTTGATTTTTATGAGGATCTATGTAAGTTCTACAATGTGATCTATAGTGTTGACTCTTGAATAGATTCTATCTGCAAGGGCTAAGCAATTGTTCTTTACCCCGCATACAAACTCAACCCCAAGTGTTCAAAAATTGAAGGTTTTCTTTCGCTAATGTGCAGCCAATTCCGTTGCACATACGACTCTTAAAATATCGCATTTTTCACTTATGCCTCTGCCAGGAAAATATTTAGACTTCATGTTAGGTGTGTGTCTCTTTATTTTCATTTTGTTGCTCTCAATCCGGCTTTTGGGACATCCTCATTCAATCGAATTTCTCTTGAATGCCATATGCACGAAAATCTGTGTATCTGGACTTCTGTTCAGGGAATTTGAGTAAGCAGCTACCCAGGTGCACCGAAATCACTTCTTTTTGAGCTCTCGTCCATACAGTATTTCTTCCGAGTGGACGTTAGCGTGACGTGAAGAGTGCCATCTGAGCGAGATTTTAGAATAGTTTTCGCCGGCAAAACGCTTGAATACTGATGGTAAATGTAAAAGGTCCTTTTCTTCGTGTCGTATAATTTGTTGGCGCTGGATCGTGGAGCGGTATGAGAAATTTCGGGAGCACTGGGTCATGGAGCGGTAAGAGTACTTTTCGGGAGCGTTGGTCGTGGATCGGTGAGAGAAATTTTCGGCAGCGAAGAGAGACAAGAACTAAACGGGCTAGCCACGCCCTCCGAGTGATTTTGGGATGCGCACTGCTTGGCTTGTACAGAAATGTATACAGTCGGTTTCACCCCGGATTAGGCGGAACATCCCATAAGGAGGGGCGCGTACGCACCGCCGGAAGTCTCGCGAGCGCATAGCGCTGGCATTTTGCCAAGCAGGGACTGAGGAGAACGGAGAGACGCAGACCTCGGTTCTCAGCACGATATGATGTACTGTAGCTGCGAAACGGCGCGAGCTGTTGCGAGGCGGACGCCCGCCAATCCAATTCCCGCCTAATGCGGGCCGAAACTTACTGTACGTAAGATCTGTTGTCATGACTGAATAACCAGTCTACAAACCATCTTGATATACAGTATTCTGGGTGTCTAGATTTCTCATTGATGATCTTTTGAGACAAAAAGCTAGTCACAAGCTAAGCAACGCGGCTGGTGTGCGGATATCGCTACCATTCTCTGCACCGCACGCGCTCTAACGATGAAAGTTGCTCAGCTGCAGCGTTAGCGCTCGTTTCGCAATGACAGCCAGAGACTCGCTCCGCTTCCGCCTTCGCTTCGATTTTTTCGAGCTTGACCAGGGGATCACTGCTTATTAGTGTAGCATGCGGCCTCTATCAATTGCAGTGTCCCTCTCCACGCGCTTACGCATAGGCGCGGGAGCACGCGCTAACCTTCGTTGAGACCTAGTTCGACTGCCTAAACTATACACCCGCTGCGCGAGGCACTTGCGGGGCGGAGGTGCCGTTTGAAAGGGGGACAGTGCGATTGCGGAAGGCATTGTCACGCGGGTTCACACTCAAGACTTGAAGTTTTTTATAGAACCACCATAGTATGTAGGAAACTGTGCAGTTCTTGGGTATTGTTAAAGTAAATTCTCCAGCAGATCTTAAAAAACTAAAGGCGAGTCATCACGCAGAGGCTGGACGTTGTTGCATCCAATCGAGATAGTTTGCGCTTGCGAGAGACGCAGATGACAAAAGGAACAAAGTTGCGCTTGATCACAGAGATGCTAACTGCTTCCGCAATGGCGTCCTGTCTCTGCGTGCTAGAAGTCGCCTATACTAACTTCCAAATCTCCGCTTATCTTCACAGTAATTGATAAATTCGGATTTCAGCATGACACTGCGTCCACTGGTGATTTGGCTGGTTTTCGGAAACGTCATCCAGGATTTCCACCGCGTCTATTCGTACCACCTCATGAAGCGGTGTCGTTTGATGACGATCCGTCGACGAGCGCACCAGCGGCGCACATATTCCCGCCGATGAACACTCCAGTAAGGTTACATTTGACTAGGTAGGACAGACGTTTAATGCTGAAGTAGAGTGATAAAGAGAAATTACTGAAAAACAGAAAAAATCAGTAGTCTTGGCTTTAATGCGATCAAAATCTCTTTTAAATCTGGTCAAAGTTGAAGGCGGTCGGCTAAGTACGCGAAGCGAGCGCGGGCGCCGATTTTACGAAAGGCTTGAAACGCAGTTCGCAGCCGCTTCGCACGATAAACTGTCCGCCTTCAACAGGGATCAGCTTTTGAATCACACTGGGAAAAGCTATAAGATCTCGACGCTTTTCTCGCGATTGAACGTCGCAACGAGAAAATTCGGCCGCTTATTTTTCTTTTTGTTCCAAAAAGTGTTGCAACAAGCAAAGAATAATTGTGATGGGTGATACTGTCCTAGTGATATAGGCTTACTATTTTGATGGCCCCCCGCCCTCACCACTCCTAAAGCCCTCATTGAATTCTGAATGAGAAAAATGGAAGAAGCACATTTTTCGGCAAAGAAACGAATATTTTTCGGAAATAATCCTCTTCCGTGCACTTAGATTTACGAACATTTAGTGAAGGTTGAAGAATGATATTCATTACCACACTAAGATGAACAAGAATGAGATTTTTATTCCATGAAAGAATATTCCAGAATGACATTTTCAGCAACGTTACAAAAAGGGCGAAATTGTCACCAATCCGGGTGGAATTCGTAAGAAATTCAATGGCAAACAATGGCGCCGACTATGTTCAAAGGACGGTTGTAACAAGGTGAGTTTGTCACTTTCTTTACCATTACCAATCGGTCTTTTTTCTTACTGCAAGAGTATTTGGTGAGTATTCTCTACAAAAGCGAAGTTATTTATCTTTTTGCGCGTCTCTGGAATTTTCTCAAAGCACATGATGTCCGTGACTCTGGTTTGCTGGTCAGAGGGTTTTACTTTACGGCTAGCAGGTTCTATTGTCTTTTATGAACTACGCACATCAGGTGATTGAGAACGGTGATAATCATTTTCTCTGTTGCTGCTGCTGTGTGTTATTGTGTAAATGGAAAAATGTCTCGCCTTGATTCCATTATTGTGTTTGACATGTCATCTTGTTATTGATGAGAAACGAAACTGAATACGACCTATCTCTACCAAGGATTCTTCCATAATGTTTGCGGCTCTGCTCTCTCTCTCGGCACCAGCATTTCGCCCATTTCGCTTTTTCTTTGTGTTATTATTGTTGTTGTTCGGCTATATATTGTACAAAGTGTCAACAGCTACGTGTATTGCTATCACTATACTAAGTGATAGATTTACTTTTGCTATACGCTTTTGGACCAAAATTATATGAACTCGCGCCACCTACGGTCTACAGGATGCGCCTCAATTTTAGGCTGGCACATAAGTTTTGCAACCTGTCCTATGATTTTTCTGTTCTTGAAAGTAGCGCTCTCATTTTTTGATATAATGTAGATAGTGGGCTAGAACCTGCGCAAACCATTTTGTTTCTAGTGGTGAAATGTCAAAATTCTGCTCATCTTCCGAACCCTGGTCAAAATAAAAAATTTTGCAGTCCCCATCAAACGTATTAAGAACTATACAAAGATGTGCCGCATGAACTCCTACAATCTAGGTAAAGTTTCGGCTCGATGCGTTTAATGGAGGCTGAAACTACTTAATATTCTTTTTTATCCCGATTAATTTCTCAATTGATGAGCTTTCGGAAAATGCGCAAAACTTTTCTATTTCACCAAAAATAAAAAAGTTTGCGAAGACTTATAGCTCACTACCTATTCTACATTTGAATTAAAAAACGACAGCCCTACATTCAAGAATAGAAAAGTTATTGAACAATTTGCAAAATTATGTGCCAACTTAATATTTGCGCGTGTAATTCCAAGCGTAATATGAACATAAAGCTGGTTGAGCTAGGATCAAGCTTGATATTGTTTTCTTGGTTCTAAAACATTGTAACCTAGTTGAAAGATTTAAATTTGCCTATTTTCTTTTTCGCTAAAAATTCATAATATTTCCCTGACTTTCTCTCGTGCTGCAAGCAGGTAGAGGCTCACAAATTTATTCAGCGTATACTTTTTGACTACTGCTTCTCTCAAATAAAACTCTGCAGTAAAATAGAGCTGGCTTTTATCTTTAGAATGGATATTCGAATTTTTCTGAGAATTCAAAATGAAAATTTAGACAATTTAACTGTGTGCGTCATCATGCCCTTTCTCTTTCGCAAGTATTGTTCCCTTCCAGTGCCTTTTCTAGACAGAGACCGATTCGGGATCTCAAAAGAGCTTGTGACTTTGAATCCAGACCAAATTTCTCACTGGTTTTGTTGTGAATTTGGCGCATCCTGTAAGCAAACCATCGGCAGAGACTGAGTCGATTTTAAAATTTGAGTCAGTTCTTGATCTCACTTGAAGTCGAAAAGATCATAGACTTGCGCGTTTTTTTTCAAAAGTGCCGCATAATTTGCCATAAAATCTGCTTCTTTTTCACATACGGAATTATTTGCTCTAATTCGTGGATATTTTAGCGACAGATTGCTTTTTGATCCGAAAATACAGATTTTGAAAAAAAATCTTACACGATTTATAGTTTGGATAGATAATAGATGGATGGATAGATTTATAGTTTGGAGCCAAAAAGTCCTGCAAAGCCTCTTAAGCCTAAAACCACAGATCACAAATTACTGTTTTTCTCGAAAAGAGATCTATTTCTAGAGAACTTCCTCAATGCCAATTGCGTGATTCTTGACATCCTATGTAGATACAAAATTTACTCAATAATATTCAATTCAAAGTTTTTCTGGTAAATTTCTTTCCCGTAATTAGTGCTTCATCATTCTGTCTAAACTGCTGTTTGTATTTTGCCTAAGGCAAGACAAGGTTTAGTACAAAACGCCAGATTTAGCTTACTAGCGCTACTACCAGTATAATACTTCGAATTCTTTTGCATATCCGTTCTGATGTAAATATTCTATAAATTCATGCATTGCAACGAAAACTTCTAGAGGCATGAAATCGCCGTAAAGCAACATTACGACGATAATATGATTCACGTTTTCTACTAATATCGCTAGCTAAGCTAAACAATTGCAATGCGTCAAGGTTAAGAAATTTATTTTTGCTACTTTACGTCATTTATTTAGGAATCACAACGACGCGGTTATTGTTCTCGGCATTTATCATTGAAAATCAAGCCAGGTCATATCGAACATACATCACCGAGCAGCAGCACGGGTAAGTTAGAATTTTTAGATGATATGGAAGGGTTTGAATGGGACTAACTTTGATGGTGTGGAAAATATTAGGTCTGCTTTTCTTCGAAAATTCATCTTGTATTTAATAATTAGATTTTTTGTGCAGTTCCAACTTCTATGATCACATATCAATTAGTCAATACTATGAGTCCTCTTTTCTCGTAAAGTGGGCATATAATTTAAAATCTGAAATCCTTTTTTGCCGTACAAGTGTTTATTGGTGACACACGTTATTGTCCTTACTTTATATAGCACATAGAAGGATTTCAGGTTATAAATTAGTCATTATTTTCTATTGATAAAGCACAGTTACATCCATACTTCACTCGTTTTCTAAATCTCATTTCCTTGGTGTTTTCATACTGCAAGATGCGCAGATTGATAAATCGGTAAGTGGATATATACAAGTCTTTGCTACTCGATGGACAACAGTAAAGATTGTGATTTACAATTTCGAATTTCTGTGTTACGGATATGAAATTTTGTCGCTTTTGCGTGCCATGAGAAATTTGGTTATTCCACTTCCATACTTTTCAGCACAAAATTTTTTTACTCAAAAAGAAAGCACCTTAAAATTTTTACTGAAATGTGCTTTTCGGTACTGAACACTAAATAAAATTTGTCTGACATTTCTGCATGCCGTTCAAGCTACCGAAATCATTTTTGAGCCTATCCAATACATTCAAACATTTTCCCAATCCAAGTAAAGAGTAATCTATTGCTTTGTTAGCTTTCCGATTTCTCGTACTCAAATCTAATCACAAGAAATCCAAGATCAGTGAAAGATTTGGTCAAGCATAGGCTTACTCACAAGAAAGAACAAGCTTTAATCCGGTTAAAAAAGTTAGTAATTGTTCATGTTTTGTCAGAACGAGGTGTAAAGTCCTTTCTTAAGGAATTCCCGAACAGACAGTGCTCTTCTCTTTTCAATAGGATAATTTTTTCTTCACGTCCATTGACATTTGTGCGAAGGATTATCCTTTCGTCATTTGTTACATGCAAATGATTCTGCCCTTCGCTCTTCATCCTTCTCTCAAGCACATCATCGTAGATGTTTTCAAGATCATTTTCACTTCGTCTCGACCGTACTCGTACCGTAATCCCAATTTGGTTTAAAGGCTCAGCTTGGTTTGTAACCAAACTAGTAATGAAGAGCGTTGGCATTTGTCGCTTCTCGCGTTTTCGCTAATTGATGACGAATCTTCTACTTCTTTTCATCACCTTCAAACAACAATGCCTGGGCCTGTTTCGGCCTGTGTATCCGGGCCGTTGGGGCTGCTGTACGCTTATTGTTCCATGATGAATCGTCAGAAATCACTTTTGACATTCATACCAAGGCACACGCTTTCTTGTCTCAAGCTCAATTTGCTGTTCATCTCAACTCGTAAAAAATGCTCCTCAGGTCATTTGTCAACTTGCCAATGCTGCTACGTGTTCTTCGTCGCTGTACAATAGCATTAATTTGAATCTTCATGTGATTAATCAGCATCGATGCTATGAGAAAAGAGTATACTGTATGAACGGTCTGCCCGATGCGCCGATCATTAGGTGTCATTAAACTTTGAATGATTTGCTGTAGGCTTCTTGATTCATTCCATCTTAGTCAACACATTTCAATTTTGCAAGCTACGTCCAGCGCTAGCATACAGTTTTCGGCAAAAACCAAGCGATCAGTATTCTCCATAAATTCTTAGTCATTTCTCTATCTAAACTCGTTTCTAATATCACAATCTCCAGGTGGAGCAACTATGGATTGGTCCTCACACGAGGGCGAAGAACGTCGAGAAGACAGTGCTGAAGTAGCATCGGCTATTTTACGAACATCAATCGGTAAGACAAAAAATGTACTTACAATTCTATAAAATTTCCTTTCTGCTTTAACTGATGGACTTTCCAAGGCTCGTCTCTTCTTGAAGCCAAAGATCATGGATTTGCTTTTTTCCACTGAGCCTCTTTTGATATTTCCTGTACCTGAAGCATAGATTTAGAAAAGAGTAAAAAACAAAGCTTTTCAAATAGCTTACCATTATGTATCAATGGAAGACATTTATGAAATCATAATCCTAAGAATAAAAGCTCAAATTTAATCATCGAGGCATTCAAGCCTATTGTTGAGATTACCATAATGCCTTTCTTTACTTGTTTATCAGAGGTTTATTACTAATATATCACCAACAAAAAGTTTCCGCCTAAGGCGAAAGGTTATGGCTGTAAATGTATTCCACATATTCTAAATCATGCTCTCAGGTCTTCAACTTGGAAGTTCTCAAAGTAGATATTCCTACTCTCAGTAATCTACAAAACTCCTTACTAGAAATGGCTAAACATGCAGTTAACTGATAATGTTTAGGACCATTACCTCGTGAGATGCCGTTATCAGGTTCAACTTCATCTCGTTTTTCCACCGATTCATCGCAATCCCTCTTCGGTTCGAAGTTAGGTACATCAGCACCAAATGTGCCAACTTCGAGAGCAACAACTATAGGGGACCAAATTGCAGAAGTGGGTTTCTGTCAAGGCCCGGCAGAACGATGGCGGACTTTAGGCGGGGAAATCGGGGGTCCAACCGCAGCCATAGGAATTCACAGGGAGAAAAGCGCGCCCCAGTTCAAGGAGAGACTACAAAAAATTAGGGAAGACGGCCGTTTTGCACGATAGTATAGAACAAATACAACGCATGACTTGTCTCAAGGGGCATCGTCCACCCAAACTGAGGTTGATGAGGTTTTGATGTAGTAGCGAGGTCTTCGACTGATATTTCAAGTTCCGCTGCAAAAGTTGTATCTCGAACCGAGAAAATCGCTCCAGAAGGTAAGTGCTGCTGAGGTCGCCACGCCCAGTTAGTGTGAGCAGTCTAATGGGCTCAAAACTAGGTTTTGGATGACGAAATTGTGCTGCTCACAACAAGGAACGCCTAAGAGCTATTCAGCCTAGCTTCGGACCATTATAGTTGACTGCACGGAATTGCCCGGGCTGCACGCCCGCGAGCGTGTCTCTGGCGGGCTAACATTGGCATCCGCGCGCATGAGTCATCATAGCGCCCGTGCTCAGCAGCCGCGTTGCAGGCACGCTCGCGTGATCAATCTACAACGACCAGAGCGATTTCGTGCAGTTGACTTTACCTCTAGACCGCCCGCAGCTCCACACATTACAGACATTGCACATTTGTACGAGCTGTCCGCGCTGGGTGGAGCCTATCGGTGACATTCAGTTCCCTACCGTCGCAGGAAGCGGACATCCTATACTAATTACAAGCGATTCATCGCACGCAAAGACAGTTCGTCGCTGCGGACGCTGTCGGCGGCTCACTGGTTACGCGCTTTTTCATTCCTCTGCCCGTCTGCTGTCTCTCCAAGGCACGAATTATCTCAATAAGACGCAACGGCGTCCAGTCCGTGCGTGTAGTAAATTGCCTCTATCTATCGCCAGTACCCATTAAATTCTTTGACTGCAAAGTTTTGCTTACCAAAAATGAGAATTTTGCACCGTTGAAAATGATATTCGATTATAAAAGTTCGATCGCCAGAATCTTGCCGGGCCTTGATTTTTATAAATGATGGATATAGACTGAGAGGCTTTAGGCTGCTCTTCAGATGGATCGTGTGTCTCAAACTCAGGCTTTGTTGAATCTCACCCAACTCCGGTTCGACTCATTTCCTCAAGTGCATCAGCTTCTACCACTTATGCCAACTGCCGGCGCCCGTCGCGGTGACTTCACATTGTTGCCGGGCCCTTTTCCATTCAATGCCGCTCTTCTCCAAAATTTTGCCGCCCCACTTCTGCAACAGCAGGTACGAATAAGATTTGTGAAAAAGTAGTAAAATGTCTTTTATAGCCGTTCAAGTATAGGCTGCCGCATGACGAAAGCGCAATATCTTGGACGCGAACGCGGCTTTGTTAGCCGCAAAGCGCATGAAGCGCAGGGTTTACAACTGTGAAGCTACGCGCGTCGCGCACGCGCCCGCTCAACTAATACTGCTTCTGCGCCTTCGTCATGCAGTAGTCCTCAGTTTCACACATTATATGCACTGTTTCGATAAGTTTTAGCTTCAGCAGCAGATTAGCGGACAACAAACGAGTCTCAACAACAACAATGTGAAACCGGAGGAGGAAGAAGAAGAGGACGATGAAGATGACAGTTCGTTCAAGTTTGTCTGGCACTTAATGTCTAAATCGCACAATTCCTATAGAATACAGTTCGGGGAATGACTTCAAATCTGATTTTACCCTCCTTCAGATGTGAGTGTATGTCGAAAGAGTGACGCTTCGGATGACGACGTGGATAGGGACGACGATCCGAATGGAAATGCAGGTTCGACATCTGCCGGGAGGCCGCACAACGGGTCCAGCACAAGTGAGTTGTGAATTTGAAGTCAGAAACAAAAACTCGAACTAGGAAGAACATCTTTTAACACGTTTCGGACCGCGAAATCGCGCGCGGCGAAAAAGAGTGTTCCTTCAACCGTCAGCCAACAAAGCGACCTTTTTTTGAAGACTGTGTGCTACATTTGTAACGACCATGTCGGATAAGCTCCATACCCAAAGTTTTGAGTGAATTCGAAGTGTTTGAATTTTGCCACTTGGAAGGACTTTTGTGCTTTTCTGAAAGATAGGAACAAGAACTCAGTTTATAATAGTATCCAAAAGTATCTGTGTTGTGGACGGTACACGTCAGTATTGAAATTACGGTTCTTCTCTTTGATATCGAAGCAAAGAAAAGTTGCGACGTCGCACGCGTCGTTCGCGTTGCCGCATTTCGTTGCAACTGTTGTTCGATTTATGCCCATATTTCCTAAACAGATATCGGCGGCGCAACTCTACAGAGTCACTTGAAAAATAGAAGCTTAGGCCTTTGACTTGATAACCTTGGATTAAAAGAAAACCTCCTGTAAGCGCTAAAGATTTTGGTCTTTCACTTCAAAAGACAGAAGAGTGTGTACAGGGCGTTCGGAAAATCGTGACGATGGCGCGACCGCGCGCAACGCGCTCGCACTCCTGCAACCGCATTTTCTTGGTTTTCGTCTCTTCGAACAGTTTTTCTGCTTACGTATGAGAGTGTTTGGACTCCGGAAGTGCTGAGCTGAGCCTTGAGCTGATGCCTTTTTGTACGAGTGTTTTATGCTTCTATGGGTGAAACCGCAGTCGAATCCGTCGTCACGATTTTATAAATGACCTATAAAGCAGTATAGATACAGCCTGTGTCAATCGCGTTTTCCCTTTTCCACCAGCGTCATGCCAGGGCTTTGCGTCGCGTTTGCGCGCGCATGGCCATTCGAACTGGTCTAGGATTGAAGGTCACGCACGCAAGCACCCGCGTTGCGGATGACAATTCCTACACAAAAAAGAATGCGCAGTTTACACAGACAGTAGTGATTGAAAAAAAGAAAACTTATATTTTGATCCTTTAGTATTACTGCACTCATACATTTTGATTGATTCATCAATGATCCACAGATGCTTCTGCGGCGGCGCGGCTTCATGTGTTTGAGCATCTTTTGTTACTCTGTGAATGACTCATAGGCATCAAGAACGCGCCGTCGCAATCCTCCCTGCGGTTGTCTGCGCCACTCAAACTTAGCACTTTTACCTGATTTTTCGATAAAATGTATTCTTCAGATTACCAAATAAATGGAAATGGTGATGTATGTGGTCCAAACGAGACTGGTTCACAACAGCAGCAGCAACAACAGCAACAGCAACAGCAGCAAGAACAAAGCGAAAATTGCTCGGAAACCAGCAATGAGCGAGGTGATTGGCACGATTTTGATGATCTATTGGTCAATTTTTGTAAAGTCATTTAAAAAAATAGTAATCTGTATCGATGCATCCAACAAGAAGTTTTGAGTTTTGAAACCACTAAATTCTGCTTCCTGAGAAAAGCTTTGCTTGTGTCATTCTGAAAAGATCTATTCTTTCATTCACGCTACAGTACGCCAACGGGGATTCGTACCGATTTGCACGAATAAAGTGAACTTCCATTCAAGACCGCTGTCACGTGCGACACACCTTGTTGAGGAATAGGGGAATGAACTCAGTCAGTTTGAGCCCGCCTTTGTTGGCAACTTTTCCTTTTGCAATGTCGTTGCATGTCGTTGCAGGACCAATAGTCCAAGGCGGGCTCAAACCTGCGGAGGTGGTTCGTTCCCCTACCTCTTGCCAATACACGCCTTTTATCCAGCAAGTAAAGAGGGTGGGGGGGGGGGGGGAGGAGAGATTGCGCGTGCGCGACCCGTTTGGACAAGATTACGGTAGTGCAAAAAGGTCGTCTCACTCGCAACGGCGCTATCTTGGAAAAAACCAGTTTCAAAAAATTTCTCAAAACTGAACGATATTCGGATTGGGGCAGATTGGAATTAGATCACATCCTGAAAAAGTGTATCCTTTTACAGATACGTCAACTCAGTCTCCAAAGCCAGCATCAGAAAATGTTGACCAAAGTGTGAGTGTTTGCTGAGTACCATAGAATTTTTGCAATAATATAAAGGAAATGCGGGAGACGAGAAAAGGGGAAGATTTTCTCAGTCCAAATTATTCCAGTTTACCTCTTCAAAAGCTATGGATGGTTCAGTAACGCCTCCACTTCAGCCAACAAGCGAAACACCTACGAATGACATCTTCGGTGCCTACGTCAAAAGCGGTAAAGGAAATTAATTGCTAATTTTTGCAAAATCTATCTTTTCTTCAGAAGTAGAGGAACCAAATGAAGATCGCAGCGAACAACCACCATCTAGCGATTGTGCAAAGGAGAAGAATGGCAAGAAATCAAAATTGGAAAAGGTGATAGTGTAGTAAAGTTGTGTCCGTAGTAATCGTTTGCCGACACCGTGCCGGCACAGGGCCGGCACAAGACGACGCACATACTTCCCGCGATTTTGCGGTTCTGAGCCGGCACGGCTTCTGCACTCGTACAACTATATATGTCGTATCTAGCCATTCTAAATATGCTTTACAGGGTCGGGAGCACATTCGTCGGCCAATGAACGCGTTTATGATATTTTCGAAACGACATCGACCCATGGTCCATAATAGATATCCGAATCGTGACAACAGGACCGTATCGAAAATTCTGGGCGAATGGTGGTATGCTCTGGGTGCCGACGAGAAACAACAGTATCATAAACTTGCGACGCAGGTAGACACCATCTCGTAGTGCGTTTAGATTTGACAAGAAATATAGTGCCGTATCAGCGACGACAACATTTGCGCGAGAACAAATGCTTTTGAGAATGCCGGTGAATTGCTTGCGACTTGCGCGCGTTAAAGTTAAGCCCTCATGCGGGTTTACGTGCAAATGCTGTCGGCTATACATGAAGATTATCTTTACCTTGTGACTGAATTATACATATTCGATAAGCCCAAGCAAGAGCTTTCTAGGTGAAAGAGGCACATTTCAAGGCTCATCCAGACTGGAAATGGTGCGCCAGAGATAAGAAAACAAGAAGTGATGAGTCGCATGAAACGCCTAAGTCTGAAAAGGTATAACCACAAAGTCCAGAAGTCGGCCAAATTTAGTAAAAATAGCCTCGAATTGCACTTGCAGTCGTTCGACTTTGATTTCAAAACAAATGATGATGCAAGCTGCATGGAAGGCTCAGACAATGATTTTTGTAGTCCAACGACACCGGTAAGAATCTTTGAGATTTCTTCTAGTAAAAATAAAGAAAAGGGAATAAGATTCGAATTCTTTCAGACTCTACCACGTCCGACACCTTTGCGTAGGGAAAGTATCGACTTAGGTTTGGAATCACCCATAATGAGCCCTACAGTCGCTGGACTCTCAAATTTTGTGCCTCCTTGGTGAGTCAAATCGTTAAAGGCAGTGTCCGGGCAAGAACTCGATTTTGTTTGTGCTTACCCGGGCCTATTCGCTATGCTGACTCCGAAAATCCACATCGGAGAGCGCGAAAACGACGAAAAAGGGCTCTAACACTGGAGGGAAATCAGCAAGTGGGCGGGGTCTTCCCCACTGTGAACTCACACTTCCAGCTTCCAGAGCAATTTCCTCGAATCCGTTAGCCGCCCTGACATCACTACCGATCAAGTGCAAACGAATGACTTGAAACCGGAATCAAAAATATCGCTCCCGAAGCTGGGAGCGTGAATTCATAGTGGGGAAGACCCCGCCCACTTGCTGATTTCCCTCCAGTGTTAGAGCCCTTTTTCGTCGTTTTCGCGCTCTCCGATGTAGATTTTCGGATTCAGCATAGCGAATAGGCCCAAGTAAACACGAAATCTTGAAATCGAGTTTTTGCCCGGACACTGCCTTTAAAGGCAATGTCCGGGCAAAAACTCGATTTCAAGATTTTGTGCTTATACGGGCCTATTCGCCATGCTGAATGCGAAAATCTACATTGGAAAGCGCAAAACAGCGAAAAAGGGCTCTAATATAGGAGGGAAATCAGCAGGTGGGCGGGGCTTTCCCCAGTGCGATTTCACGCTCCCAGCTCCCGAAGCGATTTTCTCGATTCCGCTAGTTGTTCTAACATCGCTACCGGCCAAATGCGAATGATTGACTTGAAACCGGAGGCGAGAAGGTCGCTACGGAAGCCGGGAATGTGAATTCGCAGTGGGGAGGACCCCGCCCACCTGCTCATTTCCCTCGTGTGTTAGAGCTCTTTTTCGCCGATTTGGCGCTCTCCAGTGTGCATTTTCGGATTCAGCATAGCGAATTGGCCCAAGTAAGCAAAAACTCGATTTTGAGATTTTGTGCTTATACGGACCTATTCGCGGGTGGGGGACATTAGGTCGCCGAAAAAGGGCGGTCCCCGCGGTCATTTGCGACAATTACGCACCCTTGTGCATGCGCGGACATGCGTTCCTGCAGGGAATCCGCGCGGGACTCTTCCAAATTCGGCGACCTAATGTCCTCCACCCCCTATTCGCTATGCTGAATCCGAAAATTCACACTGGGAAGCGCGAAAACGGCAAAAAAAGGCTCTAGCGCATTAGAGAAGCAGCAAGTGGGCGGGATCGTCCCCCTTATGAATTCACGCTCCCAGCTTCCGGAGCGGACTTCTCGATTCCGCTAGCCGTCCTAACATCGCTACCGGCTAAGTGCGAATAACTGACATGAAACCGAAAGCGAGAAGATCGCTCCGGAAGCTGAAAGCGTGAAATCACAGTGGGGAGGACCCCGCCCACTTGCTGATTTCCCTCCAGTGTTAGAGCCTTTTTCGTCGTTTTCGCGCTCTCCAATGTGCATTTTCGGATTCAGCGTAGCGAATAGGCACGGGTAAGCATAAAATCTCAAAACCGAGTTTTTGCCCGGACACTGCCTTTAAAGGGTAGCGGTATTTTTGCATCACTACCGTATTGCTCTTTGCGAGTGTGCAATTTGGTAGGACATCGCTTTCAAGAAAAATGGTGTACTATTGAAAACAAGTTTTGTGGAGTGTAGTGTCCCAACTTCTTTTCATATACTGGAAACGATATTTTGCGGTAGAGGGCAGTCCGTTTTCCTGCTCAGACAACTGGCCGGAACATCCGAAGAACGTTGGGGAAGTTCCGGCGGTTTACCTGCGGAAGTTTCGTAAATGCGCTGCGGGTGTTCCGAAAAATGCGAACCACAACAGCGTAAGAGGACGAGATTCGGACCTTGCTTTATTGAATGTGACACTCACTATCCTCTGTATGTACTCAGATGACATGTTCTACAATGCGCTGTATTGTTGGCGAGGCAACATCGTAAGAGACAACACATCAAAAACCTGCGGAAGTACTGACAGGTCAAAATGCTGCGGAGCCGCTGGCCCTTTTTGGAATATTCGTAGCTTTTTTTAACAAGGCAATCGGAATCTCCCGTTTTCAACAAGACTGACGTGAAACTCGTGCGGACGTACCCACTTTCACCTTTTTGTAACAGTAGACCAAATCCTGTACAGCTTCTGTACAAATTTCTTTATCCTGCAGAATCTCCGGTGAACTGTTTGGATGTAAATGCACAACCTTCGTTTTCAGTATCAGTATTCCATCTTCACCGCTGGTGAGTTCGACCTTTGACATGAGCATTCTGCAAAAAGCAGTTTCCGGACAGGTAAAATTGAGTCGACTTGTTAGGTCCCCAAACCTTATTATTTAGTGAATTATAAACTTCAGCTTCCATCAGTCCGACCTCCGTCACGCTTCCTTACCCCACCTGCAATTGGTACAATATCACCGATGCCGTCGAGTGCTGTTTCACCAAATCTTTACAACTTTTGTGCGGTACGAGTTTGAAGCAGAACATTTTCCTAATTTTTAGATGGTCAAGCAACTGAACTAGGTCAATACAAAATTACTTGCAGGCTTCTCCAAGCGCCAACAACTTAATGCAAGGACTAGGTTCCCCGGCTTTTAACGAGTTCTCACCAACTATAGCAACTTCGCAGCGATTGTCACCGATAAGTCCGATGTGGATAAAGGTAATTAGAAAATCATTTATGAATTCAGGGAATCATTCGCTTTACTGATTGAGATTTGTTGATTTCAAGAGTGCACCGATACTTGTAAGTCCGCGCTCGGGAGATTCTGCGTTCGCATTTCCCCAAGGGAAGTCCGTCTCATTGGACCAAACATTGCCAACTCCTAACTTACGGGACAAGAATGACCAAAACATATCCAAGTAACCAGGGTTCTTGCATTCTACTTTTATTCTTGCTGAGGTTTTTTAGGATGAACAGTCGGGGGCCGAAGTTTGTATTGATGCCAACACCTGCGCAACGAGGCGTAGCAAAAGGTCTGTCATGCTTACTATAAAATTTAGCCTAAAATCAATTTTCTAGGGCAGAAGCGTGCGCTGAGTGTGTCGGGTGCAGAAGAAGACTCGAATCCTACGAAAGAAATCAATCAAAAAGGCGTAGAGAATAAAATCAACACCGTAAAGAAATTCTTCAAACGCACCGACGAGACTATGGACAGGTAGAGATAAAATATGAGCCTAATCCCAAACAAAGGCGGATGGTCATCGTCGCGAAGCGGCGAGCGTACGCGGCTGTCGAGCACTTAGGACGGTTCCATCCCGGAGGATGCAAAACACTATATGCTGCGCATCGTCGGAGGCCTTAACGCAAAGCGCTGGCGCCAACTAAAGACAGGGAGAATTTAGAGACGCAGATCACGGTCCTGACACGATACGGTAGAGTTGCGCAGCAGAGGCACGTCAGGCTTTGGCCCAAATTGGGTTGGAACTGACTGTATTTTGGAGCGCGTTAAAGCAGCGTTCGAAGTCGACGTCCGCTCGCTTGCGGCTCGCTTACATAGACATCCGCCTTCGTCTGGAATTAGACCATAATTCTGATCCAACTTCTCTTACGATAATAAGTTTTTAAGGGTACTGGATCAAGTCGATTTCCAAAATAAGTTTGCGAAGCTGCCGGAGTTCACTGTTGATCAGCTGAAGGTGATCAGTTTATTTCCACACGTAGAGGAACATTTTCTAAAAACTTGCAGAATGCCTCACCGGGGAGCCTGCCACCGACACCGTCCAAGCTTATTCGAAATCTAATAGAAAAAGTGCGCTGCTCTCCAGGAAATACACCGCTGGTGACCAGTACATGTAATGACATCTTCTTTGGTCCAGCTTTCAGCAGCACCTCGCCTGACCTCGTAAGACATGATTTTTCTCAAAAAAGTTCTAAAAATGGTTTATACAATTTAGACATCTACGGAGGATGTTATACCATGCAGTCCCTTAGATGAAAAAAGTGCTAGTAAGAAACTGCTTGAACAGCGACGGCTACTTGTGTGTCATCTACTGGAGAGCGCGGGATTATTTCCATCATGTGAGTTTTAAGCGTTTGTTAGTTCCAGCCATTTTAGAGGAGATCTTTTGTTGAAGCCCAAGAAACGAACGCTTTTCAAATGATGCACAGCAAAGTGTTTCCGAGCAAGCAAAGCCTTATACTGAAAATTCGTGAAGTTCGACAGAAAATCATGAATGCTGTCAAAAATGCTGACTCTTCAGGTATGTGATTTACTCGTACTCATAGCGCGCACAGAGGACACTAAATTCAGCTGTAAATATGGTTCTTGTGGTGCTGACACTTTCAGGCAACATTTGCGAGTGGAGAAATTACTGCGCTTTATGCTGGCAATTTGCGCGCGCAGAATGGTCGTAGAGCGCACGCTCTCAAATTCTGCGCCTCCTAGCAATTGGTTCACGCACAAACGTTGTTTGCAATTGTCGGCACCGCAGAGACACTATAATCACCGTCAGATTTATTAGCCTATTTTGTCTTCAGTATTCGATCAATTGATGCAATTGCACAAGCCTCAAGTTACAGTAATCGAAACGTTTTTGTGAACATATAGGCTGCACCAACCCGCATCGGTTCCGCGCTGGTATGCCTTGCGAGAACGCACGGTCGCATGCGACGTGCTATCGCGCGTATCAGGGTTCGCACGCGTCATCCGTATCGTCGCAAGCTGCCGCAGGCGCGACGTCGCATAACCGATGCTGGTTGGTATCGTTTATTCGTTGACCGTAACGACTGCTGACCGCGCGGCGACCGCTGCGCGTGCATGATGTTTTCGCAGAAAAGATGAATAGAAAGAAAACAGAGGATTCTTCTCATCTTTATAATGTAGAAAAGAAACAAAGAATTTTTCTCATTTTAAGCCACGGTCCAACTTGTCACTTTTTCGCAAGTTTAGAAGGCACGCGTCGCAGTCGCCACGCGGTCGGCAGTCCGTACGGTCAACGAATGAACGATACAGCCTATACATAAAGGCCGCGTCAATGACACGCTCAGTTTTCCGTAGCACCTGTGCATCCGCGTCGAGCATGCGGGCGGCAAAAAACAGTGAAAAAGAAGTTCGTTCAAGAAAAAGAAGGACGTAAAGGCACCGTCCACCCAGATTCTCGGCTTCCATATTTTTGTCGTTTTGGGGCCTTCACATGTCCCTGATTCCGAATATGAAGTCGAGAATCCGCGAAAACCCCGACAAACCCCACTTCGGAGAGCCCGCAGGGCGAGTTGTGCGGAACGGTGATTGGTTAGGTGCGCTCAAGTGGGCGGGACGAACGTCACGCCCACTCAAAGGGGAGGAGCCAAAGTGGCGAATCTCTCATCCAAGCGATTTTCCAAGCAATTTTCCCTCTTCAGAAGCAACTTCTGCCAGCGCGAGTTGGACAAGTATAGCATCAAAATCTCATCGACCCCATTTTGCGTGGACGGTGCCTTTAAAGGCCATTGACATGCCATTGACACATCCTGTACTCTACTCAGGCAGTGGTGCATTTGCACAATGTACCGATTGACTCCATCACGAGCCTTCTTTCCAGATTCTTCCCAAACATCTCTTATCGGTTCCTCTTTTTTCGGAATTCCCTGTTCCAGAACCGGTCAAAGACGACTGCTCGCACAATAACTCCATCGATACCTTTGCACGCACTTGCAATGTTAGCGAGTCGTAAATCGTAGCGCCAACATACGTCATCGTCATCACGCTGGTAATATATACTGTACGTAATTACGTAGCTCGTATGTGTTGTTAGAAACCGTATCTCATTATACATCCTGAGATGTACAACGTAATCTATGTCATTAAGGGTGTTACACCCTGTACTTACTCTCTCCGGTAAATTGTAATTAGCTAGTTGATAAACACTCCCATCTACTGTTTTCCCTTCTTCGATCCGTGTGTTATTCTCTCTTCTCCGTTTGTCGGCCCGTTCAACACACCACCCACTCCTCATTGTAGCTAGATTCATATACATACATGTAAATGAAACAAAGTCCTACATAATCAGTATCCATGTTTAACCATGTTCTTCATTTTCTTCCTTTTGCTCCTTTTCCTAGCTTTTTCCCTTCTTCCACTTACGTTCATAAGCAACTCTTAGAAAGTGTTCCAAGTACAGTTTGATTGCAACTCTCTCTCTCTCCTCTCAGTGCTTACGTCATATGACGTCATTAATTGTTTGTTTATTTTTTTTGTACCGTGACGTCACTCTACTCGCCGGTATGTCTTCGGTTCTCACAAACTCTTGTTTTGCAAATCATTGATGTGTCTGGAAAATTATTGTTGAACCTGTACGATTCGATCGTTGTCATAGCCTCGCGTAGTACGTTTAGGTATTTACACTATTTCGTGCTTATGTTACAATATTCTATATTTACGGTATTCTCCCTACTGGTGACCATGCGAAGCGTGCTTTCTCGCGCTTTTTGTGTGGTGCAAATATTGCGTCTTCGGAGCTGTAGCGATTTTTTGAGTAATTTGTTCCGTAGTTTCTTATATACATAATTGCTACGTCACTGGTAAAAGACTCTAAGCGCTTTATCTGTGATTTTTGCAAAACTGTATCGTCGCAGAGCACAAATATATCAAAAATACACAAATTTAAGATTACTCGACGGACGGGAATAAAAGATGAGCAACGAATCTGCATTTTTTTCGCTCAATCAGTTTTTGTAAAATATAGGTAATTCATCAATCGCAGGGACTGGTCGCAACGCGCGGCTGAAACGCTGCGAGAACGCAACTTGTACTATGGCGATTTGTACTGGTACACGCTTTTCACCGCGCGTCGCGTCCGCAAACACGATCAGTCCCTGCGGTCGATGAATCACCTATAACATCGGACTTCGCATGCGTCGAAAATACTGCTTCTTTTGTTTCGGTTAGATGTCCACTAAGCAATTTTTTTTATCAAAATAGAAAAGCGCTTAGTTTCCAGTCTAAGAACCAGATGACGTTTCAAAGCTCCTGGAATCCACTCCTCCAGTTTCTCAGTCTATCCGTCTAGTTCTGTAAATCGGCAATATAATTTTCCTTTCTACCTGTAGACGCCTACGATTTCAGTGTTTTTTTGCTTGATTATCCTTACTTCTTCATCAAGAATACGCTCTTCTAATCGATTACTGTAAGAAGTCGTGAGCGTTGTTGTGTTGTTGCCGTAAACGGTGTACTGTATATTACTCGATTCTGTTTTCCTTACTTCCATCCCTCTCAGCTATTCTCATTTACTACTAACCGATGTGATCTACCGTAATACGGTGGCATATTCAGGTCTGCAAGGTCCCGGTTCATATTTTTAGTGGTTTGTTATAAGTAGTCGTATTTCACGCCATAACGTTTTTTTTCTTTTTTGATTTATTAATATAATTATTCTTATTATTAAATGATTATTACATGCTAAGGTTCGCAGAGTTCTCTTTGCTACGTGGCTTATCAGTCATAATGTGTATTTCGTTAGCATTTGCTGTCATCCTGTTCGCGTGGTTATTGTTTGGCCCGCCATCTAGCAGCCCACTTTCCTAGAGTCAATGTCTGTGATTCTGCTTAATAATAAATCAGTACAATATCCGGTGTCCATATTGATTATCATAACAAAATTGTAATGCTATGAAGAGGAAGCTGAACAAATCAGTGAAAGGTATGAAGAGGGCTTCAAGTCCAGTGCTTTAGTAGTAATCTTGAAATAAGCTTGGTCACATCATCATTCGATCCAGTAAATTTTTTCATTTGATTCTACAACAAAATTAAATATGTACAAATTATTGAAATTATTCCAGCTGCTGATCGCTTGACTGTTGGGTACTCCAATACCCAAGGAATACGGTATTTTACTTTTTTTCTTCATCCCTTTATCAACGCGAATAAATTTATGTTGCGAGAAAGCATTCTTTTTTTTTGTCATTTTTACTGTGCAAATTCGCCACAGCTTTTTCACCGTAGTGTACAAAGAAATTGCGGAAATGGTTTTATGAATAGAGTAAACCATAAACATCAACCACGCAATCTTTACAATGTTTTATCACATGAAAACTTTTCAAATTGTGGAAGTTGCGCCACGACGGCCACAAAATTCACTAAATGATGCAGCGCACTGATAGGAACTCCATCACATCTGAACTGTTCCATTTCTTGGCAGTCCATCTGAAGCATTTTTTCAAATATTCCTCCAAGCAGTATCTCTAGATTTGTATCACGATAGAAGAGAAGTTTGGAGGACGCAGGATAAAGTATTCACTCGAACTTTGAATCCTGCTTCCAAATCGAAGCGTATGATTAGGGTCGAAATTCTTTCTGAAGGCTGAGAAAGGCGCTACGATTGAGTGTGGTGAAAAAAAAAAGCGCTAAACCCCTCGTATCCTCAGTGAATACTTTGCTGAGAACAGTTGTCCAAAGTCTTAATTTCTTATGTTATACCTACCGTAAGCTCACCGAAGAGGCCCTACCCTGAGGGTATGATTTTCTTGGTCGGCATGTCAAATTACTTCTGTGCATTCCCAAGACAATTACCTGCTATAGCTTATAGTATTTTCTAATGTTTGGAAAGCATCATCTTTTGACATGATTAATTTGGTTTTGAAGAAAAAAATCGACTTTTTTGACTCATGCCAAGTGATATTATCTTTTAATCTGCTAAAGTTATGACTTTAACAAACAGGTTCCGTATCTGGATTTAGCAGTACTGCCAAAAACTCGACTATCGCGTTTTTCAATGTCAGGGACTTGCAAATTCACTTCATCGATTATCACAAAGTCAGAATAATTAGAATTAAGGTAAAACAAGTACCATAGATTCTATGAGGTCTGGACTAACATGTGGCGCAAAATTTGTCTAAAAAGCTTCTTCGGATATGAACCTAATTTTATCAGTCACAACCCTTTCTAGGTTGTTTGAGCTCTTGTGGCCTTCTGCATGACTCACTTGACCAGCCTCTTAGAGTTCAACCGCTCCCTTTTTGATGTAAATCAGGCTTAGACCCTGTTCTTGCTATTGTCTCTTCAAAAGTATTGTAGTAGCATTTTTGAAATTTGTCTTCAAATCATATCATACTCTATGGGGTTTTCAAAAGAGGTGCGCTTTACTGTTATCCTGTAAACATTTTTTCCTTCCCTGCAGGGGACGGGTGGCGGATGACAGAGGGAAGGGAGGGGAGCATTTGCAACACTGCTTGCCCGAAAATATCTTTGGAATGTTCTCAGGTTATAACTTTGATTGGAATAGAGACAAGGCTGTAGCCGATCTCCAGAAAGAATTGCCAAGCTAATTACTTACGCAATAAATCTGACCACAAAAAGTACCTGTTGCTTGTAGTTCATAACTTATTTACAGTCTGTGTCAACGATGTGCTCCCTTTTCGATCGCCTCAAGCGTAACGCTAAAGCCCCGTGCGACGTTTGCGAGCGCACCGCCTGATGTTCAAATTTGCCGCATCCATTGGAGATCGCTGCACAATGCCAACGCGATGCGGATGCGTAGTTGCTGCGGAAATTGGAGCATGAGTTTCGACACAGATTGTAAACCATTTACAAAAAAACTCTCTGTTGATGGAGGTGCGCCCCCCCCCCCCCTCTTCCCTGACCCAGCTCCTCCCTTCATTTGCCACTGTCACTCTGTAATAGAGAACTAGTTTACCCACTCACCTCCCATCAATGCAGTTGATCATTTTTTCCAAGCCAACCCCTTTCGCTATAGGCACATTCTCTCTTGTAATCAGTTGCGTTTGAGGATCATCGCTGAACTTCAAACAGGATACTACAGCCCTCGTACACCTATTATGGACCATGAAGTAGCTGAAAAATGCGCAGAACGTGCCTCTCGATATCAAGAGAAAGATAGCATTTGGAATTATGTGTAGCTTACACAATCTCAGGTTTTGAACAGTTCCTTCCAGGATGATCTCGGCATGTAGTGTGTATTGGGCGGCAATTATTGCATAAAGGTGCTTAAAACATTGAATAAGATCATGCAAAGATAACATAGATGGCACAGAGAAGTGCACTTTCAGGACTTGTCCCTAATGAAGTTGAATATATTTGATACAGAAATTATTTAGCAACTGTATGTCCCAATAAGAATGAGGCCAAAATTGACATGATGCTCGTCCACACCGCTATATTTTTGCTTCTCTTCTGCATTTTGCCACAGGTGATCGTTCCAGGACCCAGGGCATGTCTGGTCTTTCTTTTTTCGAGCCGCAGATTTCGAGCCACCGTTTCAGTGTGATCTCTGGGGCAATTATGTACTGTGGAATATTAGTGGTGACTCGAACATCATCTCTTAGATTTGTAAGCGTTTTTGAAAATGTGATGGCAGCGTTACCAGAAAATTTCCAACAAACCGTTTTGAGTTAAATATTAGGTCGTAACATGAGTTTTTTTGCATTTGCAAGAGAAAATCTTCATAACCTTACTAAAAGGTTTTCTTTCACTTTCAAAATATGTAGATGGTGTAGTTTGGATATATTGTCACACAGGAAAAAGTCAAATTTGGTTCTCGGTTTTTTTTTGGCAAATTTTCCACTTGTTACAATGAAGAGCTCAAGTTTCCAAGCTGCCTTCATACTTCACTGGTGCTCTCGAAAATTCGCAAAAAATCTAAGAACAGAAAAAGAATGATGAGAGAGTTTTTAGAAAAAAAAGGAAAAAAAACTGAAGGTTGAAGTCCCGTCACAAAACTGTTCCCTCCCTGTTTTATGCCAAATATGAAACTTTACCGAGATTTCTAGTTTTTCGGAATTGACAAAGAAAGTGTAACGAAACTTGCGTTACGAGCTAGTAGATCAAGTATACAGGGATTATCAACTGAAGTGTCGGGTGCACCAGCACCTCCACTCCCGCGCTGTCTGCGTCTCTTCCGGAACATGCTCTCTAATCACTTCCAGTCGATTAAGGCTCCGCCTTTCCCAGGCTCGCCCTGGGAAAGTGCTCAGAGAGCATGCTCCGGAAGAACAAAGAGTCCAGCGCGTGAATGGAGATGCTGGTGCACCTGACTCTTCAGTTGATAAGCCCTGTACTGCTTTTGCGGGCCGACAACACTTGCGCGGGTTGGCCATAGGGCAAAATTCAAAAGGTGCATTCTGCAGCCATTCTATGCGTAGGTACCGCCTGCACCGCAACGACAATATATCATCAAGTGTGATAGTGAATTCAGAGAATCCATATCCCGATATCTGCATTTACACGAACTGCAACATTGCGCGTCCTATCTCTGTTGGTTGACCACTGCTAATTTCTTCTTGGTAACTTATCTCGCTTTCTTTCTTAGTTTGCGTTATTTCTGAAAAATCTTGCCAAGTAACGAGCTTTTCAAGGATTTCACTAAGCATGCATGAGATCACATTCGAGTAGATTTTCTGCTTAATATAGTGTGCTGGCACTGCGGGTAAAATGCGGTAAAATTAGCGCGTGAACTAATAGCTACTCTGGTAACGCCAGCATTTTGCGCGCGCAGCTGGCCGGCGTCACGGGCGAACCATTTGTTCACGTGCAAGTTTTACCGCATTTCACCTGCAGTGCAAGCACACATTAAGCGGAAAAACTCGACTGTACAATGTATGCAATCGCACATGTTAGGATAAGAGAATGATTAAATGAATTTTGATGCATAATGCCAATCATTTGCAAATAGCTTACCATTAAAATATTCATCGAATTCACTGTCTCCATCGACATCCATATAAACACGATGTGACTCCAAGAGACATGGAAATATGTTCGTGCTACTAACTGAAGAAGTGAATGAAATGTCTTTTGCGTGATATACTAAAACTAAGACGTACTGTGAACAGACGGCTTTAACGGTTTTGATGTCTATTGCGCGTTGGCTAGAATTGCCACAATGAATACAAAGCTAATCTTCCACATTTCAGTCACTTCAGTAAGTGGCGAAAACAAGGCAGTTGTCCAATAAGGATGGGAATGTAGAATTTCAAATGGGTGACGTATTTATATGAATTTTGTGGCATCTAGGAGTGTCTAATCCGGCTGACTTTTTTTTCGCTGATTCAAGCATAATATTCCAGGTTCGCTCGACATTAAAATTAGATTTGTCATTAGTTATTGTTCTCTATTGTCTGAATTTGGTCATATGTTCATCTAATTGCTTTGCTTAGAATTGCTTTGACTGCTTTGGTTTTGCTTGCTTATAAGCAAAATCAAAGGTAATTAGGACAAATCGGTAATCAAAGGTACGGAGTAGTAGATCTGTCGCAAATTTAGCACTCCTGCGATGCTGACTTCTCGATAACATCTGCGCGTAAATAATTGCAGGGTACGCAAAAATTCAAAAACCTCATAAGCAACTTTTTTTCGAACCACACACTATTTGTAGTGATTCTGTCCAGTTAACACATCACAGCACAACTCCAGTCGTAAGGAGAGTTTTTTCGACAAATCACGACCATCAAAAACACCTCAGACAACCCACGGGAACATCCGCCAAACAAATAATTGTCACAGGTTTACTATCACAGAAGAGTCTGAACGTCGAAAAATGGGAACTCAGGTGGCGGTAGTGGTAGTGGTAGTAGTAGTAGTGGTAGTTACTATCACAAAATTTGCCTCGTCGAAGATGGGAACTTTTGCATGAAAAAAGAAAGTTCTGCTTTGATTTTGAAGAGGTCCAGCGGGAGGGTTCTATCTCCAAATGTCCAGCGGAACTTCCAGTTGACTCTGTGAGACTAGTCAATGATCCAACAATCGCCGTGATGGGGATCATCAAAATTATTTTCACAAGTATGAAGTCAACCTACAAAACCGTCGTTCAAAGCATCAAAATTTCCCTTTCATCGGATTCCTCTCAATGAATGAAGCAAAGGCGTGCTTTCATTTTTTGCGGATTTGCTATCAAAAAAATGCATTATCACGAGTGTCATTGACAAGCGCACAAAAGTCAAAAACTGCTTATGTGTAGGGCTCAAGGCATCACCGTTAGAAATTTCAAGCATTACTTATAGCATTATCAAACATGGGTACGCCTGAGATAATTCAAGATGAGACATTGTTCATATATAGGCCTTCTATCAGCATTGGAAAGCATAGTGTGGCCCTCGTAAGAGCGTATGTTGAAAATGTCATCTACAACCGTCAAAAAATAATTTTCAAAACCAAGTTTGATGCCTACAACACGTTTTCTGGGCAGAAACATATTCTCAAAATTGAAATAAATTTGAATTTTCCGTCTTCGTTGTTTTTGTGCATTTCGAAAAGAAATTTTCTTTTTTATTTTATGAAAGAACGATTTCTGACAAATTTAGTCTACAGTATGGTGGAACGACGCGCTCTAGAATGCAGAATATAAACGTAAAGAAATTTTGTTTCTGCATCCCATACTCTTGTGTGCTTTTTTTGCTGAACTTCCTCAAAAGAGACTAATCAAAAAATTTTAGGCATTTTGCAGAGCGTGATCGAAGCATTTGATACATGAGTTCATTCATATTTGTTAGCGGTGCTATGCCGATGCAGTACCGATACAGTAAAGTTGCATGTATATACCCTACAACTTGATGGCAAAGAAAGCGTTGAATTCATACATTTCGCCACAACTTTTGTTACAAGAAGAATCCTATTTTTATGAAAAAATATTTCAGAAAGCGCCAGTACGTATGTTTTTATTCGCAATCAATCCCATTTCCTCTTCCACGCTATTGCACAGTGCCATCGTTCTGCAATAGAGATAGCGATTTAAACAAGAAAAAATTGTTGCTGCAGCCGATACGATTTCTCTTGGATAGAAAAAAATGAACAATGATTTTCATAGACGTTGCACTTATCAGCCATGTTACATTTTGTGTCCATCAGTTCTGTGTCTCAAATCGCATTTGGTAAACACAGCTGTGGTATTGTCTATTGCTAATATGTAAAAGCGCGTTTCGAAGTAATTGTGCATAGCATAAGTTTTGACTATTGACTATTGAAAGTAATTTTCGTCTACAAATGGTCAAAAAGTGTTCTGCAAACCTGCCAAAAGATGAATGTTTTTTTTCATACAAATTAGTTCGTGTCCATATGTTCCAAGGCTTTTGGACAAAGACACCTACTTGACTGATTTTGGACTACAGTATGCACTTCATTTTTCACTGACCAGTCGCGAAGCTATATAAAAACAACTCTGCTGCAAGCACTTCCTAAATTTTTTACTTGATTTCAGTACATCATTGAAGGATAAAGTTTGTCTCCTTAGACAGTAAAACTCCTACACAGTATTGAATGCAGATTAGTTAATTCATCTTCCGTAAACCGTTAAAGACCTATTTTGAGACGAAAAAACCCATTCTCAACAGTGTTCTAGTATCTGACGCTTCGTATTTCGCTGAACATGAGCGTAGCTGAAGTAATTCTATCAAAACAATGCCTCTGGCTCTTTGCAGCGATAAGTACAACATATAATGCACATTATATGGCACAACTATGTCCCACATAGGGAAGAACTTTTTTGAGCTCTAGTGTGACGGCTAAGAAAAATTCTCTATCAGTGGTGTCACATAGTCACTCAATTAAGAATTATTAAAAATATATTTCTACATCGGTCATGGCATTTGAAAAAAAAGATAAGATGAATGTTGAAGTTTTCACTTCCCCGCCAGATTTACCACTATATTATCGTGTTATGTTCGATCACAGCTCAATGTAGCTAAGCTGTACTTTCTTTTTTGCAGATTTGCTGTTGAATTCACGGGGCGCGATTGCACAACAAAAAAAAACTCGAAAAACCTTGATAACGGTTAAGGTGAATTGAATTGAAGCAGAGCTTCAAAGTTTCAGAATGCATTGCTTTATTATATTCTCAGAAACTTGTTCTGGGGGGGGGGGGGGGGGGAATTAGTGTGGAGGGGGAGGTACGCCATTGGGATGGCCGTGGTCGTGTTCCCTCATCCTGACGCAGCGCACCGTGCGGAAGTCCACCTCGTGTCCATCTGCGTCGTTGGCTTCCCATCTATAAAAGTTTGTTACAAATGTATTTTTATGCTAAATTTCGTGGTAAGAAAATCAAAAGATTTTTCGCTACAGTCCAGGTGGAGATCGCAGAGCTTTTCTTCAGATTCAACTCAAATGTGCTGTCGTTTATAGACAAATTGAATCCCAGCCAAAGGCTTTGATCAAATTTATGAAAACAGAGGCGAGGAAATGTATCTCAGCTGACATCGATTTCGCCGCGGCATTATTCGACCGCTTTGCAGCCCCGCCCACAACTCTTATCCAGAACAAAGTTTACTATAGCGAGTCGTACTTTTCGAGCATTCGCAAGACATTCATTAACATGGGTAATTCACTACTTAACTCGAATTTTGATTTCTTAGAATACACTTCACTCACCTTCCATCAATACACTTGACCATTTTGTCTATGCCAAAACCTTCAGCCAAAGTTTCATGGTGTTTTGTGATGATCTTTGTGTAATGACGGTCGTCACTTCGACGGCAGGATAATACAGCCCTCAGACAATTATTATGTGTCGGGAAGTACCTACAGAAACCAAATGAATTTTCTACTCATTGAAAAAAATTGCTTACGTAATTCGAGCCTTTGAGCAATGGTGCCCTCTAGGGGAATTGTAACAAGTAGATTTTATTGGAGCGCAGTCAGTACACGAACCTGTATCAAGATAATTCCATTGATAATGCACAGCAGTAGTTTTTCTTATTTTTTTAGTGATTTTCAGTAAAATCTATGGAAGAATTATCTCAAAATTAAAATTTACTCTATTTCCAAGCATCAAAAAGATTTTAGCCCTCGTAAAAGTGATTGAATGCTGACGCTTCTGACAATTATCTCCTGATCAGCTAATGGTAGACAGCTTAGTATGATTACGGAGAATTAGGGTAGACAAATTATAGTGGAAAGTGCAAAGCAGACGTCTGATATGATAATATAATCCTACCGTAACGATATTCTTCACTGGAATCATCGCGATGGTGACGGTGGGGATACGTAAATATCGGAGGAGGAGGTCGGGCTACGGGTGGAACAGCTGAAAATGAATTAGTAAGCTTAATATCCGTAAAACAAAATGAAATTTACGAGGGACTGGAACTGGAGGAACTGGAGGTGGTGGAGGTTGTACGACAATATAAGGCTCCTTGGGCGACTCTGATTTTGCCAGAACTGCGATGGTGAAGATTACGCACAGCTTCCACATTTTAATAAACTTCAACGACAATGGAAGTAAGTCTGTCGTTTACCGGTAATGGGAAGAATAAAATTTCAAGTTTGTGGTGCTATTTATACCAGCACTGGCCAGAATGATGATAAAATTAGCATAATGAATTTTAACAATGTTTTGTCGCTGATTCAAGCAAGACATTTCTAAGCTAAACAAAGAGCAATATCGAAAATTCTATTGCAGTGATTCAAGAATTTTCAGTCAATTACACAATCATTCCAGCAATCCATGAAGCATGTCATCGCCCCTATTGGGATGTTTTCGTTCATAGATATGAATACGGCCTATCCACGAGCTAAAAAGAAATAGTATAGATGAACTGAACTCCTTGGGTAAGACTAAAGGCGAGGGCTTGTGTGAGTCATTTGTGGCCCACAAAAATAGCTCCAAACTTTTCTATTGCCATGGTCGAGGGCGCTGTTTGGTCCTGTCAGGAAGAGTACCATCTGAGCGAGGGCTTAGGGCCGCATGCATTAAAAGCAGCGGCCCGGCAGAATGACGTATTTGGGATATCCACTGTTCTTGGTTCCCCTGGATGAGCTAAGTCCAAGACTGTGCTTTGCAGCTTCGGAAGATATCATTAACTCGCTGTTACAAAAATGAAAAGTGCTATTTTGGCGATCGGCGTATGCCTGTCCTTGAGCGCGATTGGCTCTTGGGTAGGGTGGGTACAGTGTCTCCACTCACGAGCCAATCACGCTCTAAGGTGGGTACAGTGTCTCCACTCACGAGCCAACCACGCTCTAGAGGACAGGCATACGCCGTCCGCCCAAATAGCACATTTACGTCTAGAAAAGCGGGTTATTGATATCTTTTGAAGCTGCAAAGCACAGTCTTGGACTTAGCTCGCCCAGGGAAACCCAGAACGATGAATATTCCAAAGTTATCATTCTGCCGAGGCACTACCTTTAACATCCCCGCTGTTAAGGGGATTACAGCTTCAGAAGAAAGCTTCATATCTTCAAGCTCCAGATATCTGGATTTCACGCTGTCTTCCTATCCGTAAGTGCCCCCATTATCCTTCACTAAAAACATCTAGAACGGGAGCAAGAAGCTGTACAAGCCGCATTTTCCAGCTTCTTGTTTGATCCCCTGATGTCCCTGGCTGCCGACCGTCTTTTCTTTAGAGTCATTTTTCATTTTTCGAAGTCAATAAAAACATCCTAAAGTTGTGCTGTTTATCTAACCCAACAATGCTGATCATGTTTCTGGTAAGAACAAGTGATGTTTCGAAGTCTGAAATACTTTAAAGGAAGAAAAATGACTTTGAAGAAAGACGCTCGACCGCGGGGATCATACAAAAAGCTGGAAAATGCAGGTTGTACAGCTTCTTCTTGCTCTCGTTTCAGATGTTCATAGTGGAGGATGATGGGAGTACTTACGGATAGGTAGATAGCGTGAAATCCAGATATCTGGAGCTTCAGGAATGAAGATTTCTTCTGAAGCTGCGATCCCCTCCCCAGCGGGGATGTTAATGCATGCGGCCCTTAGGGTTGAATTTCTCGGTCAAAGATGAGTCATAGAAGCTGCTACTCAACACGTTGACGACAACGAGCGTTTTTGATTGTCTGCCTCTTGGAACAAAGCCTCTCACGATTTTTAGCTAAAATCATATAGATCGTCAACTACAGTATACCTACAGTAATTCTATGAAGCAGGCGAGAAACGCAAGAGCTGTTTCTAGGGTGGGTGAGTGACTTTTCATACGATGAGCAATTCCGAGGTGCGAGGTGTGAACACCTACGGCTAAGTGTCAAGTCTCACACCTCCGCGCCTAGTATACTGTAGAGAGGGGCGAGGGAGGGGGACTTTTCATACAGATGCCTCCACATCATCTTTTGGCAAAGACCCAGTAAAAACTGGCACCATGCCAGGTTTGGGCCTGCTGGCTCCATTCCAAAAAAACATCTATATAGATTAGCTTTTGCAGTATAGCGAATTTGGATAAATTTGGAAAACTTGAATAATGTATGGATTCAAAAAGTGTTTTGCTGTGAAAAATACACTATGGTCGTTCCAATTACGAACTTTTTAGTATTCAAGTCGACATAATTCGGTCTCTTTTGCAAACGTTTTGAACTGATTTGAGTATTGTCACATGCCTCTCCGACCTTTCAGCATTACCTGGAAGTGTTACTCTTCCCATAGGGGATATTGGAGGGGGAAGACGGTCAAGAGGCGCGATTTTTCTGGGTGTCATCAACTTAAAACTCTAGTTTCATGCTATGGGAAAATTCAAAAAGTGCCGGACAAAGTCCATTGGCTTACTAGCTGTTTGAAGTAATCACTTGATAAGTTTGACGATTTTTGCTAGAAAAGTAACAGAAATATTTACAAAATTGCTGTTAACTGCATTTTTATGTGTTTTTGACCTTTAACAACTTTGTCTGAAATCGATTTCAAGAAGATGAGATTGAACAATCCCTAAAATTTTCAAGTAATTCTAGAACTTCATAAAACACTAAGTATGTGATATATGCTGCCCCTCTGGCAATAGAAATCGCGCCTCTTGACATAGCTACACCCATTGGAGGGCATGGGACTCGATAAAGCGAACTATTCATTACCACAATTGTGCCAGTTGTTTGCGAAAATGAATTCGCTGTGGCCTGACGATCTTTACTATAATGCGCTTCAACCCGATAAGCTTTATACAACAGATAAAAGCAAGATATTCTTTAGTTTACGCATTTTTGATAATAGACGTTTCATTTTAGTCCATTGTAATCGATAACTGCACGTATTACCAGCACCCTAGCATACGCTGGAAGGTCAAAGGGGTGTATGCCAAGACGAACGATAGCTGGCAATAAGCATACTGTACTCCAACGGTTGTCAATATGTCTCACATTAAGTCTTAATTTTTGAAGCTGTATGTCCTAAACTGGATTAAAAATGGTGTCGAACAGTAAGAATGAGGGCATATAGAGCTTCTAGTGTTTTTTCCAATTTTCTAGATATCATCATAGTGGTAATATGGAATTTGAAAAGATTTGACCTACGCAGCGCATATGGCTGGCACAACCTATCGTTCATGTTGGCTGCCCCCCAGGTCAAAGTGATCGGGGAGCGTTCGTATGAAAAGTCCCCCTCCCCCCTCACCTAGGCGTAGTGGAGAATCTTACTAATTACGTGGATGTATACATTCACGTAATTAGTAAGATTCTCCACTACGCCTTAGTAGATTCTCCACTACGCCCTCTATAGAGGTGCGATGTAGGTGTGAGATAGGTGCGAAGGCTAGGTGCGAAGTCCCCGATCGTATGAAAAGTCCCCCCCCCTTCTAGGGTTAGAGCGTAGGAGAATTTCTGAAACTAATGTATTCCAGAATAGCTGTCTTTTCAACACAATTTATGATCCACCATATGGGTCACATTGTCCCAGGTGGCAGACATTGCATGACCCACCACGAGGGTCACGTTGTCGTCAATGTTAAACTAAGACTTAATTAGTACTCTCTCATTGTTATCCACATAATTAATCCACAAACTCAGATTTGGAACGCTACCCTCGAGAAAATAAAACGTAAATTTGAAATATATCAACTTTCAATCAATTCCCTTTCCTTGCTGAAATTGCACCATTGCTATCATTCAGCAATACAAACAGCGATTTGAACCAAAGAAAAACGCTTCGCTGCCATTACGGTTTCATCTGCAACTCAAAAAAAGCAAACTAAAGTGCACAATGATTCCAACAAATCGTTGCACTTATCAGTTATGTTACATTTGTATCCGTCAGTTTTGCGTCTCAAAACGCAAATGATCAATCCACCTGCACTATTGTTCATTGCTTTCCTTCGAGCAACATTTAGATTACAAAAATGAGTGATTTGCAGTCGTGATATGATTGACAATGATTTCTACCAGGACTCGGCACAGCTGGCACCGGATCAAGCTGGATATCGTTTTTGGGACAAAAAGCAAAAAGGCAGTGGCGTACCCAGGATTTCCGGCCACGCCCCTAAAAAATTTTTTTTATAAAGCTAAATCGAATTTTTAAAAAATTTTAAAAAATATTTCAGTTACTTACAAGTATAAATAAGTCACTTGCACATTTTTATAGCTCATGTCAATAGCTTTCAAAAGTTTCGCGTTTAGGGTCAAAGGGGACTTCATATGTAATACCCTGATTTTTCATGTTTTCGAAATATTTCAGCTCAGGATAAATGAAGTACATGCGAAATTTACTTCTTTCCTGATGTTTTGGTGCTTAGTATGAATAGCATCATGAAATCGCAGCATCTGACATTTTCGCGTTATCACAGTTGAATTTCTTCCATAATCTCAACTATTCTAACTTTGTAATTATGTTGGAACTGATCCCAATATAGAAAAGCTACTGTTTTTAGCTGCTATTTCCAATAAAATATTGAAGAAGAAGCGTTGAAAGATGAGACTTTTGAAATTTTGACAAACACTTGCTTGCAACGCGAAATCTTGTTCAGTCAAGAAAAAAATATTATGATCGTCTGATAATTCCTAATTATGTAGCGTGAGGTGCTTTTCCTTGGATCCAATAATAATTTGCTCTATTCGAAATTTCGCATGTATTATACAATTCATTTATCTGAAAAAAAAAGAAATAAAATTAGAGAAACTACGAATTTGCCTTTGAACTATTACTACAGGAGTACAAAGAAGTGGAAATTATAAAAAAAGGTTTTTTTGGGGTCTTGGGAGTCGGAACCATTGTTTTACAGATTTTTAAAAGTTGAGATAATCTGTGCAAATTTTTTAAGCTCCATTTTATGACTCCATAGAAGGAAGTCATATGATTCGCTCGCTTATCAAGCCCTTGGCATATGACAGAATGGCACCATTTTGACTCGATCAGAAGGATCTTGGAAGGAAAACGAAATTTTCGGTTTTTTATATCTTTCTCCGAAATTAAGTCTAGCCATCGACGATACGGAAGTGTCCAACGTTAATTGCGTGCACGCGAGAACGATAAACCCTTTTGCGCTCTGATAAACTCGGAAGAGCAAAACGCGGCAGCTGCGGACGCCGTGTTCAGATAATTTCAACGAATTTTCACCGTTCACTAGTCGTATTATGGTCTCTTAAGCAACAGAATTGTCCACTAATCGAGAAACATCATTACCACAAGAGCTGCTGATAGAAGGGGCACAATTGACACTTGCGACGTGTACAGATAGAGGAATTACTTTCGTCATTGGATTGGAGAAGGCGGTGCTGGTCTCGACGCTACTTTTCTGACTCCATTCCTTGGGAGAAGCTCAATTTGAGCTCCTCTCTCTCTCTATAGCTACTTTATTCTAAGAAATTTTTTTTTTCAAGGCGCTTTTGCACGACCGTTCGCTCCTATTTCGAGGTTATTTTCTTCATCTAATTCTCAATTCCACATTCCAGAAATGCTCCGTGATCCTCAATTCGCACAAAAGCACGATGTATCTACTCCGATTATGGAAAATCCTGATGCACAGAAGCCCTGGAGTGAACGAAGCGACACAACTCGAGTCATTCTACGTCGCTTATCGTCGAACCGGGACCGTCCCAGTATTCTGAATCGTTCGCCACAAGACTCTGCCTCGACGTCTACTGACAGCATTTGTTCAACTTCGGCCCCGGAGACGTCGACTTTGGATCGAAATCGTTCCACTCGCCATTCTCTTCTCATTCGAAATAAGAACAAGATTTCGCGATTCATCTTCGAGACCGACTTTAATAGTTCTGGGAAATGTGGGGTGAGTAAGCACTTATTTACACATTGATTGTCAAAGGAAAGAGAATCTTGGCTCGAAATAGCCATTAGATATGTACCATAGTCTGCGAGGATATTCATACAGTCCAATTCGTTTGCATCTTAATTTGTGCAAATGCACAGACCATCCATATTGCGCTTGCCATCTCGGATGTCGCTCATCATAAAGACAGACCTTTTTAGGAGAGTGATTTTTAAATATCATTGCTGAGGACACTCAATGGGAATTATAAGAAGATATTCATGCTGAAATATGCCCTTCCATTCGAAGGGATTGGCGGCTGGAAGGCGACCTGTCGCGCGCGACGCGCGTGCAGCTCTCTGATCATGCTTTAGCCTTGATTAGGCCCCGAAGAACTGCCTTCCGGCAATCCCGCTGAATCAGAGTAGATATCACGCTAAGGACGCGCAATATGGATGAGCTGCGCATTGACACAAATTGGTACACAAAATGACTGTAAGGCATTTGGAAAATCGTGACGACGGCGCGACCGCGCGCTACACGCACTCCACTTCCGGAAACCGCATTTTCTTGGTTTTCATCTCTAGTCGAATGGTTTATTTTTGCTTACATATGATAGAATTTACAAACTGGAAGTGACTGAGCTGAGCGTTGAGTTGATATCTGAGTTGATACCACGTGTGAGTGTTTCATGCTACTGAGGGCGCAAAGTCCGCAGTCAAATCCGTCTTCAAGATTTTTTGAATGACCTGTAGATTGTTGATGGTTGCGGTCTGCGAGGAACTACAACGCTTCACCTCACACTGTTAGCTTCAACAGACTTTCAAGCTAGAGTAATTTCACCTGCATCTCGTCTGTGTTGCTCAAAAAATGCCTGGATATAAGCGCAATGAACACAAAATGAACGTTACATGCTGAGTACAGAGCTGGTGCACTTCAAACCCGTTCGTCATATGTTCTGTTTTTTAAGGTTTGCTCTAAACTCGACCTCGACACCGCCTTTTCCCCATGTCGCCACATATATGCTTGCCACGACTGCGCCAACAATATTATGCGAACGTCCGGTGTATGTCCTGTCTGCAAGCACACCATAACGGCTGTCGACCGATGCTAAGTGGATCGATTGTTTGGCGTATTTGAGCTTAGTCACTTTGTTTCACTTGTAATTCAGTTTTTTTTTTGGTTCATCATTTGTGATGTCACTATGGTTTTGCAGAATTTTGGCAAACTTATTATTGCGTGGATTATATAACGTCATACTTCAACGTCAGCGCTCACCCATATCTTTCTTAATGTTTCCATAAACCCATTTTATACTGTTGTGGTTGTATTGAGGGTAACCAATTGAATAGCATGGTTTTATTGGTCAATCTTTGCCTATATCGTTGCCTTTTAAGCTTTGCTGTCATTTGTTGTTTTGTGCTTGAAAGATTGTTTCTTCCATATTCTGTGAACTTCGTGTTTTTTTTTCAACGATGGGATAGAAGCTAATAAGGTGTCTAGTAAGTGTCCATAATTTTATCTGTGCGATTAACGCAACATTACCTTTGACTGGAGCAATATATTGAAGATCGTGCAACGCAATGCCAGAAACTCCATCGTCCTCGTTACACTGCGAACCTTCAACGTCTGTGCTCTTTCGCGATTTTCGACAGCTGTTAGACTTAAAATCAGTCATCTAATAATCAGTTCACATAATTAGTTGATAAGAGTATGTTGCTACATGGGTTGCCCTGCACTCGATGCTGCACTTTATCCTGAACCTTTGTAAAAATTGCGACTGATCCACCGGAAGCACAAGGCCATAGCGCTTTGTTACACTACGTGACGCCGTTCTGCTTTTAGCGATTTGCATGTAGTTGATAGTATTTTGTGACAGTTCCTTTTTATCACATCTTCTCTGTGGTCGGTTGCTATCTCTTCGTGGGGTGCGAACATTTTCATCGTACGTTCTCAATCATATCGATGAACTTTCACTAGTTTGTAGGCTGTCTTTAGTAATTCATTGTTCGCTGATTGCTATATGAAAGCCTGTTCAAATGGCGAGACTTGCTGGGAATCCGGCTCCTTGTCGCAGCACTGATCGACCTTCATTGTTCTCACTCTCTTGCAAGTGAAGTACCTCGGACTGTTCGCCTCGTGACGCGGCTTCCCTGATCTGCTGACCAATTGTTGATCCAGCAGCTGAGACTATCGACTACAACTTTTTTTATTGCAAAAATATACTCATCATGATTTATCGAATCAAGTCTATGTTCCGAACAATCGTGTTTCTATCTGAAACATCCTATTAACATAGTTTTATTGATTTTATCTCCTAGATTAGGCACGAATACGATTCTGGACGCAACATGGGCAATGGACATGGCACTCCAACCAGTGAGTTCCTTTGATTTCTATTATTTGAGTGTTCTATCAGATAAAACGAAATGCGATAAACCGGTTGCACAATATGGTGTGACGTCCAGGAGGACTAAAAAGTGCAGATAGTTTGCTATCTGTGACGGCGGATAAAAAGGTGTTGGAATTGCACACTCTATTATACGGGGAAATTGAGATGAATCATCATGAAAGAATAAATGGTCCGTCATGACTCACTGTGAAACTTGTTCTGAGCCCAGTACATGTCTATGAAAAACTGTTCTAAGTCTTTTGTTTTGATTTGTGTCATGCAACAAATGGGAATAGCACTTCTTTTTCGAACTGTCATGCTTGGCAATGTGTGTCTTCCAAAATAATTGGAGATAATTATATGCTTTTTGAGAAATTCAGATTGGAGCGATTTTGCTCTAGATCCAGATATACCGGTCGATATAGGCGCCAAATCTTCACACAACTATTCGTGTCTGCGGTTGCTTCCTCACTCGAAAGTTTGGGCCTAAGTTTCTGCTCTTTCTAAGATCTTTGTTATCTACTACTCAAGTTTCACTTTAGTCTAACAACGAAGAGCTTCAAAAAGACATGTACACCTTTCAGGATTATCATTTCTAAACCTTGGTGCATTAGAGCTATCTATAGCGAAGCATTATCTTTGAATCACTGCTTGGTCTTTTTTTTTGTTTCAAAATGTGCAAATCAAATGTTCCACGCTTTCATCGCTCATAGATACAGTTGCACTTCTTACCCTGCACTTGTAGACCGCTTTCACTTTTCGTGACAAGAAGTTTCTCCCTCGCCGTCGTCATCTCATCCTATTCATGCTTTTTTCCTCGTACGATAAACTATCCAATTTCCCAATCAATGCCTGATAGAGCTGTAAAAACCGCGTATTTTCGTGACCGCACGTTTGGATAGCAAAGCTCTTGAACAAAGGTTGTAAAGATTTTTTGGCGATGAGGGATGTGCGACAAAGGGTCAAGTGACATGCGTTACCTCCGCGGCCAGCATCCACACATATTTTCGCCTCTTTGTAACGAGCATCACCCATTCTGTTGTTTTTACCCGAGAACGTTAGCCAGACGGTGTCACTCTTGCACAGCAAGGTGCTCGTTCAGCTGATTTAATCTTATGATCGAAAAATCCCTCGTCATACCTGTGTACTCCGCAACTGTTTAACTTCTGTCGTTTGAGGGGCGCTGGCGCTGAGGTTCAACAGCAGCGGTTCGAGTTCAAGCATCACAGCTAAGGAGCATCGTTGTGATAGATTAATTCGTTCGAAAATCGTGTAACGTTGCTGCCTTTGACTGATTTACTACTAACGATCTGTGCTGGTAGTATTCATGTACAATCTACGTCCAAGACATCGTCAGCTATCTTCAACTTCAAGACCTTCGTCTGAAGTTCTAAACGATGACGATCGACTGTCGAGATCTTCGAGATCTTCGTCACTCTCTCGGCACTCTTCTAGATCGTCTTCACTCATAGATCTACGGCATGGGGTCAGAATACCGCATACCATAGCATTACCAATTAGGGGTAAGTTTTACTTGTGTTTGTCTTATACCTGTTATACATCTTGCAAAATATGCTGTCCGAAGCTTTTACATTCAAATTTGGTGGATACCCGTTACCAAAGCAAATTTGCCCTTGTTTATCTTGTGCAAAACTTCTTTTCCATCTACGTTGGATAGCAATCCATTTTCGACGCAGCCTTTTAAGTTAGCCTAACAGGCCTGAATGACTCACATGTTCGGGTTGTCCTTGCACGTTTTACGGTAAGGCAAGTTTGAAATTCAATTAGTAAACGGAATGTACTTATGCAAGGGAGTGCCCGTTCTTAACTGGCAGGTTTGTGTACACAGTTGCTTCTAAATCATAAAGCGAACGTGTTTGCATTCAGAGCCCAACACGACATTGCACAGGTTCCGTCTCACCAGGCAAAGCCTTATCGATGGGTTTTATCATCGACCAAATTGTACTGTACAGCAAATTTTCGAGTTTTAAATCGGCTAGTTGCCGATGTTTATTCACATTTTCAAATCTTCCTACCTTGTGTCATAGGTTTGCAAGTGCATAATCTTGGTTTAAAATAGACAGTAGATGCGTGTCATCCATATAATGTTCTTTGTCGCGACAGCTTTTTATAATATTTCGACAAATTTCTCATTTAGAATCCAGTGTAATACTCACCGCTGACGTTAAATCTTTTGTATGAGACACTATGTCGAAATTGTCTGCGAGCATTTTGTGTTTTGATTACTGGGTATACATGATATGGCTTCGATCATCTCAAATGATCGCCAGTTTGCCAAGCTTTTCTAACTTTTCGAAGCACTTATGTAACCTGACGCTGACGTCATGACGTGATTGATCACCTGTGCAACCGATTGTCGCTCAAAGTGCTTTGTGGTAGAATTAAGATATCCCTAGAAACCGTATTATCTTCGATGATTACCGTACTATTTACAGATATGGTTGATTCGTTTTCGGATTTGGATGGAATCAGTGTGAACCAAGGTTTGCACAATGATTCTGATTTTATAAAATCCCATTTTTAGGTTTTGTCTTCCAGGTACAGTAGATACACGGCTACCGCAACTGGGGTTTCACTCAGTGCACGGGCAAAACGTCATCCTACAAAAAGGTACAACTTACTTGTGAGGTGCCACTTTGAAAAGTCGACTTTTTTACTTTAGGTGGTCGAGTGGCGAAACGGAAAGAAAGCTTTTGTAAAGGACTTGCGTTCTCGAATAGGTGAGCATTAACCTTGAAGCATTTATAATCTATTATATCGTTACACTGTTCAGGCCTGTATCTGTAAACGAAAACGTTTGTATACGACTCACTGAGGTGTCCACGAGTTGGTCAGGCGTTTTGAGATTTGGTGTCACCAATGTGGATCCAGAAACTTATAGGAATATTCAAGTACCAAAGTGAGGGTTTGTTTAGTAATGTTATGTAGTCCATGTCTTCAACGCCATTTAGAGAAAAGATTCGAAGTTCTGGTCATTTTTTTTATTTCATCTAACCTGATTCGGAAATTTGGTTTGTTGCCCTACGTTCCATTTTATTTCTTTCAGATTCGCTTGTCCGGATCTAACTTCTAAAGAAGGATTCTGGGCAAAAGCTCTTCCTGAGCGATACTCCGTAGAAGGGAACATTCTGCATTTCTCTATCACTCATGCTGGCGATCTTTGTTACGGAGTAAATGGTGTTCATAAGGTTTGCGCGTTAGTTTATTTTTTCGCATGGTCTAACGACTGCATATTGAAATAAAATTTTAGGGTGTATTTTTGGTCGGAATTAATGTGTCGCTTCCAATATGGATAATCATTGATATTTATGGAAACAGCGTTGCTGTGGAATTTGTTGGTGAGTTATGAGTTTCTAAGTTTTTGACCCTTACCTTGTTATCTCACTTTATTTATAAAATAAGAACCACCATGTTTTTTTTTGAATTTTATTTTGTGGTTTTCTCTATCGAGTTTATTTATAACTCAGAGGTGGTCTGGAGAGATTCAGATCGTTCCAACTGGATTTGCTATCTTTGATTCAAGTTTACATTTATACTTATCGCCAACTCTTTTTGGGCACTAGGACGCAAGCTGCTTTACACCAGGGCTTGTTCCCACAACCCGCGCTTACGACTGTTACGCGTAATTTCTACGGTCGCTTTTGTGTAAATATACTTCGCATGGATTAAAGATAACATGAGTTCGCCTGTATTGTGCGATGTCTCAAGCAGCTCAGCAGCAATAGGTTGTCTTCTCGCCGCTCTTTTGTATTGACTAATGGCTGGAAGGCTCCACTCATCGCCCTAGAGAGCATTGTCGAGCACTAGCTTTTTCGTCTACGTTCTCCTGTTTGCATCGACTAAACATAGTGTGTTGCATGAGGTTAAACTATTCAGAGAGAATGTAAAGCGGAGAATTCTCATGGAATGTAATTGTAAACTCTATTTGGACATCTAGTACACAATTTCCGCATCTGTTCGCCGAACATGTGTCGTGGTGTAACGGACATATTTTCGACGCGCGAGAAAGTGAGTCAGAGCGTGCTGAATCCGTTGTTAGTGTTGCAAGTTCTTACTAAGCACATGTCTCTTTCACATGCAAACTCACATCAAATCTGCTTCATACTTTTACATTATATCAATTTTCCGCCACCATCATCATCAATGTGATGGTAGCGATTGTTTGCCACTGTAAGCTTGTTCTTGTTCTCATAGGAGTAGGTCCAGTCATAAAGTAAACTGACATCGTAAGCTGTCGTAGCCGCGTCTCGCTTTTACTATCGTCGTCAAAATTCGTGTAAAATCTAGCTCATTTTGGCTTACACATCTAGTCCAAGTTTTTTTTTTGATGCAGTCAATTAGTCTACGACAAGATCGATTTTTAGCGTTTACCTTAGCTGTATATGTTTACAATATTTTTGTATTATAAAAGTGTGACTCTTGCTTGTCAGCCCCAAGAGCGTAGCGATTGCTAATCGCTATGCACTTTTCCCTCAAGTGTGAATTTTGTGTACTCTGGCATCCACTTTTTTCGATAAGATTCCTCTACAAACCAGTTCCGATTTACAGAGATGCAAGTATTATGCACGAAATAACTGCATAGCATTTTACTGCTGTGTCTTGGTTTGTAGTAGTTGCCCAAATTTTTTTGCTGTTTTTTTCTAATTTAATTACGTTGTGTTTCATCTTTTTGCCCTCGTACTTTTAGAATGTTGAACTAGATTGTGTTTTGGATCAAATATTCTTTGAGACCTCAGCGAGAAGTTGAGTTGTCCTTGTGGAAAGAGTGGATTCTGGTAACAGTGCATATGTCCTGAACTCAAGTTCAGCTAATATCTTCTCTGTGATCAGAGTTCGGTTGTTCTTCTTTTTTTTCAAATGTATGTTAGACGAAGGGGAGTGATTGCGATTGTGGATTTCGCATGTGGGAGGATTCCTCCGAGTTATTTCTCTATGCATCTATCTTGTCAGGCGCTAGAATAGTTATGCTCTCATATGCAAGATCTTCCCATGTTGTCGATAAATGTTGTGATTTTTTGAAAAAAAAAAAACTAAAAACGTACCTCCAAATTCACATCAAGCTTATAGACGCTAGCCTGGAATATCATCTCTATCATACAACTTAGCAGTCTACAGCTTATTCCCAAATTCACTAATCTTACTACATTGTTCAAACTTAATCAGCTGCCTCTGCTACTTATCAGCGCGTGCTGTGTTTGCCTACCTTCTCGAGTCGGAGTTCAAACTCAGATTGTCTCATTGCACTCTTGTAGTGCAGCAGTAGATGAGCAAATATTGGCGGTACCAAGCATTTACAAATCCACCATGTGATGAGGAGGAGCTCTGTGGCAAGGATAAAATAGAAACAGTTCAGATTGGTAAGTTCTTGGGGGAGTATTTATGCAAAAGAAAAGGATGCCCTACTTGCATAATCTTTGGCGGAAGAATGGGGGTGGAAGGAGGGAGGAGGGGGGAGAAGACCGAGACTGTAGAATTGCAGCTTCCTATCGATTGTTTGGCGATGAAGTGGCGGGGTCCTAGTTTCATTATGTCATGAAGAACTCTATCAGATTTTGAAATAACCCAAACAAATCCTCTTATCAGAAACTGGGAGTATTGATGGCTTTCAGATCCGTCAGATTTCCGCGTTCCTCGTGCATCATCAACAACGACGTCATCACGTATCACAAGTGCAAGTAATCCTAGCCATGAACCGGAACAATCAGCGCCTGTGATAGCACCGACATCATCAACTCCACAAATCCAAAATGCTAGCAATAGCGGTAGGTTTTTGTTTTTTTTTTCAGTTCATGTGCTTCATATGTCATAGAAGTGTTTAGCTTCTGCAAATTTTGAACCTCTACGCTTCCATCAGATGACGGGTAGACACGTGTCTCTTAATACTATGCGAAATATGGCTAGTCGCTGTAGCAGCGAATATGCGCAAGGTTACGTTTTCTCCGAACGACCGATACGTAATAATGAAAAGGTTGTTATCGAGGTGAGCTTTGGCTATACCTTAGTTTTCGAAGAAATAATTTGCTTCCATTGTCAAATTTAGATTGTAAGCGTTCTGCAACTTTACAAAGGTGGTTTGGCATTCGGAGTGACTTGCTGTGACCCGGGGACGCTTCGCCCGGCTGATCTTCCGGATGACTCGTCCGACTTGATTGAAATGCCACAGTACTGGGTGGGAATCAAGGATATTGCCCTACAGCCTCGTGTTAACACTGTGCTTAGTTTTTGGATCACTGATGCGGGTAAGTTTTTCTAGTTAGATAACTACATACATTGGAATAATGTACATGGTATCCTGCAGGTGAAGTAAAATTTGAAAAGGACCAAGGTATTGCTCGTACAGTCCTTCATGTTGACAATTCGCTTCCTCTTTATATGTATTTTGATATTTATGGATCGACTCAAGCAATTAAATTGCGGGGTAAGCATACTCATCAGTTCTTTAATTTTTTTTTGCAAATTATGTTGCTGTTTCAGGAACAATGCCTGTATCTCGATCTCATTCCCCACTTCCAAGAACCACTTCTTCAACAACTACGGCTCCGACACGGGTTGCACTTCCGCCATTGCCAACGATGATCAGGAGGTATTCAAATTTCCGCGACCATTACTCTTTTATTTGCTTTTCTTATAGAGAGTCTCCTGCTTTGCCTTCCTCGCGACCATCTCATCCTTACGAGTTCTCATCGAATATTTTGCGCGTTCTCCGTGAGAGTTTACCTTTTTCTTTTCTATTTGAGCCATTTGATTGCTATCTAACTTGTATATATTGCAGTTCGTGACCAGGATAATGCAACTTCAGATGCGCCAGCTCCAAACTCTCACGACGACAGCTATGAGGAAGTTACTTGTAAGCATATTTTATTTTGCATTCTGTATTCAAAATGATTACGAATCTTAGCTCATCGACGGAGTCGTCCAACTCCGCCACCGAGAAGAGCTTTGGAGGAGGCGATGTTGCGTCGTACTGTCGATGATCTTCTTACGGATTCACCACCAGTGGTTGTACTTAATCCACCTCCGCTTGCGCCAAGACCGGTTTGTCATTCGCTGTCACTCACTTAAAGAGTTTATCAAAAATATAAATTTAGACTCCTCTGTTGGGACCGCTTCCAGCTCCTCCATCGCGCCCTCCTCCTCCCACTCCTACTGCATTAGCAAGCAGTTTGAGTAGCAGTGGCACTGGCATATCATCGTCTTTGCATAGTGCAAACTCTGCATTGGTATGTACCTTCACCGATTCAAGATCAAGAGTTTCTATTTCCACTTCTTCTTGTCCGTTATCGTGATTTTATAATATTTGAAGGAGTCTTTGCTTGGGCGCCCATCGGGTGTTAGCCAGGACCTGCCATCGTCATCGCGTTCGTCCTTGCCCAATCTACAGAGCTTAGCACTTCCTTCCGCCAATCTACAGAGCTTAGCACCCTCTTCTGCCAATCTACAGAGCTTATCACATCCTTCCTCTACACGAGCGAGAAGTGCACAGCTGAGTATAGGAAGAGAATCAAGCGATCGTGAAGAGGGACCACAAGGCGACGATACAGATGAATGCACGGTGGGTTCTCGGATTTTTAACTAGACTTTCAGTTTTTTTTTACTCTTTACCACTGTTTTGCGAATTATGTAGATAAGACTTTGTCTTTTAAACTGGTTTTGCAGGTTTGCATGTCAGCAAGGGTGAACAGTGCTTTGTACAAGTGCGGACATTCCTGTATGTGCTATGACTGCGCAATGCAAACTTATCGTTCATCGGGGCTTTGCCCTCTGTGTCGAGCCTCCATCTTGGATGTTATTAAGATCTTCAAAGCTTGAATCTCTCACAAGGTTTTATGGATTTTCGATGCTGTTATAGTCGAATTGTGACTATGCGTTATGTGACGTCATCACATAGTCTTCAAGAAATCCCTGTGATGACTTTTTTTACAGTAGGATTTCAATAACTTGAATTACTTGTCTGTGCGTACGCGTTTTCATTTGTGCTTGCTCATTTATCATTTTTAATACCAATACAAATCGCGTACTGGTAGTTATGTTATGTTATTATTTCTGACTAGCCTAATCTTGTCTTCCAGTGCAACTTTCTTTCTAATATGTTGAAGTTACCCTGTATTCATCATTACTGGAATGTTTCCCATTTGCATACCAAGTCGGCCCGTGCTCTGCATTTTAACCCTGCATTATACTTCCTTATATTTGGCTTATACTTCATCTTCCATGTGCAAATCATTTTTTGGCATGTTTTAGCATGTTTTTCTTGTTTAGGGAAGTTTTTTTTGTGAATTCAGATTTCGAACGAGTCCATGTAAGCATATAATCCTCTGATGGTTATAGTGTATAACAACTTTTTTTATGTCGAATGTAACCATATTGTAGTGATTACGTACATCCACGAGTACATTGTTTGCTAATAGCCCCTTTTGTACATGTACTTGTTCCGCTTGTAAATCGAAGTAAACAATTTGTTCTATTCGTTCTGAATCACGTGACTGTTATGTGTTGAGTGGGCGTTTTTGGGCATACGAAAGAAATGGGAAGGAATCTTTATTACCTTCATCACCAGACTAAGTCTGTGAAGTATAACATAGGACATGTTTTTGGTGAATTGTTCTAGTTCTACAGTAGAAAACGTTTAGGGACAATTTTAGTTATAGCTTCTGAGGTCAATAGAAAAATTAATGGAAGGGAATGGTAGATCTTGCATTATCACCATGCAACCTCAAGAAGGCGATGCGAGGAAACCAATCAAGTCCAGAAAAGCCGGAATAAACACGTAGAGTTTGCAGTTTGTGACGGCTACATTTCAGAGTCGTCAGAGGCTTAAATTTCTCACTGATTACTGCTACATACAAAAAAATTATTGACATTTGAAAGTATGTAGAGCATTGGTAAAATCACTGATGGTTCTCAGACACAGTTGATAACGATGTTCTACAGCCAGTGAGCTGCAACTGACAATTTTACTCTCAAAATATTTGAGACAATCGTTTCTGAGAGATTCACACAATCGTGCTGCTTATGTAGTGCTAACAAGGGAAGAAAGGTAGGTCGAAGTGGCCTTTCAAGATGATATGTATACCGGCTTGACGGGCTTGGAACGCTAATTCCAAATCTGTCTTCGCTATCCGCTACGGGCTTCTAGATGAGGAGTTATGAGGGATTTTTGGAGCCACATCACGGAAATGCGATCGAGAGAGGCACTGCATTGCGTGCCTAGTGGTCGAATGGTTGGTGTGACTGCTCTGGCGAGAATGCTCGCAGGTTCGAGTCCTCCCTGCAATCCTCATTTTGCAAACTTGCAATAAGTTCGTGCAAATGCGGACTTCGTCTCCACGCAACTTTTTGCTTCTTTCACCGCAATTTTGAGACGGAAATCTAGTGTTTTCGGAAATGCAACGGAAATTTAGGCAAGGGTTATAAAACAGAGACCGGGAGGCCAATAAAGTTCAGGAGAAATCTATTATCAACAATATCTCTTTTCCCAAAAGTCTTTTGCCTACCTTCATGTATCATCAAGCGCTTTAACTTAGATTTACAGTATTGACGAATCATGGTCGCCTTTTATTACTGTAGAACTACGGTAGGAACTTCCGGCACATAGCGCCATTCTGAAAAAGCAGCCGTTCTGGAGATTTTCAAAAAATCTGAAAATTTACGTAACAGAGTACTCTATATAGAATTGTGAAGCTTCTTAAACGCATATTCACAGTTTTTTAGGGAAATTTAAAACAGCTGCTATTGGAAACTGGCATGAATTTTTGGCTAAGCTGTTATTACATTTTTGGGGACATCGAAAACACCTGCTACTGGATGAATACCTGACATAACTTTTCAACGAAGCTTCATGATAAGATGCAAACTTCATATTTAGAATTAGCAGCTTTAATCAGCCTAGTGTGAGATTTTTCAGGTCGTTTTGTTTTCTTTCTAAAGCAAAATATGGCCCTCGTTGCTCAAAACTTTGGGAAGAGAGATATCAACGAGTAAACCGTGGCATACTTTTGGGACACCCTAGAATATTGGAATGTTTGTTTACGAATTAACAAGTGTTGAAACAGAGACACAGCTCGGAATGACTTTATGAATTCACAACTTCAAGGCTTTTCTGTTTTTTCAAGAACTGCTCGTACGGCACAGCACAGCTCTATAGACTTTTCAGCCGGAGTAGCTTCCAATGTGTTTTCCGAAATTTCGTGTTTTTAGTCATTACTGCACGATTTCTTTGAAGATAATATGTCTGGTCAGGGAGACAAACGACTTACAGCTTATGTTGCCTGTTTTAGCTCAAACCAGTTTTTCTTCGTTGTTAATGAGTAAACAGAATTATATAAGCATAGCTTTGTCCATAAAACTGGATTGCCATTGCCTAGTATACTCAGCAGTTTTTATCACTATGTCAACGACATTCTAATAAATTGTAGAGAATTATGCTCCCAACTTTTTCTTTCGAATTCATCCAGCCACACATTTTTATTCATTAGATCTTCTAGATATCGTTAAACTAGGTGAAAACAACAACAGCCAGTGCGTTGCACCGTGCACGAGAGGATGACCGGGAACTAGGTGAATGCTGTGGCGATGATAGTCAACTGAATTTAGCACGTGTTTGTAGATATCTGTGGCTAAAGACATGTTATTTATACTTAGACTAAGCATTAGATGAGAATTGGTCTTGGTGTTCATAGTCCTAGCAATAAGTATTGTCTGGTTGGAATTGCTATAATCGCTGTTCATCTTCGGAATGTATAAGGTTGATAAGTGCGCCAAACATCTGAAGAGAATTACATTTTTGAGCTGACCATTTGATATAAAAGCCATTGCAAAACCAAATTTAGATTTTAATAGACATTCTAGCATCTTTGCTGTCAAAATTCAGGAAATCACTTTCTAAATGCCCCACTTCATCAATCATTAGGTTAAGAAACTTTTCGTTCAGGGGTATTTGAACCAATTTATATCAGTATAGCAACGACCTAAGCTAATGAAGGAGAACACTTATATGTCTGAATTTCTAAAATTGCTAAAATCTTCACTAAGATAAGATTTCACATTTGCTACTGGTATTTTGTCCTGCTCTTTCTACCAAAGAAAAACTCGTACTAATCTAATGAAACTTCTCCGCAAATAATTAAGGTCTTTGAATTATTTCAAATATTTTTACATTCAGGTTTTTGCCAACGGTTAAAATATTTCTAAAATGCCTTATAAAGTATTATTTGTCGCATGTTGAACAATCTTGTGATAATTTAGGAAAATTAGTCGAACATTTTTGAATCGAAATTTTCTAATTTTTTGATGCGAGACCTATGCAACCTTATACAATGGAGCTGCAACCTTATACAATGCTTGCACCCATCCTACTTTGAGGTAATTTCGGAAATTGTACAGTATATATGTTAACCCCATTACTGTAGCTCAGACATCAACACCAACAAAAATCAGCGCAAATCGTGCATGCACAGAGAAGGTTTAGCAAAACTTGTGGTTTTTATGTTCGAAAAGGTAGCATTTAGATCGAACGGAAGTCTCACTACTTTTTGTCCGTGTGATTGTAATGGACAGACTTCATTCGAAATCAATTTATTGCTCGGAACTTCGAGATAGTTTTATGCATATATTCGTTTCCGAATCTACATAAAAACCGTAATGATTTCGTCAAAGCATGCAGCAAATGATGTTATCGTTTGGTCATTAAGTCTCAAAAACTCTATTCATGTCCAACCTTAATGATTTCGTTTTTGTTCCGTCCCTTTGTGACAATTAAACAAAACCTTCGCATCAAATTAGGTATGACCGCTCTATAGATTCAATGTCCTCTACTTCTGAACTTCCGTCCAGATGATTCGACTTTTTTCTGTGACAACCACGTCTTCAGGGTTTGAAGGTGATTTTGACATTAACATCCTCTTCATTAACTCCGCGGCTGTCGGCTTTGTACTGGAACTTCTATTACATAACTTTTCATCATAGACATATGTCACTGCTCTTCTTAATTGTAATCATTATTCATAACTGAACTTTAATTAGTAATAATTCTAGCAGTAGATAAATAAATTGGAACTTAGAATTAACTAACTTGCAAATTCACCCAGTGAGCAACAGCTTTGCAGATGTAGAGTCCTATTCTATGATGAAGTAAACACACATAGGTAGTTTGAAGGGTTTGCTGATAAACATGCTTGAAACCTCTCGCAGAGAATGGAGAATGAACAGATTTCAAACAGTTGCACAAATGCGCTCTAAAGACAAACATGGGGTCCGCGGAGCCTGTTTTTTCTGTGAGGATACACTATTGTATAGGCAAAAACTCCACCAAAAGATTTTTGCTACAAACGCAAAAATGAGTTAATTTGGTGCTAGCAATTAAATAATATTTCATAAGCTATTATGTACATCCAACAGCTGAGATCAATACGATCGTAATTATTTGGTGGTATGGCTCTCATCAATCTTGTCTGGGACAGCTAGTCTACTGACATGATGCTTATTTTCTGTGACATTCAATATTATATAGCATATCTGTTGTCATAATAGCATCTTAGCATCAGAATTTTAGTACTTGACACTTGTACATATCATAGTCAAATTTCAGCAAAATAAAATACAGCTTTAGTAATCAACCCAAGAACGCGAAGAGTATGAAGTTAGTTAGATCTTATGTTAGTAACTGAGCTTTATAGATGTGGCCCTTTTAATGAGCAGCCTAGTGCTACGGGTTCCATAACTTATTAAAAAATATATATTCAAGAAATCAAGATATCAACAATCTTTTAGGACTCGCTAGCGTATTACTTCTATCTTGAATTTTATATGATCACCGGTTTCTACGAACAATTATGTCAAGTATTATACTAAGTGGGGTCTTACCAGAGTTATAAAAATTTCAATAATGGCTTGAGTGCGTTTGGAAGGAAAAATTGTCCTATGACAAATGTTATCAACTAATTGAACAGTCTCAAGTAGAGTTTCGCAAGTGTTCCTCAAGTAAAGTTCATTTCATTCACCTACAGGAACTACTTCCAAACCTTGTACCAGAAATTTCTCTAGTCAGATAGTGCCCTCAGCTGTTTTTCAATAATTTATCTAAGTTTATCATGCACTCAACGCTATAAAGAGGGGTATGATATACAAGTTTTTGTGCTCAGCTAGGGCAAAAAATTCGATTTTTTTGGAAATTTTGCTATTCAAGCTATCAAGATCTATAAACTGCTTCTCAATCTATGTTCGGAGATTGCACTGGGGTTGATCGCATGATAAAACAGAGATTTTGATTGATGTGTTCTTACACATAATAACGGGCAACGACCTAGCATACGTCGTTTGTTTGCCGTATGTCTTGAGATTTCGCATATAGTGCGCATGATTACCTTCATTTTCATGAAAATTTTATCTTTGCCTAGCTCGAATTATTTTTTTGAGAGATCACAGTGACCTTATATGAAAATGCTAAATTAGTTCATAATATCTAAACTTGTCATACGGGACAACGTTACTGTGTCACATTTCAGTTTCTCGCATCTCACATCTCGCTATTATGTCATGTTATATCGCTAAACACATTTATTGCAGATATGAGGTTTTTCGTGCTTTTTCTGTACTTCCTGATTGCAGCCACAGATGCAGGAGTAATTATACCTGGAAATGTAATTTTATTTTCTCTATCTACTGCCAAAAATCACCAATTAACTACGATTTTTCTAGACCGCAGTGGTTAAAGGCAGTGAGATCAAAGATGAGGGCATAGCTGCTGGTATAACGACGGATATTCATAGCCACAAGGTATGAGAAATAAAATTTGGGGGAGCCTGAAATGGGGGGGGGGGGTGGGCGTATAGAGCTAGTAAAACAGAGGTTCTCGTTCAGAGAAAAACATGAGAAAAAGAGCTCAATAAAATCTCAAACTAATATCTGGCGCTTTCAGTCTGCAGCTACGTAATTAGCCTAGAAAAACGATACAGGGAACAAAAAAGGAAATCTTTTTGCAAAATTTGTGAATTTAGATTTCCGCCATATACTTACGAATTGTGAAATTCCAACCTCTCAACGTTCAGAATGATTTTGTAGCTGTTTGCTAAAATGAATTAGTAAGAAGTCCGAGGAAATCAGAGCGTTGCGAATGATTTTTTTTTCTAATCAGTGTTGCAAATAATCTCTTACGCGAGTTCTCCTCAATTTCTTAAGTTTTCTAGTTCCATACTCACTCAGGTAACAAATTTATTACAAATAATATGTCTTTGATGATATACACCATCTGTAGGCGAATAATATTACTCTATATTTTGAGTAGAGAATTTTGAAAGGCAGAAAATTCTTGATAGTTAGAAACCAAGCATTTCATTTGCTCCAATTGAAAATTCCACAAAAATAAATTGGTTTGCTGATTCGAACAGTTGAAAGCTACAAACTTTTATCATATCTTTGCCCAAAGATTTTAATTAAATATGTGTACGAGTGCTAGAATGCTTTTGGAAACTGAAAATCATCGCTGAAATCACAAAAATAGGGAACCGGAGGTTTTTTTTAAAGCGTTCAAGGCGCTGTTGCAGAAAAGCTGAGGAAGGTTTAAGTAAAGCGGAAACATTATTTTCCATGAACGAAAGCAACTAGCCAAAGCCAAATAGCAACTTTTCTCTTACCTTCAACTTGATTTGAAAAAAAAAACATAGTATGCTTATCACCTAATAATGTTTGAACGAGTTTCAGAGAAATGCGAGAGTGAGGCAATGTTTGAAAATTGAGTTTTTAATTACAGTTACATTTGTTTTACAACTGTCTCATATATGTAATATTATAACTGAAATTATAGGTTGTGATGTACAGCAAAACATACTGTCCCTACAGCAGAAAACTGAAGATAATTCTCAGTCGTTACCCAATCAACGATCTGAAAGTGATAGAACTAGATAGACAAAAAGAAATGAAAAACATGCAGGTAAAAAAATGTTTTGATCGTCTCGATTGCTATTTTACAAAATAACGCAAAAATTTCGATTATTCCAGAGAATTCTGAAGCGCATGACTGGTCGATCCACAGTACCACAACTATTCATAGATGGTGAATTTATTGGCGGTCACGATGATACGAAAGTGATCGAAGATCGAGGAGAACTTCGACAAATTTTAATGAAAGCTAAAGCACTATAGGAACTTTGATATTAACCCATTATTGGACCAAACGTTTCCCTTTCTCCCCCCTTATATTCATTCGTTTCATTCGGTGATTTATGCTGCATCATTAGAATCTTTCTTGTTCTCATATTCAGGTATAGCATTCAGGTTTTGATTCCATGCTCTGACATGGTTGTGTAGGTCATGTAATGTGTATAATGTTATCATTATTTACTCTTTCTTCAGCTTGCTTTTTCTTTCTTCGTTGTCGCTGGTACTGACACTTTTCTATTATTATTACCTTTTCTGATTGAGTTTGTGACTCATAAATACATTCAAAATACGGTATAGAAGATCGAAACAAAAATTCACAAAAGACAAACATTAACCTAGTTTTTCTAGATTGCATAAATTGAATTGTCATATCATCAGAATATATTTCGAATAGATTCTTTTTATTCTTAGTTTTTAGTTTGAGCGGAAGCGGTCATGGAACCAATTTGATAACTGTTATGCACATGATAAATTTGGTAAACCAAATAATGACATGGGTGGGATCTCAAATAGGGAACAAACTTTGTAACAACTCCCACCCAAAGCCAAGCTTTTGAAAATTTATACGCTTTCTAGAGCAAAAGAAAATAGTAAAGCATGTTAATGGGGCTGTAAAAACAAAGCAAAGCGGAAGTTATCTTCTTCGTGAAGAAGTTTTCTCTTCCTCCCCTTAAGAGGTTTGAAAGCTATGCTTGAGAAATTTCGTACAGTTCTTATGTTTGGCTTGAAAGTATGGGAAAGGAAATGCGTCATAAAATATTCAAAGTACGGAAAAAACGGCTGTCAGTGTGAGCCAGGTTTTGAAATGTCGCTTCTTTTTCGTGTTCTACTTATAGAGATGAAAGCTAAATGACTAATTTCAGCTAATTATTCAATTCTTCGATTTCACCTGAGCCGTAGCAGGTTTCCTTGAGTTTAGGGTTCCACAAATGAAGACTTACAGTAAGCAAAGATTGATCTCGAAGTAGAGACTAGAAATTTTAGAAAATTGGATAAATACGGAAGGATGTGGACCACCTATGCTAATCACATTTGTCCTAATTCATTTCCCAAAAAGATAAATAAATTAAATTTTTTGGATGAAAGTCACACTATTTAAAGAGTTACTTATCTTAGGTGAATGGGCCCTCGTTAAACATAAATCAAAAGTGATGAATAAATAAAACGAAAAGACAAATAAAGAGGAACTTCCACTGGCCTTCGTCATGCCAAGCACTTTCTTATATCACGTCCGGGTCAGTAATTGAGGCAAGGTCAGCCACTACGGCTCTTCTTATGTCATGCCGTAACTCACCCTTTAACTTATCTACTCTCATCGATCGACGATCTGAATCGATTGATTGGAATGTGCACGCGAAAACGCTATCAGTATTCATGTGCAACCCACACTTGCATTATGCAGATCCTTGCTCGATTTTGCACGATTCCAGTAAACAGTACTTGTTAGTCACGATATATACACCTTTCGAATAATCTCATAGCATTCCTGCAGCCATACATTCTATTACTCGGCCTGATTCTACAGTAAAAAGTATTCGAATTATTTATAAGTATTTAAATATTCAAAGTATCAAAATATTCGCAAATCTTCGCTGCAATCTTTGGTCTCACTACACCTGCACAAACACGCAAATTTTTGCGATGCTAAAATTGGTTTAATCATTGAACTTTGATTTATGTGAATAATCGTCATTGGCTACCTCATCCTAAGGTAGAACGCGTAACGCCTCCTCTGTTCCAGGCCACCTGAAGCGGACATAGAACCGGTCGGCGACATATCTCACTCCTTTCGTCAATAGTCGCAAACCCTACTGTCCATCGCTTGAATTTTGTGTATTTTTAGGAGTTTCGGACAATTATGAACCTATTTACTCCTAGATATCACCACCCTTTTCCAATTTCGGAACATCTCTGCAGGTCGTCCTTTACTTTGTGATCGATAGTTTGTCCTAATTCAAACCTGGTTGTAAGTTAACATAGCAAATTTTTGCCAACTAGCTGAAACTTTGCCAAGACTAAGACGTCTATTTTTCGGGATGTGCTTTTCATTGCCCTGTCAGTCTTTCATTTCTGGCAATCACCTATTTTTGCTGAATTTTTTAAAATCATTTTTCTGTACGTAACGTGGTTAAACAAGAAGTTTGTTGTTGAATTTGCCGGCTGCATCCTCGTTGCGTGATACTCTACATCTTCATTTTTCATAGTAAAAAAATGCTTCTTGCTACTCTACTTCTTCATTTTTATAGTGAAAAAAATGTTCCTAAGTTGTGAATGGTAGTACCAAATGTTTTCCTCTGTTTCTCTGTCGTCTCTTTCCCCCTCTTGCTCCCTTCTTTTCCACAAAAAATCATCGCGCATTATTTTGTGATCTTCTAGAATCACTATATGTCGTACTTTGGGACGATGTTCGCAGAACAAAAATTCAAGAAAGTAGAGTGCTTGATGACGGTCACGGCTTAATGGTATGAGGCGCCGCAGTGGTCGGTGAGACCAAGGTTCGATCCCTCTTGGCCGGTAGTTGCCCTCTATGCTTCGGAAAACTATATTTACGCTTCGAGACCGCAACTTGCTATTGAATGAATTTATTAGGGTTGAAGTGCTGGTAACTGGTTGGACCCTGTGAGTTGTCGTAAGTGCTCAAACGCACTCAATGCGTGCTTTAATTATGCACCTTTACTTTTTTTATTACCACGATAACTATGGTTCAAGATTGCTTTATTTCAATATATTTAATTAAGAAGACATCTTTGTTCTACATAGTCTCAGCGTGCAATGTTTGAACCTCCTCCTCCACATTTACCAGAGGAAAATATCTGATACATTTTTTGCAACATAAATTGTAATTTTACAGCATTGCTTGGGCAAGCTAACTGCCACTTTTTTAGCCATTGGTTCTGCGCTGATGTCGTATTGAACTTGTTGTTTGTGCACTGGTGTGCTGTCACTGTATTATCATTGTTTCACATACATATGTTTAAGCTGGTTTCTTTTATGGATAAGTCTTTTTTTTCCTGATTACCTTTGCACGAAAGTATAACAATGAACAATTTCTCGTACTCTTTGCAGAGCTATAATTCAATTACGACCGCATTATAATTTTCAGTACTTTTGCAAAATAGAGTGCAACAAAGACATTTTGTTGCACTTTTGGTTTGACTATAACTTATCATGTTAGGTTGAACTATCGCCAAAAATTTTTGTTGGTCGCATAGCAAACGTCAAAAAGTTTTATTCGTCGCGTAAAGGTAATCAGAAAATTGAAAGGATTCTGGCTCCTCTTCCTTCAATGTGATTAGTTTTCAACGTACTTGTTTTCAAGCTGATTAGTAAAGTATTGCTGTTAATATCCACTTAAGGAATAAATCGTGCTGATGCTTATGTTTCTTATGCTCTAAATGTATAGTTCCCTAGTTTGGGAATGGAATGTGGTAATAACAGCGATACTTTGAGAATGCAATCCTTGTTTGTAATGCAGTATTAGAAGGGGAAAATGAGGTTTCGAAATTGCTTTATGAACAAAAGTACAGTTCCTTTTATTAGAAAACTGAGATAAAGAAAAGAAGTGAATTCTAAAACACACTTCTTTGAATGACGTCAGCTTCTCTGAAGAAAAAAGGGCAATACATCGACCTCTTTCGACTCTCGAAATTTTAGTCAACCTCTTTTAATTGTAAGAAGTGAGCCATCAGTTAAGTAACTCTCAGCAGAAGCAGAAAATCTTTTTTATTCTAAAATTGCAACTGAATTTTCTTGGTTCCTTGATAGGGAGGATCTACTATCCAGGCAATTTATTAAATCTCTATCAAGTGCATACCATATAATACTAGTACTCACTTTTCAAACTGCGTATGATCTAGAGAAATTGTACATAATATAATTGCTATCAACAGTTTATTTGACGACATCAGCCTATGAGCGGATTTGCAAAATTGTGTAAAACCTCATCGTCATCCTTCACATCCTGTACGGAAATACTTCGATCTACCTTGACTCAATCATCTTCTACGTACTTTGCTGTGCTCAATTTCGGATGGTAAAAGTTGAGTGAATGATTTTCAGATCTAGATGAGTGTAGCGGAGCCTTCCGTGGCTAGTCGCAATGTGATGCGAGTCCTAATTCCTTCTCTAATTATTGATATGTTTGCCTTCACTTGTATTCTACCACTATTTCCCAGTATGCTGAATTATTACGCCAAAAGTGAGCATCGAGTGAGTTTCTTAAAATTTTTTTGGAGCTGGTGCCGTGCTTACTTTGTGATTGTAAAACCACACTTTAGGACTTTATGTATGACCTCTTCAACTCGGCTTTGAAATCATTTCAATCTTTGATTGGAGTTCCACACAATGAGAGATATAACAATGTATTTTTTGGAGGTGAGGCACAATCTTGGAATTATTTAAAGTTTCTAACCAGTTCTTTTCCAGGTCTGCTCGGCTCGCTATTCAGCGCTTTGCAGTTTTTGGCATCACCAACTCTCGGAGCTCTTTCTGATGTCTACGGTCGAAGAACGATGCTGCTAGTTTCTGGCATCGGAACTATGATCTCTTACATGGTAAATATAACTATCGATTATTCACTCATCATAGATTCATTGTAGCTCTTAGCTGTTTAGATCTGGTTACGCGCAGAGACATTCACCATCTTTGTTATCAGCAGAATTGTTGGAGGACTCAGTAAAGCCAATATAAATGTGGCCACAGCTATTGTTACAGATGTATATAGACCTGAAGATAATGCAAAAGGAATGGTTGGTAGATGACGTCCTTTATATCATAGATTCGTAAAGTTTTTCCAGTGTATATAGGCTCTTATCGGCATCTCCTATTCAGTCGGATTCCTGATTGGACCTATGTTCGGAGCTTACTTCTCCACTATTGCGCCAAAGGTGAAGCGGCTTTAGTTTTTTTCATTTTATTTTTTTGCACAAGATTATTAACACGTTGACAGTGGGCCATTTTTTGGTGTCTGTCGCTGTGGACGAGCCATCCGCATTTTTAAGACCGGCTGCATGTATGTAAGCATGCATCTATGCGTGAAGAACAAGATACAAGTGGGCGGCGCAACTCCGCCCCTTTTGGCATGTCCCGCCCAAGGGACCAAAAATGCTGGATTTTTTAGTTTCTAAGAATTCATACGAATTCCAGCATTTATGAGAAGTGGCGGAGCTTACCACCAAGGGGCAGGACTTGCCTAATAGGGGGCGGGGCCAAAGTTCAAGTAGCTTGAGGTTCCGCGGTCATTTCCGCGGCCTCTTCTATGCGCTCTGAGGACAAAAAAAGCAAATTGTACAGCGGAGTAGGCGGAGCTTGCCAAAATAATATGAACAGTGGAGAAGATTTCGAAATTATAAGCTCTCTATTTTGCTATTTTCCACAATCTATACATAAATTTTGCTTTCTAGGATGCATTCCACACTACTCCTGCAGTATTTGCCATAGTTCTTACTTCCATTCACTTCGTGTTGATAGCATTTTTCCTTCCGGAAACTTTACGATGGGAGGACAGAGTAAGTCACTTTCTTCCTCACGTTTTCTATTTTTGTCTTTTCTTCTGTTGCAAGTATCTCAATTTAGAAAATAAACGAAGATGTTTCAAGCAGAGCTAAACATCTCGTCGCACCAGTGGAGCTTTTCAAATTCTCCGTAGTGAATGCTCCTACAGAAAGTAATTCTTTCAGAATAATAAGCTAAATAGCAAATAAAAAATTAACATCTTTCTTGTTTAGAGAAACAGACAATGCAAAAAATCGGCATCATCTATTTCATATATCTTTTCCTCTATGCTGGGCTGGAGTTCACGCTTCCTTTCCTCACCCACTTAAGATTCAATTTTGACAGGTTTGCAGCTATCTATCACGATGGTGCAAAATTGATGCATGTTAGGTATTCCTGAGCAGCAGAAAACTGTGAAAACCTAAAAACCTATCACTCGAAAGAGCATAGCAGAGCCCTACAAAATTGTATTTGAATAACTTTAGGAAGTTTAATACATGGAAAGTTGAAAGAAAATTTTTCATATGCTCGTAAGTCGGATCTCTGTTTAAAAAACTCCTACAGAACTCTACTTTGCTTACGAAATTTAGCTATCGCATTAGGTATTCATATGTATGCTTGCTGTATTTTTTCCATGACTTAAAGTTGAGATAATAAATCGGCATGTACGAGCAAACCGATGCTTAACTGTCCCGACATAGATAAATCTATACTACAATCCTTTGGAAGTATTACAATGAATTTTCACCATTTTCGAGGCGTTAATTTCGAGAAATATTAAATTTGACTTGGAAGAGCAGAAAAAGGAGATATTTTTGATGTTTTGGCCTAATTTTATTTTCCAATTGCCAATTATGAAGAAAATACGGCAAGGGCCTACGAATATCGTATGTGTATTAAGCTTGACCAAGTTGTGTTCGCAGGAGCTTTCTAGACGAAAATCTAATATTAGGTGTTCGAAATTTTCTAGCTTTCTTCCTCAAGCGTCAACCAGATCGAACTTTTGTGATTGTTCAAACATTATGTTGTAGAGCTTGCTTTGCTCTACCGAACGATGTATTTTGGACTTTTTAAAATCTTCTCTGTCGCTTTAGAATAAGGAACATATAATTTTGCATCAGCCTAATGCTTTTTGAAAAATAGCACAACAGGTACTACACTGTTTCAGCATGCAACAAGGGCGAATTTATCTATTCACTGGCTTTTTGATGTTGCCAATTCAAGGACGAATTGTTCGACGCACGCCAATGATTAAGTATGCTACGGCACGCTTCTAAATTTGAATATTTGTCGAGAATCATCTGGCAGTATTATTGAATTTTCAGGCAAAAACGTGTAGCTGAGATTGGAATTATGTGTGTGATTCCGGCTTTTTTGATTGTCGCTCAAGCTAGCAATCAGTACATGCTGTATTTTGGACTGTTTCTTTATGCTATAGGTAATTATCAATTAGATTGTGATGGCAAAAAATTTCTGGGCCACACGTCCCTACTTGTCAGTACCGTACTCTACCGTAATCCTGCGCAGCATTTATCGCAGCTTGAAGGCAGCGTCCACCCAAAAATTTACCTCCCACGTTTTTGTTATTTTGGGCCTTTCCGTGGCTCTGATTACAGTTATGAAGCTCAAAATGTGCAAAATCTTTGAGAACCCGATTTATGGGAGCCCTATCCGAGGACCTAGACGGCTTTCGCTACCTGGGTGGGCGGAGCTTGATACGAGGGCGTGGCTTGATAGCACTTTCGCGGCTCCAGATCCATTATCTCCATGCAGAGACACACTGGAGGAAGGACCAACGCAGATGCCCCCCCCCCTGGGGCCTACATTCAAGATAGGTACTAATCGGAGGGGGTTAGTTTTTGCCTGGACAATGCCTTTGAATATTGCGGCCAGAAGACAGGGAGTAGTGTCGTGCGGTGTGCCGCGTGGCGCATCTATGCCTCGCGTGATTACGGTAGCATACTGTAGCGGCAGATAATGACCATCTAACAGTAACCTTCTTTTAGCCTCTGCAACCGTAGTAAGCTGCTTAACTTCACTTGTGTCTGCTGTACATCCCACTACAGACAAAGGTGCTCTATCAGGAGTATTTCGCAGCATCGGTGCCTTGGCCAGGGCTGTCGGACCTATTGTCGCTTCTAGTCGTAAGTTTTGGTACCTGGATCAATCAATAAATTACTATATCCATTGTTTTACAGTATTCTGGCTTATGGGTCCGACAAGGAGCTACACTCTTGGTGGAATTCTCCTCCTGATTCCGCTAATTCTATTAAAACGACTTGAAAATCCAGTGAAAGACGACAAAAAAGCTTTATAAAACATTCATGTGATGATTAATTGTGATCCTGCCGTAAATAGGGGTTCCTTGTGTAATGTAATTATTGTTTTTGTTGAGAAATGACGTATTCTGCTTGCTTACACCAAATATTATGTATGTGTTAATACCAACTATTTATTATGGAAAATTACATAAACATTTGTTCACGAGGGTTCAAAGCGTATTTGGATGACTAATGTAGGGAGTTTTCTGAGGTAAATGAGCCTGATTTAGTGATATGAGACTAGGTCTGAACAACTTTGTGACTATACGAGATCGTCAAATTGGGCATACCGCGCGATTCCGGTCTCGACGCGATTTGGCAAATCTCCAGCAGATATTTTTAGAACTACCGCGCCAAAGTTGAATGCTTATTGCATTATAACTTAGATTTCATGCGAACACATAATGTCCTATCCTTTAGAATGCGTGCGATGAGTCCTAAGTAATTGAGAAGCTGTCAAATCGCGCAGCGACCGAAATTGCGTAGGATTTTGAGAAACGATTCCTATCGCCACGCTATTTGACAGTACTTTGATCATTTCTTACTCTTAACGCATTTTAATTATACAAAATATAGAGCAAACCATCAAAAGTTCAATCAAAACTATGCAATTAAAGACATCTGGCAAAATGCCAAATCGCGTGGCGACTGAAATTGCGCGAGGTATGCCCAAGGTCTAAGGTATGCGCGAGGCTCAACAAATACAAATTTTCTAAAAATCCTCCAATGGGACTGATTCAACAGAAAACTTGCTCTATAACGAAAAATCTCCGGAGAATGTTCGTTCGAGTTCTTCTTTTCGATCCTCAATCTCGCGTCGCTTTTCTGCAGAAAGCACTCGGCCTAGATAGATGGTGATGGCGCGATGCAAATCGCGCCTCGCACCGCCTATCTCTTTGATGACTCGCAGTAACTTCTTCATGTTTAGCCATTGATCCGTTGACAAATACTGCTTGACGAACTTCTGTAATTAGATTCTATTGAAGGAAGGCGCTCTAGCAACATAAACATTCAATAAGAGTCACATAATTACTGCTTGAACTTGCCAAAATCAGAAACAGGAAATAATCAGTAGAATAAATTTCTATCGTCACACAGCTGAAACTTCTCTTTGATTTTTTTTCACATTATATTATATTCTTCTCGGAGATAATGACAGACAGAACTTTTTTGCAGCAGCTGCAATTTTTTGGCTTTTTATTCTCAAAAAAGATTGAATTGGATTTTGTTTTGAGCGCGTTACTCATAGAAGTTGATAATTAGTTTGATACCTATCCACAGCGTAGAGCTAGCATCCAGAAAAATTCATTAGAAACGTAATATGATTACTGTAATATCCAGTAGTTCTGCGATGTGTCACATAAGCAAAGTTATTTTTCACTTTGCAAAGATGTTCCGATATTATTTGGCGATAACATAGTTGCTAAAAGCTTTTGCGCTCGCTCGTCGGAGGAAATGAAATCATTTTCTTTGAGAAGAACATAAACATCTTAGAAATGTTCTAGTGAATAGCTATACTTGCTTTACAGAAAATCAGGCCAAAGATGCTGAATCTAGATATTTTGCTAGTGATTACGTATAAAAACGAACTTTGGCAGCTTCCACCATCTCAGTGAACCCCATGCTGGGGGCTGGAAATGCCTTTTCGATTTGTCCCTCACTGCTCTTTTCTTCGGTCTGATTTGTAGCACTTAGAAACCCTTCTCCATTAGCTGAACTGTTGTTGGAGGAGTTCAGTAGCGGAGGTGAACCTTTGTCAGAAATAGCAGCTAAATTGCTAGAATTCGAAACGAGCACAGCAAATAGAAAACAGCAACGCATGCCGTAGTTGGCAAGAATAGTCGAATAGAATAGAATAGTCGATTGAGGTCGTTGTTTGGATGAGTTATATGTCCGAATTCTTTCCATAATGTCTGTGCAAATGCGCCATAGACATTGAACAGGTTTTCTCAATATCGTCCCGCTTCCACTTCAGACAAATGTCTTAACTTTCGCTAGGCATAAACCCGACCCCCGTTGCAATGGCAATATTCGTTAGAGAGCATTATTTATGCTTTTGTAGTGGACAGATGCGTAGCACTTAGGGTTTTTTGCTTGGCACTATCGTAGATACATATTTGATGTGTGAAATATAGTGTGTCATTGCGGAAAATGAATTTTCGAGGAGGAACGTACCGGTGATCTCACACGAATATTAAATTTCGTCTTAAGTTCGTCCTCCTCAAAGGCAACATCCATCCAAATATTCGTCTTCCATTTTCGTCATTCTGGGGCCTTTCCATGGTTCTTACAGATATGAAGTGCAAATTGTGCAAAACCCCCAAAAGACCCAATTTCTGGTGCCCACCCTGAACGCACAAGCGACATTCAGTACCTGATTGGGCGGAGCTTGATAGAGCGGGCGGAGCTTGACAGCACTTTCGCAGATTCCAAGTCCATTTTTCCATTCAGGGGCCACATTAGCAGATCGGAACAGCGCTAATGTCCTACTCCCAAAGTCTTCTTGTAGACTAGGCACTAATCGGGGAAGCATAGGGCAGTGTTCAGACCACTGGTACCCGCACGTATGTACAGATTGGGAAGCCTTAGATAAGCCATTGCCAAGGCGACAGCTCATATGATTTATTCGTGGCCCAGAATTTCATCTCTACTCTTTGGTCCAAAACGTACTTTTTCTTAACATTAATCAGCATTTCCGGTACGGTAATTGATTTGATAAAGAGTTTGGAGTTGACCTCGGCCATTAGCAATCTGCAGTGACTTCACCACCTAAGTAATTGTCTAACAAGCTCCCCAGCATATTCTACATAGAGGCGAAATCGCAGATTTCCCTTAACATGAGTGGGCGGGGCTGGTGGAGTTTTGAAGCTCATTTTTCAGGAATTAGTGCATGAATTGGCAGGTGAGGATGGAGTTACAGTGTATTTAGAGGGTCTACTATGTAAGGTCACCAAATTTCGAGAAGGGGCCAATTTGCCGATCTACTGCCTTCGAGAGATTCAACTAAAATGCCTGAATCTATCAACTTTCAAACCAACTTTTCAAACGCTTCTTAATGTTTTTGTCCTAAAAATACTTTCTGCTTCAGTTACAGGAACCGTAGGTGCTGCAGAAAAAAATCATTGAACAAGAAGATTGCTGACAGTGCAAAGTTGGAGTACTTGTCAAATATACTCAAAAACGCACTAAGAACTTGTTTGAATGCGCATGTCCTCGTAATGCACTTAATAACAATTAATAACAACTGTCCGTTTATTGATCGTGAAAACTCGTAAAAACTCAAATTTGAAGATCATAAGGCTTTCATTATGAACTTTAGTCAAATGAGCTGACTAAACAGCCTTTGGTCGTTTCCAGAAATATCGAATCTTCGAAAGAAGCCGTGCTCTGGCACCGTCGTCGTCAGGCTATCATATTCTTCGAGAAAAACTGCATTGTTTGCACAGATGTGTGGGAATCCATCCGATAATGGTGCAGCTTCACATATCCTTCGTTCGTCCTCAATTCTTAGTCAGTATTTACAAAGTGACTTCTGAACTCATAGCATTTCGCTTCGTCATCAAACTTTGATTCATCGTTAGATATAAGCAATAGGTTTCTGAGTCAGTGCTTTTTCTTAGAATAATCATGAAATTTTGTGAAAATCAAGTAAAATTCCAATCATGTGTATACTTTGATACTTCTTTCCATAAGATTTATTGTGTGATTATAATCTGACAAATTCCTCAGTAAATTTGAAGCCACTATCACACAACCAAATTAGCTTCAGAATGTTGCATAGGCGGCCAACATTTGGAAGAAATTTAAAAATTCAGGAATAGCCCAATAGCGATAATATTAGCGTATGTGACTCCAAGAGTCCTTATAAAACGAAATTTTTTCACAAAAATCGATCCCCTCTTTCTGTATCACTTCATTTCCACAATATTTGCGCAATCACAGCGTTTTTGAAGCGAGAAATCATCAATCAACAATTGCGTTAGAGCCAAATTCGGGTATACCAACAAAATTTTTCAAACTCCCCGGAAATTTATCACACCATGTGGCCGTGATTCTGACGTATCGCTACATATTCTCTGTGTTATTTTTATGTTTCTTAGCCAGTGTTGGAAATCCCAAAGGACCACAGTTTGCCCTCCTTTTGAACTGGTTTCCTGGGGATAACCATATTTCAAACGTTGAGATTGTGTTGAAAAAGTACAAGCTTTTAGGAGAAAATCTCAACTTTATACAAGAGCTAGAGATTGGACGTTGGTTGGGTTTCAAGTATATATAGAAACAACTTAACATTAGATGTATCGAGTGACATGTATATAAATGCTTGCAAAGATGGTAAGTGAACTTTAAAAAAAAGCAAAATTATATGGCTAATAATTCAACGCTAGTACGGGAAGACAGCTTTTCAAATTTGTGAAAAAGTTTAGAGGTTAAGTCTTATGTAAAGATTGCTTATATAAATTTAAAATTGTTTCAAAATTGTTAAAAAAGTATTATTCAAATTTGGTATACTACTATGGCATAAACAAAGGTAAATTGTCTTGGGCAATCATTCAATTTTCAATTGAATTATAAACACAATCCTTGTCCTTCTTTCTAATGTTTTTAAGAAATTTATCTGATATTTTTGGCATAGAGAATGTTAGTACTTTATGGGGGGGGGGGCTGAAGTCTCACATACTATTCTGCCGCACATTTTCATTTCATTTCGTTTCGTTTATTCATAGGCATAACCCTATGATTCAACAACACGAACATTAAAACATCACCAAAAAACATGTAAATATCGAGGATTGCATGAACGCAATAAGAAGATCGGTTTCAATAGCACCTAGTTAATTTTAGTTCTATTATGAAAAATAATCATTTTTAGACAAGTCAAATGAATTATTTGTTTCACAAAATAGGAATTCCTTTCCAGCTATTTTTCTTTCTAATTTCTAGATTCAAATCGTCTACAGAGGTCTAATAATAGCTATGCGGTGAGTAAGGCGTCACTTCCCAAGGTCGCTGTCGAATTTATGAGCTTCGATAAGAGCCCTATGACGTTCATTGTCGCTGGCGGCGGTTTGCATTGCGCACATTCAAAAACGCTCTCGAGATCGTACGAAATACGAATGAGGTTCGGGTCTCGCTATGCTAACATCGCAATTGTAAATTGTAGAGCGTTGAGATTTCTTTTTGTTAGAAAACGTACTCCGATGTAGAGATCTGGTTCCCGACTATGTGCGAGGAAAAGAGCGGAGGTGATTTTTTTGATTTCACATTCTGTTACGATCGTTTTCGTGAAAAGAAGCCGCGATGTAAGCTGCGCGTCTTCCTTGCATATGCAAATTGTCGGCGCAGCAGCAGGGCGGAGCGCTGACCGCTCGGTTGCCGTCTGGCCGCCGCCAATATGCGGCTTTTCGGCGTTCGCTCAATCGCGTTGCCCCCGATACAGCGCGATTTTGAATTTTTCCAACCATATCGCTCTCGCTTCTGCTCCATTGCACTTTCATTGCACACTATCACGTGTAACTCTGCATCACATGCAAAAGCAAACGAGCAAAATTTTAAATTCCATTTTTCCCGCTCCCAATTTCTATTTACTCTACATCTCTCAACGCAATTTAGCATTACTTGCACCATTGCGAAATGGTTTTCGTTTGCGAACACGTATATCTCTTGAACCCTCTCCAGCAAACCAGTTCTTAAGCTTCTAATACCTGCCTCTTTGTGTCTCCCCCCCCCCCCCCGCCCCATTCTTAGTGAAAATGTTCTGTGCGTATATACGGATACAGCTATTTACGGATGGCTCTGCGAGCGCTCAACGACGCGTAAAGAGAGGTCTGACAACTGGTAATCTGGCCGCTCACTCGCGAATCCTTTCGTAGTCGCGGCATAGAGAAAAAATCTAATCGAATAAATCATGGAAGATATCTTTTTTCTTCCTATACCAGCATAATGTTTGTAATTGTGTCAAGTGCGTTATTTCACCATTATTTGATCAAGAGTTGAGTGCGTGTGGAACCACTAGTTTCCATGTTGGAACTTTTTTTTTCAAACAAGAAATAATGCATCCGGAAGCAAACGGATCGCACTTATGCATGTTTGCCAAGTTTATGTACTGTGTGGTTTTTTTAGCCCAGTGTTGAACATGTAGAAAAAGTCTGTAAACGGAATTTGTATCGTGCTGGGGAAAGGAACTGCAGAGATTTGTTTGGAATCGTGAGCAATGGGAATAAGGTTTCTTTGAGAGCTGTAAAACTTGACAAAACTTGATTCACTAAAATTGAGTTTTGTCAGAAATATCTAGCAATGACACATCAGAACCTTTTTCTTGTTCAATAGTTGTACTAGTTCCAGCTTAAAAATGCTTCAGAAACAGTCAATCTATGTTCTTTCTGCATAATCTTTACCTCACGAAATCTCTTCTTCATATTCAACTTCAATCAAGATTCAAATAATTAGCTTTACTTTTACAAGCAAAGGATATAAAGAAGATAGAGCGTAATGACAATCCAATTCTGCTAAAGCTTCAATGTTTGGTCTCTGCTTGCAGCAGGCACTTATTCTCACACGATAGCACCTAACAACCCGATCCCGTGAGATAAGAACTCTGGGGTAAAAGCGCAAGAATTTCTAAGCGCGTAGGAAACCAGAGATACTGAGTGTTCGTCATCAAACGCGCTCCTACTCATCAATCTTGGACTCGAGCCGAGTGTAAGTCAGTGCGTGGTGATTTTGCAGCCAAGGGGTGAGGGAGGGTGAGTGAGGGGGTCCCGGGTTGTTTCGACCCCGTTCAGCGCATATTCTTATCACAAATACTCGCCCCCGATGTATTGGATCACAATCGTGGGGGGCCGGGCCGGACTGTCGATCGATTAGGAACGCCAGCCCGCCCCTAACTCAACGCGGCCTCCTCGCTAGTACTCACCCCCGGTCGTTTATCCCTCACATCTAACCCCGCGAAACAGAGAGCCGGGGGGTCCGGTCACTTGTGATTTTTTACGCGTACCTTATCATGTTTCCCGCTGTTGACCAGCTGTAGCTTGCGTGCCTGCCGCCAGCGAGTACCCATGCAGCGCCTAGGGTTCAATTTTCGCGTACGGACATTTCTCTGCCCCTATGAATGAGGTATCGGTTGAGGAAAGTCTCTGGACATTCGTCATATCGCGTAATGGACGCGGCTGATGTTGATTGATTGTTGTTGTCATGCAAAGCCTCTCAATGTGTGTTGCTGAAGAACCTGGAAGTGTGTACAACGTGTACAATTTGCCCCCACCCATTTTTATACTTTTATCCCACCTGCAATTGACTTTTCCAACCGTTTAGGCTATAGTTCGTATTACTCTGCACTTTTTTCACACTCCTAACTATCAACTATGCAGACTTTTTTCCCTTCTAGGATCATGTTTCTGTTTATACTACTATTCTTAGCAGCTACTTCATGTGCTCGTTCTACTGAGTGCTTTGCCCCGTGGATCCACCACTCGTTTCCATTAGCACTACCAGCTACTTAGTGACTGGTTCTCATGCTTATTCCTTAGTTGTTCAGCAGCCACATTCTCGTTTTTTCTTGTCACTTCTCACCTTCTTCCAAAAATTTTCTTAACTTCATGCATAGCTACAGCAAAATTTCTGATCCCCTTTTCCCTTGCTTACGCCTTTCCCGAAAATTTTTTCGTTTATCTCTCTCCCTATTTGCTCACCTGATGAGCTGTTCGTGATACATAATACGATTTTTTCTCCAACCTAGAAATGTTGAATTGAAGAACGATCGAATATGCTTGACGTCCTCATCTCTATATTTACTTTTATACCGCATTTTAATTTTCAATTCAAACGGATACCTAACAACTTCGAACTCACTTGGCGAAGCGATTATGCACAGGTGCGATTTTTCTCCTACGTTGTTTGCTCAGCGATTTTTTTTCTGCACAAATATCCTGTTCCGTGGTAAAATGCTAGAATGCAGTTCGGGTTGGTAAATATGAGTAACTCGATGGATATAGAATGGATTGGGTGGAACGGAGATACTCGCCAGAAGAGCCAGAAGCGGCACATGTCAAAGACCACCGTGATCGCATATGCTGAGCAGAGCACCACGGGGACAATGGCTTGCGCAGACGGAGGGCACTCTATCTTGCCTGTCTGATGTGCAAAGAATCAACTGATTTGTCTTCGAACGGGGGAGGGGGGGGGGGGGGAGGGGAGGATGTAGATCAAACGTTTGGCGAGAAGGAGCTGTAGGTCAAGCTTGTGGAAGGAGGAGTTGTAGTAGATCAAATGCGGGGAAGGAGAAGCTGTAGATCACATGTTCCATCCTGCCCTAAAAGATACAGTATATCTCTAATGCTCTCTTAGAAAAGCTCATTTTCGTCGTTATCTCCGCTTGCAAATGAGAATGACCATAATTAATCCAATATCCATTCGTAAAGAGCGGAAAATGTTGTTCTCCATCTGAACTCACTTGTTTTGCTGATTCCCCCACCAACCTCCCCCCCCTTCTTTCCCTCTTCGCTACCAAACGAGGACATTAGCACTTCGAAACTTACTTCCTAGCCCATACAACACTGCTTCGATTTGATTGATGAGCCATCTGGACGTTCTTTTCCAGCAGATTGGGGGCCAGAACAGAATGGAAAGGTCGCTGGCCTTGGAGAACGTATGGAATGAGCGCGAAAGACAGAAAGAGACAGAGCAATAGGTCTCGTATACTATAGTGATATGAGTGGTATCACCTGTTTTTGATTGGATCCGACGGAATGGGACCCCCAAGAGGCTATAGTTTGAGAATCCCTAAGCGTTTGGATATAAGAAAGGGGTGATGTGTTCGTGGGCAATTTCCTGGCGCTGGATACGAGCCCCGACCACGAAACCATTAATTTTGTGGACAATGGTCGGTGATCGCGGCACAAGGCGCTTAGGCGAATGAGAACGGAAAAAAAGAGCGAAAGCGAAAAGCAAAAAAAAGCACCGCAAGGGGAAAGGAAGTGCACTACACCTAGGGTTTCAAACAATTTTTATTTGTAAAATTATAACTTTCAAAATGAATATGTAAATTTCAGAGTTTGGCACTACTTGCCATAGCGTGTGGCATTGTCACGCTACTTTTACTTCTGACAATTGTCATCACATGGGTATGTCAATGTTGTTCACACGAAGAAACCGCTGGAAAATCCCGAAGAAAAGTTCGACGGTTATCCACCGTACTATTTATTCTCAGTGTGCTTTGTTTGTGAGTTTTTCTTTCTTTTCGGCTCTTCTGCTCACTCTTTGCTCCAAATTTAAAACATATTCTCGTAAGTACTAAGCATTTGTTTACTCTCCGGACTTCATTTGTGTAAAATTTTTTCAAATTCTGTCGCAATGGCTCGCTCCGTCAGTTCCTTGCACGTGTTCACCCACGTGTCTCTTTGCGGTTTGAAATGCTTTGCAAATGGCGATCCAAAGCAGCAGCTGCTACTATTTCTAAGTTCACTTCTGTTTTGCAAATCTGGACGAAGGCAACTTTTGAATTACTGTACTGCTTTGGCGAATGAAGGGGGAGAGGAGGGGAGGGGGAGAGAAAAGAAATTTCGAGAAGAACGCCGGAACCAGAATTTAGTTGAAAAATTAGCAGGCACAAAATCTGCTAACATTTTGCACCATTTCCTACTGGACAGGACAACCCAGCAACCTTTTTTTACTTCAGAATTTAAAAAGTAATGCTTCTGCTTTCCTACTGCCTGAAATCATTCCATGTCCGAATTCGATGCTCTGATTCTCTCTATGTTTTTTCTAACTCCAGAAAGCATTTGTAACGATGACCTTTCCGCCGAAATTTCCTAGACAGCTCGTAAAAGCAAAAAAACATTATAGATTCTAATCTCTTTTATGACTAAATGTTGCGTTATTAGTGCACTGATAAAAAGTGTACTTGCAGGATTTGTTACACTCTTGATCCAAAGCGTGTCTTTTTGCTAATTTTTTTCTCAGTTCTTCGAAAAACACAAAGCAAATCAATAGTCAAACTCAATAACGCATTTTGTCTATAACAAAATCCTAAATGCAAAATAATCCGCTTTCCTGCGATATATTTCTAGTATTTTTCAATGAGTAAATGTTGAATATTGGAACCTTGTTGAAGCTGTTTTTTTGCTTCTACACGTGTGATCGGATCATCTACATTCGTGCAAATCATCACCATTTATGGTTTCGTAGCTCTTCGTATTATATCGCGAGAAAAATGTGGAGAATTGGAAAATTTTGCAAAAATTTTCTAAGGATAGTGTGCTGGCTTGCTCAGAATTTTTCATTATTATTGCATTTCGTATTCACTTCATAAGTAGCTGATTCTGCAAAAGCGACAATAATTTATATCTTTGGGCGTAAATGTATTAGATTGTAGTGAAATTTCCCACGAACTTTTGTAATTCAAGCAAAGTAATTGTGGAGAATGAATTTCTATTAACAAGTGTGAATTTCAGTTTTCTTATAATAAATGTAATTGCCTCACATGTTTCAATACTACTTTTGACGAATTTCTTCTCTGGTAGAAATTTGACATTTGGAAGAAGAATTTGCAGTTTTTTCCTTAGAAATAATTTACGTTTTGATTTGCATGTCTGCCAGTCTTTGAACTCCAAAAATTACAAGGTGCTCAAAACTTGTTTTACGGATCCAAAAGGTTTATTTTCAAATGTGCGTGCGAAGATTTTACTTAGGAAATGTAATTTTTGAAAGTGTCGCGAAATTTTTAAGAACCTGGTATGCAAACTGTAGTTTTATTTTTATGTGTCAAAGCAGATGCACAGGCAACTCTAGTCTATCATAAAAATTCAAATCTTCAGAAAATTCAAAATATGCGCTCCAGCTGCGCCGTTAGCCATCTATTTCGGGTTTTTTTCCCAAGCACAACGTCGACCGGCATCTTCTTTGATGTTTTTGTTTGCGTTTTCTCTGCTCGCTAGCGCACTCCACACTAAAGCCACACGGCTCGCATTCAGGAGAGAAGAGGGCAGTGGCCAGGGAATTACGGCCCCGTTTCTTTCATACACTATAGGGGATCGAAAGGGTCTGTTGTGTGGGCAAATATTGCACTTTTCTGTTCGTGTTCGTGTCAGATAGCCATAATTTTTGGCGCGAATGGCCTTTTTCCAACGATTTACTTCCGCTTTGGGAATAGAAAAAGAGGAAAACTGTGTATTTGCATTTTTATGGTGGGTAAAATTAGTTTTTTTTCATGGCCGCATGTTGCTTACGGTGGTTAAAATTATTCGGTCATAATTGTAGCTCAGGGAAGAAAAAACTACAGAATGCACTGCAGGGTAGATAAAAAAAATGCAAAAATCTAACTAGATTAAATTGTCCCGGCTTACTAATGATATATGGGTTATTTGAAATTGCTCTGCAGAATAATAACCTTCTTAAAAATATTTCCCCTATGAAGAACATAGTTGGAACTCCATGTGGCAAATAACGTGAAGAGATAAAAAAAATAATTGCGTTGCACTTGAGAAAACACGAACAAGCCAATCAACAATTCTGTACTAATTTTCTCTACTCCCTCTCATTACAGCATTTTTCTCGGACTTTGCCTATTTGGAAACGAACATATCAATCGTGGTGTGACCAAATCACTTAATGGTTTAGCTGATGTGAATCGTGGATTCAAATTGGCCATAGCACAGGTGAGTGAGTGCATTCACACAACTTAAGCGCCTGTTTTCGCCTACAACTTGATGTCATTACGAATGAATAGTTGTTTGTGAGTAAGTGAAGAAAAAGAGGGGAAGTCACGCCGTGGCGATTTCGCTCGATCGCATCGCTGTGCGATTTGATGAATGACAAGTTAGCCAGTGTTGATGTTAGCGTAAAGAAACACGCCGAACGTCATGTCAAGGGGGGTTTTTTCGGGGCCAGAAGAGCGTAGCTTTTCATTTTTACTCCAGTTATACTCTATAAAAATAAGGAATGTTATGTAGAAGCTTTGACACTGGCAAAAAAAATTTTTTTTGCAGACAGACAGCCTGAACGATACTTGTCAGAATGCATCGTTGCATATTAAAAATCTGGAAGAAATCGTGCATCAGAAAAGCAAAGCATCAGGAATCAATGGAACTGTAAGTTTCATTATTAGTTTGATACATAAGGCTTGCACCAAAAATTTGGTAAATTCATAATGTGCCCCATCTGTAATAAATTTTCAATTTGATATACGCAATAGGCAGAAAATGTTGCACTTTCCAAAAGCACTCAAAGCAAAATATATTATTGCCATATTGCAATGATGCAAGCTGATAAAAGAGTGCATTGGAGAAATTATTTTTTTTTAGCTGTCTAAAATTACTAAAACGTTTAAACTCTCACTTTCGTTTTGTTTTTGGTTTTATGACATACTTCTTCTATCGGAGAGAAATTTGAGCCGATTGGAGTTCCTAGAAAAGTGATGATTTTCGAATTCCTTTTATTCAACGTCTAAATTCGTCTAAATTCCCATTCAAATTTTGCTTTTGGTTGTATGAAATGCTTCTTTTATCGGAGAGAAATTTGAGCTGATTGGAGATCGTAGTAAAGTCATGTTTTTTGAATTTTTTATTCAACTTTTCGCTTTTGAGCGAAAAATCTTCAACCTTTTTTGATAAGATGCAGTTTTTATATGAGTTACAAAAAGTGAATTATGTCCTTTGAAATTATTATTTGAAAATTTTCAAAACCAATTACGTTTTTTGGTACCTTGTATCATTTGATATCAATTTTACTTGGAGTACAGAAATGGGTTATTTTTCTTCTTTTTCTACAGCATATGATTATATTTCATCACGTTCATAATTTTTATGCTAGCCACCTATGTGAACGAATAATTTATTTTCCAGCTGGTCACACAGGTGGACACGGTGCTCACATACATCACAGACGGAATGGATTCAGTACGGGATAAACTGAATACGCTCCAAAAAACTCTAACTGAAGTCAGCTTTCTGGAGTCGGCTGAGATTTACGGCGAGCGAATTGAGTTGGAGCGGTGAGTAAAGATTTTTGGCCGAAGATTGGGGGTTTCGCAAAATTTTGGAGGACTGAAAGTTTCGAAAAATTTTGGGGGTTGTTTTCGGCCTTGTTTACATGACTTGCTTATCACATTCTGCAACAGAATGTTGTTGGCTAAGCAAAGAGACGGGAGCTGAGTCGAGTATTTGTTTACCTATCTCGCATCTTGGTCATCAACACCACATCCAAGCCCTAAATAAGAGCGCTGTAATTAAGATCCGCTCTCAGAAACCCGATAGCTCAGCCGGCCCGATTTCATAGCGCTTTCTTCAACTTAAAACAACCAGTTTTAGCCCAGAAAAATATTGGATTTTTGCCAAGGAGGGAAGGATTCGTTTTTGACGGAAATCCATCATTATGTGAGCATTATACAGCTATAAACTGCACGCAGCCGACTAATTGGTTTTGCCGAGTAATTGAGTTGTTTCGAGCCGTCCGAAAAGGCGCTAATTACGGCGCTGCGTCCACATAAGAATTTGTCGTGGCCATGCAGAGCTTGCGGGATATTTGCACAGCGGATTTCATATCAGATAAATACGGATTTTTGCACCAAAACAACTCCAGCGATTGCTCCAAGGCTTTACCCAAGCACTCATAAAATCATGGATAGCATGGATGACTAATGGCTTAGCGGTCCCACTCGTCAATCCCCCCCTCCCACCCCCTTTTATGTTGAAGTGTATGATTCAGCGCCTCGCACGTGCACGGTGTTTTATTTGCTGCCGTGACCATAGTCGGGACCAGGGACCATCTGGATCTACCCCAGCGCGACCCCATCTCACATTACGTCTCGTCAACGTTCGATTTTCGTCCCGTTGTATGCACGCGTAATCGTTCTGAACTACCAAGAAAGGGGGGCGGAGAGGGACAGAGAATGGGTGCAATGAGGGCAGCGAATAGCATCTTAATGAACGCTTTGAGTTCGATTGGAGCGCGCATGTAATTGCGTGAATCTGCGCTCGATTTGGTTCCAGCTAATTGGGACGCTTTCAAGAGTGCAACGAGCTGGACTCATGGGTCACAAAAAATGTTTGCTAGCGTTTCCTCTTGCTGCATTTTTCCAGTAAGTAAGTGAAAATGTCAGACCAGAGGGAATTTGTTCCTTTTTTCTAATCGTTGCAAAAGTCTTTCAAAGGACAGTGTGATAATGCACTGTGTGAAAAGTGATCTGGAGGTCATGAGTAGGTCATGGCCGAAGCGGACCAATCAGCGTCATCGATTACGGTAGCAAGTACGGTGAAGGCTGCACTTTCAAGTGAGACTACTTAAATGCAAATGAGTTATATGAATTCCCGCTTGAGCCATGGCTTACCTATTGGCTCTCAGTCACTACATCCCATGATAGATTTAGGTACCAAAATTCATGTCAAACTCCTTTGTTACTATTTTTTATTCGTTGCGCACAAGACCTGCCACATCTAAAACAGAACAAAAAAACAAACCTGAATCAGTTCGAGTTCAGCCCCGATTAGTTTTTCGTTGAAAAATAAGTGACTAATGTAGACCATGTATGAAATCAAATAATTGGGGGTAGAGGCTTAATGAAGTTTCTGTGCAAATGGAATTTTTTCAAAAAAAAGGAAGGAAACTCATGATTTCCTAAGTTTTGGATTTGAAAGTTACGGTTAGATACATTGTTGCGTGAATCGCAATAGATATTGTTTGTCAAATTCAAAAATTTCAGATGGATGCTATGTGTCACACTCCTTTCCATAATGATGTGCGTATTGTTTGCTGGAGTGATCTCATTTTGTCGACAATCAAAGAAAGGAGCTGTGGTGTTTTCCGGCCTTGGCATTGTCATATTCTTGGTTGTGTGGACGTTATTCTGCCTGGTTCTACCCCTTACTGTTGTAAGTATTCACTAAGTAATTCTTTGGTGTTTTTACAAAAGCATTGTCCGAACGAGTTGGCGATTTTGAGATCCTTATATATCTTAGCTAGGCCATGCTCAGCGTTGATTTAGTGCGATCTTACAATATTATTTTGAAAGCGAGGAATGAGAGGCAGAGAGGCGCAGCAGCATATAGTCGCACCACGACGTCTCGATTCTTGCGCCACTGCCATTGGTTGGCGCGCGTCCCGTCACGATTGCCGACGGGACGCCTAATTTGACACTCTACTCGGATTTTAACCCTCCAAAAACGATATGGTGTAGTAGCACTTGACACTTGATTAGTTAGGAACCCTAATAATGTGATTTGCTGCTTAATTCACTCAAATTTTGCCCGCACATTGCCCCCGATATGAGCGTAACAACTCAAAAATGCAAACTTTTTCCAGGCACTTGTCGATTTTTGCTCATCTGGAGGTCATTTCATTCGATCTCGTGTCAGTCATCAAATGCTGAATGCTATGGAGTTCTATCAAATGTGTGATGCTAGACCGACTCACGACAATGTGCCACCAATAATGGGAGCGACAAACATTAGTGATACGTTGACGTCGTTCCAGACAAATAGAACACGACTTGACTCATTGCTCGATGTCACATTCAAGCACGACCCTTCCGTGAGTCAAAACATCAAATTTTTGCAAGACTGCATGTGAGGAGCTGCACACCGAAAGCTACAAATGTTGACGGACGAAGGCAGATAGTCGCGAAGCGGGCGCGAACGCGGCGGTTGAGCACCCTTTGTCGCTGGAGCACATCGGCTTCAGACATTCAGAGGCCGACATCAGCTCGCGTGCCGCGTTCGCATACGCTTACCTCTTATAAGCATCGCCTTCGTCTGGGAATAGTTTTTGAATTAGAATTCGTACATATTTTTTAGGTTTCCAATTCATCTGCTTTCGTTGCTGATGACACAATTCGTGCACTAAAAGGCATTGGAGCACTAGAATCGACTTTAGCATGTTACGCGTACCGTGAGAGCGTTCGAGCAATGCATACTGGAATATGCAACCAAGCAATGTAAGAAAACATATCTTAAAGGAAATCATGCATTTTTGTAAGAGAGAAGCAGTTGCAACCTTTTCCTGCAAGGCGGACCTTTTGCGCCACTACAGTATGCTACCGTAACATCGCGGAGTTGCTGAATGAGCCGCGACGCCAGTTTGCGATGTATGTGAAGATTTTTTCTTTCCTAGTAAAGTGACAGCTGCCATATCAGGTACGGTAGCATACGGTATGCGGACGGATGAACTTGCACTATTTTGATTTTTTATTATAGCATGACTTTTAAAACAGAAAATTTTGCATTTTTTCACATATACGGCACTATAAATTTTTAAGAAAAATTTTATTATTTTTAGAATTGGATCATCAGTGCTCACATTCTGTCTACTTTCATTAGGCCTGTTCCTATTCACATTGCTTGTCATCGTCTCACGCTCGTGGAATTTGTTCACTAGACTGTAAGTTCTACAATTTAATTTTTTTTTAAATCGCTTGCCACTGGTACTGTTCGTGATCGTCACAGTCACCACTCACAATCTTTTACATTTCGTCTCACTTGTTTCACTCACACTCGCAAGCAGAAACTCACTATCACAGCTTTGCTGCACTAGTTCCACTCTGTCTGCTAATGCTTAATTAGCTTTATATGTCAAGTTCGATACTATTAGCTCTTCAAGTTTGGTCTGAGATTACGGAAAGGTTGAATTTGGCTGTCAAATGGGATACCTATTAACGTCGTCAGTCGCACTGGAAATCGTACTGCGCTTCGAACAATCAAATTCGTTGAGGAAGGGGGGGATTTTTGTCCCTTTGGGTCACATTTTACCAATGCAAAGAAGTCATTTCGGGATTCATCGGAGTGAGACTTTCAATGTTTTTCTCGAATTTATTTCTGAAGTCACTAGGCAGTGCATTTTATGAGAGTCAGAACTGTGTACTTGTTAACTTCCTGCCAAAAATGTTGTATGCTAGTAGATCTTACCTTAATATGAGCATTTACAAGCTTTATCCAGCTACTCTGAAGGACTGCTGAATATTGGGTGTTCCTTAGCTAAGCCATTGCCAGTAACTCTAAAGTTCATCCCCATTTTGGGACCTGTTATCTCTCGCCCAGCACCATACTGCAAACTGTCACCCAGAACCGTACTCCATGAAATGTAATTGGTCCGCTCGGAAGGATACGGGCTGGCCCAAGAATCTGTGTTTTAGCGCACTCAACCATCTAGAATACTTGATCGCTAGTCCAATTTTTCCTTGCTGTTGAAGAGAAGAAAATAGTTAGACCTGCCGGCAAACGTGTTTCATCTGCAGCTAGAAGCGCAGTTAGAAATTTTGGGCTTTCTTTAATCCTGATCAAATCTAATACAAGCTCCTCAGAGCTTTAGAGATATCGTTCACCCAGATCTGTCTGGTATGATTCTAAAGGGGTACAATAGCGAATCCCTCAAGTAAAATGCACATGTTCTGTTGCAAAAGGATCATTCCAAAGCGAGAAATTCGCTTTGGGAAATTGGATGCTGCTGGGATCGACACGCCCATCAATGTAGGTGCCAAAGGTAATGATCAAAACTGGACACAGTAATATGTATAAATCTGGAAAATCCATCTTTAACTGTGAAAAACACGTCTCGACATTTCTGGATAATCTTGGGTCCGGTTTATTTATTTATTTATTTTGATACGCACAAGGCGTGCACATCCAACACAGTAATCGAAGCACCACAAGCACAGAACAGTTAGCAATAAAGAAAAAAGCAAACACCCAACGAAGTTAATTCAAGTCCAGTTTCATTAGACCACCTACTCTGATGGGCGTGGCGACCTCAGCAGCATCCACATTTTACGGCCGTTTTTTTGCATCGGAACAGCTTTCTGCAGCGAAAGTGGGTAGTCATTTTCGCTCTTGTACTGCATAGAAATCTCACCAAGTTCAGATTTGGATGAAGGGTACCTTGAATGCGAATTGAGATGTCGCTTTGAATAACAATAAGTGCTCAGTAACTTGATGTGATCATATTTGTCAGCTACACTAACCATGTGCGATATCGTCCAGTGCGCTATGACACAACGTCAGACGCGGCGATGTACTATCGTGTACCGACCACGACCGTATCGGATTCATTGGTCGCATGGACTTGTGCACAACGTTGTGCGAGCGGCGATGTTGCCAAATTTGTCGCGATTCGGTACGTCGCACTGGGACAACTCCGCCCCTCAACCGTACGTCGTCGTGGTACATATTATGAGCCAGCTCTGAATGTGTGAATCGCTGCCAGCACGCCTTCTCATAGCTTTTCCTAATTTTTTCTTTAATGTTGAGTGTGCTGTGTACTGTTTGTAGCAAATTTTGCATGATTAGATTTGAACAGTGGTGAGGTGAGTTCGAGCATGGACCTTTGGTCGCAAGTTGTCAAAATTGTTCAAAATTTTTTAGCCCCTCGGACTATGTAGAGGTGGACGAAGACGACCCGTTTTTCCCACGTACAAACGACTCCATGATACCGGTGGATATTTATGGAACCCATGTTTTTAATCCACGAACGAGGTTTATTATTTTTACGATTTATCCTGGTGGAGGGAAGGATTTTGTTATTGCAGAGAACGCACTGAGCCATCCACGAATACCACAACTGCCACCGGTAATGGATCCGGAGATGATCAAACGGCTCCGCTTTGGAACACAGCTAGTGCACCTCCAGCGTCAAGGTTAGTGAAAAGATGAAATTTCCATGAAATTTTTACGTACATTCGTTGATGGTGGGCACATTTGATCGTTCATGCAGCGCGTAAAATAGGACAACTCCGCCCCTCCTAGAAAAGCGTAAAAGTCCTGCAGCGCTTGCAAATCTCGTTAGGTCGTAATCTAGGCTGCGTTCAGAGTTGCCCGTCCGGCGCTGATGTAGCGCCGTGCAGCGCCATCGATCGATCAGTATTGAGCGCGTTCACGTTAGCGCTAGCACGGCGCTGGCACGACTATGGATGGGCAGCTCTAGACGCGACCTTTAAGGCAGTAAACATCAATACATTAATAACTACTTTGAAACATTTTTTTGTTTTTACCTTGCTTATTAGCATCATTTCAGCTCTACACGTTCTCCATATAATGAAAACTCGTATGGAAATTACATGAACAATCGATACGATGTCTAATTTGCCATTTGACACCCGTCTCGCATCGCCCTCTCTCTCACTCTCTATCTGGTTGACTGTATATAGTGCTGCTATCAGTATTCTTCTTCACCAGTAATAAACAAGTATGTGAAACGAAACATACTGCTTTCATATATTATTATTACGCTATGTGTCACTGTAATTGAGGTCGAAATTATGCCTCTCTTCTCATGTCAATGCACTGTCACGACGTTCGTGACACGAGTTTGTTATCTATCTTTCACGCGTGTGTGCAGTCCATGCAGAAAATACGTTGTTTATTTTCAGTTTCTCACACCGACACTTGTTTTCGTTTTTTTTTTGCTTTCATTATTATGTTATGATTGTGGATGAATTATTACGTTTCTTCCTTGTCTTGTGTTTGACATTCGTAAGGGAAGATGGGGAAATTCAACAAAGGCGGAAGGCTGCTTTTTCTAAAGAAATTTATTAAAAACCCATATATTACCAGTGAGAAGAATATTATGTACATGAATTTATTTGTATAATTATGAAATTCTAAACCTATGAAGAAGATTGTGGATTTTGGCCTTCTTCGGTCGGGATGCGAACGTGGCGCCTTCGATTTGGATGGAACCAGGAATAGTATACAATCATCACGGTTATACCTAAAATTATTAAAATGGAAAATTATAGGAAAACTAAGTTTATAAAATTTTGGACTGATGTATATCTAAGAAAAGAAATACAACATTTTCAATGCATTCTGCATTCTGCTGAAATCTGTTTTTTTTGTACCAAAATGTAGATCAAATTTCAGTAACCTTACCTGTTATGAAGAGAATTCCACTCAAAACTGCAGCTTGTACCTTATAAGGGAACTGTACCGAGTTGTCTTTTATCCAAATGGAAAAGAAAATCTTAAATAGAAATTTGCTGCTTAACTGAACCAAAAGAACTCCTATTTATAGACGAAATTATATGAACGCTGATATATGCAACTGCACACCAAACAACACTTTCGTAAGTGGATATAGTCGGTTACCTGGTTCTTTTCTTAGCTAAGGAACTATTAAAATTAAGGATAAGATCGAAAGACCACATTACAATTCATCACGTGCCTCGCAGAATCCCGATTTTCACGCGCAACCGTGTGTTGCTGTGCAATTGCACACAGCAGCATACAAATTAGTAATTTCTCTGGATAGAAATGAGGTTCTTACAGCAGCTTCTATAGCTTCAATCGTATACGCAGCTGCATAGCGCCATCGTGTCGGGCCATCAGCCATGTTAAATGGTGTAAAAATATGGATAGCTGCGTTGATGAATGTAAGACCTTCCTCGAGGCCTCGTGAGGATATGTCTAGGGCCTGAAAAATGGCTATAGTACTATTTATAGCTTTCCTCCCTTAGAGATTGAGGAGAAAGTTCTTGAAATCTTGTTCAGAAAACACTCTTGCCTTTGGCAAGGACTGTAGTCAATACTGAGGTATAGCATAAGGTAAGATTTTGCCAGTTTCTATCGAGTTGTCTCAAAAGTAAACCCCTTTTCTAAATGAATCAAACCGTTTCTTTTCTGGCGACTCAGGGCAACATTCGATAGCCCGAAGTACAAATTGTCCACCAAAGATCCGCCTAAGTCGCAATCCAGAGACAATTTAGAGCCAAAAATCAAATTTTTTACCTACGACACTCTGATCTCTTTTCAGGGAACTTGGCAGTAGTCACATAGTAGTAAAATGCGTTTTTTGGATTTTCTCCTGGTCTCAAAATTAAGAAACAAAAATAGCCCGAAAATGCAAAAATGTCACTTTCTAGGTTTTGTATGTTGAACATGGTATTCCTCGAAAAGCAGGGCACATACAGAAGTAAAATTTAAGATTATACCCACTAAGGCTTGTAGTATACAATGACATATGTGGGAGGGCTGAGGGTGGAGCGGTGCGGAAGCGGAGCCATTTTTTGACTTTTTTCTCGCTTTTTATGCGCAAAAAACTCAGCGAATGCAATTATGGATACTATGTATATTCTGTATGACGACCAATTTGGAGATTCGTCGGATTCTTTTCAGCAAAAATCCAATTTTTTGTTGGCAAATTTTTTTTCCAATTTTGGCTACAAACTTTACCTGGATTACAACTCGTATTGTCTATATGAGGTGAAGGTGTGGAATTGTCTTTTTTTCAAATAAAAGGAACTCATATTTCTGGATTTGGAGCATATATTCAGACAAAAGGCAAAAACGATGTTATCTGCAGAAAATTTGTGATTCTGTACGAGGCTATCTGTCACTAGTACTTGATGGTACCAAATTTCTTGAAAAATTTAACTGATCTGCGATTTTAAACTCAAGCTAGATTGTTGATTTTTCCGAATTTGTGAATTTAGTAAAGCGTGGTCCTCCGGACGCTCAGTTATTCAGAATCAATGAATATTTTTCTCCAGAATACCACTGCAGAGGAAATGATATCGATTGCCAAAAATGTTAGTAGAGGGGAGGGAAAAAAGAGGAGGGGCATGCGAGCTATACGATATATTTTTCGCCAAAAATTGATAATAAGCTCACCTGTAAAGCTTTTATATGAGCTAATGAGATGAGAAAATGAAGAAAAAGCGGAGGAATAACTTTAAATTCATAGGAATATACCGACAAAACTATAACTAGGAAACGTGATGACACAGTAGAGAATCTCCAGATGAGCTGAAAAGTTATTTTATTGACTGAACTAAGAATTAGATCATTTACCTGAAGAATGCTCTCATGCGGATGCATATTGACTTTATCGGGTCGAACCATTCGTAAACTCCTATGCTGTATGGATATAGACCAACAAACGCTCAGTAAAGATAACATCATGGATACCAGCTGTACATAAACTGGAATCAAAACTATTGTTAAGAGTAATTTAGCGGGAATTCATGAAAAGCCCACCCCAATTTGGTAGAGATAATATGCTATTTGTTTCGTTGAAATGCCACCAGAGATACTCAGAAAGTATGTTTCCTTGTACTATCAGCTGAGGGGCTGATTCGAGAAATCCCTCGAAAAATCTTAGAAGAGTGGCATCACGTTCGGCTTCGATCATTCGACAAAAGTGCTTTCGCCGTTTTGTTGGATCGGACTCCATGCGAAAGCGCAGTCCATGAACTAGCGCTTTATAGTACCACCACAGAGGACCAATCTGAAATCGTATAAAAGTCAGCTGGAGATTTGGACGTCATTGCGGACTTCTGCGTCTCCCTAACTAAGACGATCTCTCATAACTCTGGCTGTCTGCCGTCTTGCAAAAGTCCGCAGTGACGTCCGGTCCGTGCTTCTGGCGACTGACCATACATAACTAGAGCCTCATGCTTCACGCGATTTCTCGCGACGCGATTTGGCAAAATCCAACAAAAGTTTATAAATCATCGTAATCGTATTCTCTACAAAAAATAGTATGTTTTATGGATCTACGAAAAATTACACATAATCATGTTATACATTTGTCACCTATGAGTGTTGGATTCGAAGAAATCTGACAAATTGTCAAATCGCGTGGCGACTGAAATCGCATGAAGTATGCGTGGGGCTTAATAGGCACTTTTGCACCACTACGATGTGGTTACGGTACTGTTACTGTACGGTCCGAAGTGCAAGGACACAAAGTGACTAACGAGAGCTGAAAAATACTTAAAACGACATTGTAAAGAAAAGCAGAACTTCAATTTAAGGAAGGTTATGAGGTTACAGTGTAGTCCGTTCTGAACAATAATGGTGCGAAAGCCTTTTAATCATAACGCCTTCAGAACTGACCTGTAACAAGCAGATCACTGCATGATAGATGTAAGACTCGGTCCTGTCTTCTTCTGAGGCTCGATCTCTTTGAGATTTTGCTACTTTTGCCTTATTCTGGTTATCGTCACATATCCAAGCGAATGATACAGCATTCAACACTATTGATGGAACAATAGAGAGCAACAATATGAATAAGCAAGCAACCACCTAAAACACATCATAATTTTGCTATATAATATGAATTCAAAAAAAAAGAATTCAAAAATTCAAAAATGAGTTTAGAAAACTGACCCGATCTCCATAATAATGGAATACTGCAGTCACAATATCGCTGATTATGTCAAAACAGTAAGTAGCCATAGCAAAGCAAAAGCAAAAGAGATCAAAACGTCGTACAAAAAGTTGCCGTGGTATTCGATCCAAATGCTCTTCGGCCACACCAGCATCTTCTGAAAGTAGTTTTTCGCCCATCACCTATTATCTCAAATCCTAAAGAAGAGATGTTAAAACAATCAGAAATTTCTTGAATTCGAGTGCCTTCAATGCTTTTCTCATCGTGGATAATTTACTTGAACCTGTACATGTCTTCTATGTACTCATCTCATTCCTTTGAAGTGCATATAAATTAATGCAATTTGTAAAACACTCAAACATTTTGGCCCGAGAGCTGGTGAAAAACCTCCAGTGGACAGCAAAAAATCCCAGCAAAAATAGCAGCCAACTGGATCTTCCAGTCGTGAGCTAAACACGATCTATTGGAAAAAATTCTAAAAGTTCCATTCTGGAAGTTCTTAGTGAAAAAACTTTGTAGTCTCTAAAAGTTTCTTGACGACTAATGCACAACAAGCCTCTTTAAACTCAGAAAAAATCAAAAATTATTTACAAGGGAAGCGTCTGTAGTCAAAGTGGCCTTTCCACATGGTACCTATACCACTTTGTAGAGCATTGAACAATGATTCTAAATCCGTCTTCCGTATCTGCCAAGCGCCTCTGTAGGCCGAGCTATGGACGTTTATTTGAGTCGAAAAACTGAATGCACAACTGGAGCAAAATCGTCCAAAACTGCTCAAATGGTCAGGTGTTCATCATCAGAGCACTTGATTCAACGAATACCTTTTGTCTAATACCCTTATACTCTACAGTGCTCTATTAGAACGCAGGAAATATCGTTATTACTGTTCTTACTTAGACTCTGCATTCATTTTTTGCCCTAAAAATACTCATAACTCGGCGCTCAGGGGCGCTTGGCAGATAGTGAAAACAAATTTGGATTCAGCGTTTAATGCTCTTCAAAGTGATATAGAAATTATTTGGAAAAGTTACTTCAGCTAAAGACGCTTCCCTTGTGAGATAGAAAATTTGGTTTGTCAGGATATAGCAAATCAAACTTTAAAAAATTGCGGTTTTACCAAACTGCCGTTAATTTACTGTTACTGGATTGTGTAAGTAAGAAACATCAAATATACTACAATATGAAAAGCTTAGTCGATCTTTTCTCTGAATATTGACTTCGTAGAAATAAACAGAGAATGTGGATCCTAAATTTTTGCTTTACTTTCAAATTTATGACCATCATATCATCCATTTAACTTGTAGATTTTTCCACGATACTCTTTAGTATATTTATGGCCATTTGATTTTGAGTGAGTGATAAAAATGCAAGGATAGTCTGTTCTAGTAACGATAAGAGCGATTTTTCTCACTTTGAAAGGTTTGCAATTTCTGCAAAAATTTGTTATAGGAATGAAAATACTATGAAAATCAGTTGTTCCTATTGTACTTACGAAGCTTAGATCAAAAAAATCCGATCACTAGACACGGACTGTACTGATAAGGAAAATTCCGAAAAAAACGATGATTTTGCTCATTCATCAAGAATTGTCAATCTTGATATCTAGTTTCTATACCAGAATTGCGCTCTAAAATCAAATACTGCGCGCGACTCCAAGGTGACCATAATCGAACAGGTTAGGTTGTAACTTTTTCGGTACTTTTCGAGAAATAGTCGATGATTGAGCTAGTGTACTCAGGTCACAGAACGAATTAGCGATTTTCGATCAACTGACCTTGATCGAAGGCGTAGCCATTCTCCGTCAAGTATATGAGTTTGGCGGGGTGTTTCTCGTACATTCCTACGTCATATCTAGAACAAACACCAAGGAAAAAAATGTAGCAGATTGTGCAGAAGAGTAAAGAAAAAATCGAGAAAAAAATTATCGAGAGAGTAGATAAGGGGAGAAAAGTGATGAAGAAAACGGTGCTGTGATGCGCGAGGCACAGTAATCGGTATTGATTGACCCGCATTATCCTAGTACAGCAATGGACTGAGCAGGGTTAAGCAGACGGGGGGGGGGGGGGGAGGGCAGAGACTTGAGCCGTATGTAAACAGCTAGGACATCTGGCAAAAGATTATGCAGCCTGTTGATAAGATTTTCTAAAGTCAAATATTGTTGACTTTTGAGCTTGACCGAAGAAAAATCGAAGAGAGAAAAACGAGGAACAATCTAAAGAATTTTCTCTACTAAAAGGAACTCTAAATAAGCAGATAATCGTTTGGATCACGATTGATTTTGTGCTAAGCTTTCAAGCAGAGAGAGACAGAAACGAGGCATTTTCGGAGGAGAAGAAATGATCAAATGCTGTTTGCCCTTCTTCCTCGCCCTAGCCACCTCGTGTAAACATACAAAGAAGAGAAATATTTTCTTTCACTCAATTGTCGTCTTTAGAGAAAAACTAATCACTCACTGTAAGCTTGTTATTTGCTTGTTATCGTATTATAACTCTCATTTACGGAAGTGCTAACTAATTTTTTAATGTGTGCCATTTTTGGTGACGTTTTTCATACTGCTTTGAAAGATTTTAAAATTGGACAACATAAACTTTTGCAAAAATCGATTGATAGTTGCTAAAGATCTATAGAGAAGGAAAACATCAAACTGTCATTTTTTGATGTCTTATTATCGTATGTATGTACTGTCGAATTTAGAAAGAAGATTATAAGCGAATGACAAAGTCACCAGAAGCATCCTTAAATTGGATTTTGACTTCAAAAATAGATGCTCTCAAGACGATGGGATAAAATTTTTCAATGTGAAATTTTCTTGCATCAGATTGCTTTTGTCAAGCCTTTGATAGGGTAAATTCCAAAGTCTGCAGCTTGAGTAAAAATGAAAAACTTTTCTGTCTTGCTCTCCTGAAAGTGTTGAATGATAAGGCTCTTAACATTCCACGTCACTCCCTTCAAAATGCTTTCTTTGGAAAGAAAATCGAGAAATTTTCAACAACCCATGTTGTAAAGACCAACAAAAATTATTCATTAAAAAGTTAGTTCTGTTGCAGGTATTAGTTAATTTGCTAAAAACATGCGGCAACTAACACAGTCTGTAGATACCGAAAAAATTGTACTAATTTTTTGTTGACGGCAGGATTAGAATATTTATTCAGACTTTCATACAATTCTGAAAGAAAATCATCCAGTATAAATTTTATTTTTTCATAAAAATGTCTCAACCAAATCAACAGTAAGACTTTCATTACACAGCTAGAAAAAGAGTTGTAGAAGAGAGTGTGGAAGGTCTGTTTGATGGACCGATTGAAATAGGCTATGACATTATCGTAACAGAGAAGATGACAAAGCGCACAATCATTTCAATGTAAAATCAATGAAAGGAAACTGACATTTATTTTAGAGCAATAGTAAAGCATTTTACACGCACTTGTCAGAAAACCATGAGCGTCTTCGCTACGTAGTATAAGCGAAGCTTGAAACAGCAAATTTTGGAAGAAACTGAAAACATTGAAAATCAATTCTCTGTAGTTTTATGTCAAAAACTTCTGCATTCTGACTATCAGAGTATTCGTCTCAAAATGTTAATATGCTTACATATGACTCACAGCTTTTTTCAGCATTCCCACTATTATCTGTCAGTTTTTCCGTTTTGAATTTCAATGACTCATACCGGCATTTTTACGAGATGCTAGGCAAGCGGAAAGGTTATATGCATTTTTTTCGTTTCAAAGAATTTCAAGAAGAGCAACTTATGTACGATATCTTTACAATAATTGACATCTGCTATAATTGGTTGCTTTGAGAAATCACGAAAAGCGTGTTTTATTTTCAGAGAATCAGTGCAAGAAAATTTCAAGATTATGTTAATGTTTAAAATTCACATAGTTATCTGCAAAAGGATTTCCTAATTCAAATGAGATTGTAACAATTTGCTCAGGCATTTTGCTTTGTCTTTATTGGACCCAAAAATAATGCTTCATAAATCAAAGTTTTGAGTGAAGATATTTGCCACTTTTTGAACTAAAATCGTTTTATTATTGATGTAGCAGTATTTGAGTGCATAAACTTAAAAAAGATTTGTAAAATTTGATAAGTAAGATCTGTAAGATTGTTGTTTTCAATATCTTAAACTAGAAAGCAACGATCTTTTTTGAAAACGAGGTGTGGCAACTACTTTGAAGTTTATAAAATTTTCATTTTTAAGCATCTAGATATTTTTATAGCCATTTTTTTGTTGTAAATGTGGAATCCCAAAAACTTTGCAACATTTTTTATTTAGAAATTCTTGGGTGAGTTTATACCTGTTCCCCGCGATAAACTGATATGTCTTTGATTTGACAACATTCTGTCATTGATTTAACTTCTTTCACTCAGTGCCATCAGGAAAAGATTAAAAAATAAACGCAAAGAAAAACTACGACAAACAAATTGACTTTTTATAAGTTATTTTGGTTAAAATAAGTAGTCTTTTTCGAAATTTGTTGTAGCACGTTGATGATTTTATAATTGACTATTACTCTCAAAAAATTATTACACCCCTATCTACACAACATTATCTCTTCTTTGTAATCGCCTCAGATCATTTGATACCCATACCCAGGAGTTCCATTCGCGCGGGGGGGGGGGAGAGACAAAATTTTTTTGGTGAAAGCTCGTGGCGTTAGCCATGCACTCCGAAAAGTTTTTTGGTATGCTTCTAAATTTTCCGCGAGCCTATAACCGCGAAATCCAGAAAAAAGGGTAAGACTAAAATGAATTTTTGAAGTATTTTAAAAATTGATTTCAACTACATATTTACAAGTATAAACTAGTCATTTGCACCTTTTTATAACCCGTGTAAGCAACATCCAAAAATTTCGTGAGCCATTTTCCCTTCCCCTACCGCCCTTCCTCGTCGGTACGCCGTAGATAAATTTCATCTAGGATCAAAAACCAACACTTGCCAAGTTGTGCGCGATATCACGCCGCACCCTTATTCTCGTCTACCTTTACCTTTGTGCGATCGCGGCCCTCACTTCCTTTCTATCGCCTTATTTGGTTCACCGCCTTCGTGCGCCTATGATGCCGATCGTGTTTGAAGGGCGGACCGATTTCTTCGTCATTGTACGAACGATCAACTTATTCTTGCCAAGGTTTGCTCTCGCATTCTACAAATTTTATCGCCTTGTTTGGGTTTTTAGGAGCAAAGATTGTCACTTTTGTGAAATCTTGCTCTCTACCTGCTCAACATCCAGTCTATGACTAGATCTTTCTTATCGGATATGATGTAAGCGGATTCTGAAAATTAATTTTGATTAAGCTACATCGATTTTGCATGATTTCCTATCACATCATAGAGAAGTAACGCACTAATTTGATTTCTGAAATAATTTCGTAAAAGGTGCTGTTTCATTCTGTTACACGTATCATTGATTATTTTTTGTAAACATTTTCGACTTTCAACTACCACTATCCTTACTCTTGCATATCTAGCATTTTTCTGCTTCTTTATGACATTGTTCGCCAAAATTTTGGACGCTTGGATTTTCTATAAACACGAAGCGTAATTCGCGATCGTCAAGTTCAGCCATTCGCCCACTACCGTACCCTCCACCGCACTCGAAGGCGACGATTGGTCCGCTTATGAGCACCTTCTGGGCCGCAGTTCAGAATTGAATCTCTTAGCCTGTGTGAATCATTTGAGCTGCCGTCCGGGCAAAATTCTAGTTTAGGCATTTTGCTCACAGCATCCACATAGGTTGATGTAGGTTCACAAGTTTTCGTGGGTGCTCCATCTAAGAAATTCGGCGCCTTTTAGAAATTAGAATAGTACATGTTGGAGTTTTTCTGAATTTTTTTCATGGTCTCCACATTGAAAAAAGCTACTCCTAATTCTGTACTTCGAGTATACAGAATTATCACAGCTACTCAAAAAATGTAAACAGGTAATTTATAACAAACTGCAAGCGTTTCGAATATTTCTTGAGTTTTCGCTTAGAAGAAGAAGATTCCATTGGGCAAAGAGAATAATTAAAGGATTCTCTATTCATTAGGAAACCCTATTTCCTATTTAGGATGACGCAACACCATTTCTTCAATTAGTTCTGGAAGGTCTCTTTCCAAAAACTTCACTTTATGGATATCCATCAATGACTTTGCTGGGCCTGCTAGCTCTTTGAATTTACTGATATTTCCAACAAGCATTTGGAAGCGAATTCTCCTAGTAACAAACTTTTCTTTTATTTGGATACTGTACAATGCGAAACATATTTGTTCAATCATTTATCCACAAGTACTAGGTAATAAACTAATAAAAAGGAAAAAATTGACAAGCAAAAGTCTTACAAGACCAGATTGTCCTCAATAGTAACAATTCAATTTTTGCTTCTAGGTAAGCTCAATCTCTGCTCTTGAACTGAACTGTGAAACTCGTCTTTCTCTAATCTTTTCAAGTGATAGAAATGGATTGTTTGTGTATTGCGCATGTCTCTATTTGAAAATCCATTGCGTCGTTGTACACGAACAGGTTTTCTTCAACCAGATAACGCCTACTCTGATTCAGACACACATCAAACAACAAAAACGTCGTCTTGGCCGCTATCTTAGCTACGGATATCTCTTCATTAGCTAAGCGAAAACTCAGATTGTCTTATTTTAAAGTATTATAAATATAAAAATAGGTTTTCTATTACTCCTAGTTTTTTATCCTCCCATACCCAAGCGAAAAATCGCTTTTTCGTCTAGTTCAATTACTCTTTTAAAGGTTTCTTCCAATAGTAAATATTGACTCATCGAGAAGCCCTTTGAAAAGAAAATATTTGTTGGCATTTACCAAGATCATGATGATTCAGTTCTGTTCTTTGGTCTCATACAAAGATGAAAAATCTGCCAGTGGGACTTCAAAAAGTAATCACCGATCATATTCGTACTGGTGTATCAGCGAACCAACAACTAAAAATCATGGCAGCATTTGCAAGGCCCAAAATCCTTGACCAAAAAAATAACATGTTAAAAATTCAGATTTTCCCACATATGCTATTTTTCTGAGCCTGCCACTGGTCCGCCGTTTAGCCAATTTTTTTGGAAACACTTTCCACAGAGTTTTTGGCCTTTTGCAATTCTCTTGTGTAGCCTGAAAAATACTGGTACTTTTGTTTGCGTAAAGCATTCAGTTTGAATCCGCTCCTGATGTTTTACTTCTTTGAACTCAAAGCAAACATTGAGAATTGAATCTACAATTTCTTGCCTTCGAAGTGATTCTTCAAAGTTTCCCAGCAGACTGCTTTACTCAGAATCGGGATTTTTAGATTGTTTAACCAATAAATCTCTTGGAAATGCAAAAAAATGAGTTTTGAGCCACTAAGTGCCCACTTTGTACATCTACGAAGCAAAACAACTTCCGGGCTGGCTATTGTTAGAGATAATTGGCAGTAGAGCTTGTTTATAAGCTGTAGGTTGATTGATTGGCTTGCCAAAGTAAATGACATGCTTTGGAGGATTCCCAAAAGCGGCTTCTTCAGACCATCTAATGTCATGTTCATTCTTATTCCCCATGTGTAAGGCCTGCATTCTCGCTGGGATTCAGGTAGAAAAAAAAACAAGTCAAAAATTAGTATTTGTCACCATTTATTCAAGTCATATTATATCGAGTTGTCTTCCACCGAATTTTTTTGAAAGTAATTCCCATTTTCAACAAATTCATTTGTTGGATATAGCTTGGAAAGAGATAATCATGTACTTTCTAATGCTCCAGAGATCCATGTTGGTTAATCAGTGATACAATTTGATAAATAAAAGGGACTCACCGTAAAATCGTATTGTTTCAAATTTCCCTAAATAGTGGAAGTTTGGGCAAGTACGATTTTACGTTCGCAATTTTGCGACGTAGTCTTTTTATTTTAAAGGAATTAATGAATCACATTATCTATGGCTTTTCACATTTTCAGCATTTCAGATAACGTTTCATCTATGTTTCTGATAAAACCTCTAGCATGCATAGCAAAATAGAGCATTGTAACATGTTGCAAAAAAGTTATAAATCGACATGTTTTCATCAAAGAATTTTAGACTAGATTTTCGATCTTTTGGATCCTGACACATTTAGAAAATATAGCTAACATTACTTATCCTACCACTTTTATTTGCGAAAGTTCCTCTTCAAAACTGCCAATTGCTCTTCGTAATGTCGTTGAAACAGCATTGAGTAAGCAATCAGCGTTTTCTGGCATTTCTACCATGATTGAGTGTAACCTTTTGCATTGTGTGTTGTGCTAGAAAAACCATTTAACATTCGGCAATCGTTTATGGCAATGAGAATCGACGTGTATTACAAAAAAACTTTTTCTGTACGTACTTAGACGAAAATGCCATAGCGAATCATGCGTGATACGACGTCCAACGACGTCTCTTATTGTACAAAACTATCCACTTTCAACCGTGAAAAATTCTTAGCTGGCCGACATTTTGCCAGAATTTTCTTGCTTTTTTCTTGCTAGCTGTATTCCTGCAGACGAAAAAAATGTCTATTTTAATGCGTAATCTACAATACCGCTCGCAGAACGTGCAAAAATAGAATGTATTTATTCAGAGGGAAGTTATGAGAGTGCGTAGTTTGCGTGATTCCCGCGATTCCGCAGAATTCCTGGGATTACGCGACATTCACAGAAATTTTGCACGTTCTGTGAGCGGTATTGTACTTATAAAGCGTCCAACCTGCATTTCTTCTTATTTCGATTTTTGTGAAACACCCGTCAAAAAAACAATTTCATGAATCAGTAGTGTAGCACTAACTATTCTCAGTATTTATTAGGCTATATTTTTACCTTTTCTCGCATATGACTTCAAGAAAGGGACATAACAAGATTTGTACAATATGTGATTCTGCACACAATGCGCGGCCTGACACCCCTCTAGTATGTTCTTTTATGAACTGTAGAAATAACTACTACATATTACCAAACAAACCAAAAGAAACAAGGAAATGAGCATGAATTACTATAAATGAGCGGATTCTAATTTTTAGCTCGTCAGATAGCGCGTGTGATGTGCAATGCGCATGATAAGTCAAATGACTTTAGTGTTATGTGCAAATTTTTTTCTTCAACATATTCTCGAAATGTACCGCTTATAATTATCCATACAAAAAGCTGTCAATGTGCCTTCCTTCGAGAAGTTCAAAAAGAGGAAAGTCAAAAATATTATTTGTATTGAATTCGTCAGTGAAATAAAAAAAACTTCATTTACCCAGCTGAATGTCCCATATATTATATTAGCTTGGTTTAAAATAAGTGCACGTTTTCCTACCTCTTTCAAACCTAGTCTTCGAAGTAAAACCGTTTTTCGTGGAAACCTTATATTTCCTGAAAGCCCGCTTCTTTTTCTGGTTTTTCATAACTTTAATCTTTGGAAGCCTTTGTTCAAAGCGAAGTATGTCTTCAAAGTTACTTGAAATTTTCTTCTTCCATTCTATCTGCTTTGAATCATGAAAAATGCTCTGATTTCTAAAAAAATATATCTTATAATTGCAAGGATTCCTGCTACAAAATGCTGTGCGACGCAAAATTTTTGAAAATTCCAGAGCCGAGTAGCTATGACACGAACTTGGCAAATTGCTGGAATCATTCTAAGCTGTATAAAAAATCTTAGGTGAAAAGCGATTGAAGAAGTTTTGCTTTTCAATTTTCAAATGTGAAAAAGATAAGGAAATCTAAAAAACGCGGCATTTCGTCTTTTTTTCAAATGCAGAAAAAATGGGTACTTTCACTTTCTTGGCAATAATTTTTCGAAAAAAATTTCCGTAAGATCCAAGTTTCACTTTACTATTGAATCAATCAATCCTAGGCTATACGATGAGCAAAGTCTGCTCCATTCTGGTACTTTTATGAGTAAGTTATGCTTTCTCAAACTAGAGCTTTCCAGAAAGATTTTCGGAGATTTTTGAACCAGAAGATTCTTCCCGTGGTGAGTATACGCACATAAAAGTGTACATTGAATAGCTAAAGGTTTGCTGTTTGTAACATTTCTCAATGCGCTTAGAAAGATTGTTTTGGAGAAGAATTATCTTGATTAAAATTGAAGTTATGAAAACGTGCATTAATTATGAACTAACCTAAGATATCCAAAATTTGCAGGCATCTCATAAAAAACAAGCTTTGCTGCAGCATTACGTTACATCTTCATTTTGTCACGAATCAGGTCTTGGAACCTCTCAATAAATGAGCATGACTAGGCACTCCACTTTTTTGTGAATGAAGAAAAACCGCAGCTTGTTTTTTAGGCCTTTTTGTATCGTCCCACTTCAAATTCTCATGCCGATTGAAAAAAAAATGTGCACATGATTGCATTTTCAATAGTGTACTGGACTTATTGATAAAAAAAATCCTACTGTGGAAGCTATGCAAGACAAATGAATCTAATAAGTAATTTTTCTAATACTTCAATGTTGCTTGGTTTTGTTGAGTAAGGCTGTGCTCTTTATAGAATAAAGACAATGAGGTGTCGGAACTATTCACAAATCGTTTCACTACTTTTTGCCAAAATGTCCTCGCTCAAATTGTTTGGTTCTCGGGCAGCCTAGTCAGATGACTCAAAAGAACCTTTCGTGAGGAACATAAATTTTTAGCTTTGTTTCCCCATCTGTCTCTTCCAAAAAATGCGTAAGTCCTCAAGAAAGTCTTAAAATTATCATTTTTATATGCACTTGGCCTAAATACTTACATGATCGTTGTCAAAATTTCCGAAACGTGCAGTCTCATGGCCATAGCAAACAAAAAATCCGCGATTTGTGCCAAAAACTCAATCAAAACTGACATCGAAGGATTTTTAAGGTACCGAATAGATGTGTGGAGTAGTGATCGAAGACGCTACTAAACCGGTTTCGAAGAATTTTGCGTTTATCGTGGGGACAAATTGTCGCGATATTGCGTATAGCATGCTATCGCTTTCCTCAAATCCATTATTCTATCATTCGAGAAAGATATCAGATCTCTTTGAATCCTAGAGTTATTTGGTGAAATTTTCATTATCATTATTTAACTCAGCAAGTTCTCTTACCTCTTTTTTCGCGCATTTGCCACAGATCCGCTTAAAAAACTCGTTGTTTTTCCATGCTACAGTACTCCTACAGTACTCACTAACTTTTTGAAATTTCCTTGGCGTTATGACTCAGCATATAACGATACCAAAACACCTAAAGATGTTGTCATTTTCATCGTTTGCGCTTGTTTTCACGACCAACGCCCTTTACGCCCTTTTTGGAGAAGTCTGATGACAGTTTCGCCAAGCACGTATCAGTTCATTTGTCTGTCATTTATCGGTCGTTACTATCAGAAGCGTTTACTCGTTCTTATTTTGTAATTCACAGGTGATTTCTATCAAAATGGATCAAAAAGCATGTGCTACATCACGTGAAAGCTTAGAAGCTTCGATCGTTTTTACGGATGGCGGAACGACTGGAACGGTTTGGATTTTTTTTTGGAATTTTGCCAACTTTTTTCTGGAATAGTAGCAAAATCCGTTTTTTATGATTGGTCTTTTGGGTGCTTATATTGATTTTTGATACTCTGGAACTATAGTAATGTTGCGGCCATTTAACCTATAACTTAATTCATTAGCTGCTACGAATTATTTCGCCCACGAACTAATTTATTTCCTTATTTCTTTTGTCCCTGTTTCCGAAAACTTTTGTATTTCGAAAATCAACGATTTAGGATCTATCAGAAAAATATATCGAGGACCATGTAGAACATTTTTTATATGCAGCACATATGGAGAACATTTTTTTGCCAATGACTTCAGAACCTCATTTTTTTCTGGAAAAAACATTGAATAGTTTTTTCAGATTGGAAAACTAGTCTCACATTTTTTCTTGAAGTTTATATGTGCGTACAGCAATTTATCAAATGAACATGGTCACGACAACCGGAACGAATACTCATCAATGGTAGAATTTTACTAAATGTAGTAACGCGATTCATAAGTTGTACTTCCGATAATTTTGAAGGCAGAGGTCAGAGATCAGCCTCTGAAAAAGAGATCAAATGTGTGTGGATGCATAAATCTTGCACTAAAATTTTTGAAAAGTGATGATTTCTCTATGTTCAACACATAGTTTGATATACTCTGCTTAGAAGAAAAATCACGCTTCTTAATCTACGGATATTATTTCGTCTTTGAAATTGGCTTGGAGCACTGATTATTTGTGACACGAATCTGTAATAAAATATAATTCAAAATGGCTTTTCAAACATCTTAGAAAAAAATTTCAATATTTTTGGATGCAAAACTCATAAAAGAACCTAGCAGCAATAGGTGTTCGTGTTTTGCTATCCTTTCCGCAAATATGGAAGAATTTCTAAATAACTGAAAACTTTACTTCGTACCTTGAAAGAGTCCTGTAAGTTTTGCAAATTTCTCACTTCGCAATTGCATTCTAACTTTTCTCCTTCTCCAAAAAACTATTTTAATGCCATATTCGTGTCCATATAAGTCAATCCAGACCGGATCTGCGGTCGGAGTCGAATAGACAAAGTTTTGCGAAATGTCGAGAAATCAGTTCTTTTTGAAGGGCTCTCTAAAACCTGAATTGTAAGGGCAGCTCCGCCATTCTGACCAGCCCCTGCGCTTTGAAGCATTCATTCAGTTTGAGTTCTCGTTATTGCTAGTGTTCTTGATAGTGGATTTGCATAGCAGCCCAGGTCACCTCAGAAGTTTCTTTAGAAAATTTAAATTAAATACACGTGCGTTCCGTAATTTCTTCACCTTACTCCCGAACAAACCGATTAGCAGCGCTAGGATAGTTGATAACGCTTAGGGCTGTAAAACATCAGCTGAATTTTTTAAAAAGCTTTCCAAGGACTTCAAGCTTAACGATCAGGATTTTTATGATTTGCAGATACATTCGAAGCATTCCTTCTTAGCTTTGATCTTGATATTTGTGAAACAGCATAGGCTTTACTTTTCATATACCTACGACCAGCGACTCATTTTTTTGCTTTTGAATGGAGATGTGAATTTTTTTCAGTATCATGCCTTACATATTTTCAAAGGTAGGATAGATTTCTAATAGTTGACAAAAATTAGCAAAAAGCTGTAAAAATACAGTGATGAGAATTTTTAGGTTTGAAAAATTTCTAGGGCATACACAGCTAGAAGTTAGCAAAATCTGCGAAAACTTTCTTTGAAATTTTTTCCTTCATTAAGTTTCGAGAAATTCTAGAAATTTCCACCTCTGAAATTTCAGAGTTCCCATTTTTCGACAATGTGACATATTATATAAATTGTTTCATAAGAGACAAAGTATAACCTTTGCACAAATTATGGAGAATTTCTTCTGATTGTATAGATCTTTGTATAAAAGTCGAATTTTTATTCTGATAAAAACTAGGACTTCATTTTGAAAAAGTTAAGTTTCTGCTTTTTTCTGAATTCTTCAAAGATTTTTTAAAATTTCAACTTTCAATATTTTGAAATTTTTTTCCTTTAACTCTGCATAATTTGAATGAGAAACAAGGTATCAGTTTTTCTAGTCAACAGACCTTTTTCCAACTGTAGCAAACCATAAGCTCCATTTTTTTAATCTAAATCTTAAATTAAATACAGATGTGCAATATTTTATTCAATTTTTTTTTGCAGGAAAAAAATAAAATAAATTTGAAGTGACTTTTTGCCAACCTTGATAGTATTAAATACTAGCAAACAAACTTTTACAGAGCAGTGAATTGAGTGTGTCGGACGAGAACCTCGAGGGCTACTCGACACCAACTGGAAGTTCGCTACAACTGGATTTAGAGTGAGTTCTGTGCGCCGTCGTCATTTACCGCCACTCTGTTGCTGTTGTTCCTTCTTTCACTCTCTATAAATAACGACAAAACACGCGCAATGTCGCTGTTAGTAACTTGTGACTTTTGACAATATTTTTTGAAGTTTTACACATGATTAGACCCCTCTTTAGCACGAAAAAATTGGGAGCTATGCGCTTCCAAACGTCGAGTTCCGCTTTTGAACTTTGAAGTGGGGGCGACGCACGACCAGTGCCGCTCCACCCTCCCCCCCCCCCCATCCTGCCCCGATAAGGGCAACATTTACATTGTCATTCAGTTCTTCACACTTCTCCACACTCGAAACCCCATTCGTGGACACCTCAAGAGCCTATGAAATTCATTCGCCGGACATTATACATGTTCAAGTGCACTTTACTACCACACTTTCATGTCCCCGACGACAATATATAACTCGAGATCGAGTTACATCGCAATTAAAAACTTGACAACTTCATTTTGTCTCTTCGAAACCCGTTTTTATGTTATAAAGTGCTTCCGATTGTGTTAAATTCGGCACCTCCGATGATTCGAACATCTGTTGTTGCAGTAGACACCTGCTCCGGTCATAAACATATGGCAACAACCATTTTTGAAGTTTGTGGCCTTTCAAAATCTAAGGATACAGCAGATGGTCGGCATTTTCAAGGGTTTTTGTTGCAGAGCTAAAATCTGTAGGATTTTGTTGATGTATTGAATATTGTATGCCCTCTATATAATAACTAATGTTACATCTTACAAATATGAAAAGATAGGCTCACAATCAAAATAATTCATGCATACGATTTTTTGAAAATGCATTAAAGTTATTCATAATTAGGTCAATGAATGTAATTTCGGCAGTTGAAGTATTTTACTGGCTTTTCTGGCTCGTTGAATTCTTTAGGGATTATTTAATCTCAACAGATAAAATTCAAAGTTGGCAGCATCTAAAAGATAATCTTTATTTCCTGCCACATTTCAGCTCTAAAAAGCATAAGTAATTTCCATATGATTTTGTATGAATTCACTACTATTGAGTTTTTTTACTGGTTTTTTTGGTACCGAAATCTTTTCACCCATTATTACCAAAAAATAGTGAGTACTAAATAAAGTAACCGATGAAATTTCCATAGTAAAGAATAATTATGTGTAATGGCAATTTTGCATGGGAAATTCTACTTTGCATATTTTCGACTCAGAAATAGCAGAATAAAATCTTATAGGATTTTGTTGATGTATTGTGCGCTTTCATCCCACCCTGAAGTACTCATAATCAAGGCGATTTGAAAAAAGAATTTCTGCTATTGTTCTGCTGTTGATGTCTTGAATTTTTTTAATGAAATTTTATTGACGCATCGAATTTGCTAGAGAACATAGAAAATTAAAAAAAAAAACGATTCTCAGAATATACGTTGGAAAATCCTACAAGTGATGGGTATAATAGAGCCCCTCCATTAACTCCGTTTAAAACTCCACTTTTCTGCTCATTAATCATTTCGCTTATCAATTTGCAACCAAATTGATCTACGGCCCTAACTTCATGTCCCGAATGTGCTTCGCTATCACCGCTGCTACATCGAACCAGCAGTGCGCTTTTGAAGGCGATATTCCTTGCGCATTTTAATGCCCGTTCGTTCTGCATAAAGAACGTAATCGAAACGGGAAATAGATCGTACGATGAGACGTTTTCAAGGACTTTCAGATGTTAGCCGTTGTGTTGTTTCAAAATTAACTTCTTAAAAAATTTCTTACAGTGCCATCCATTTTATTTACCCCTTTCGAATGTTTTTAAGCAATTTCCAATCGCTAGTCACTAAGCTCTTAGCAGTTTCTCCTCACGTATTAATATAACTGAAATATTTACTAAAAATTCTTGAAAAATCATTTCCAAAGATTGCTGCAAATAAGTTGTACTTTTATATAGTTTTAGTAAAGTGCTAAGATTGAATGAAATGCTGTAGAGGATTTTTCTGACCTTAATTCTATATAATCAAGCGTTTTCGCAAATTGAAAATCCATCTACTTTCTTGCAATTTTTTTGTTATCATTTTATTCCTTTCTATTTCTTATTCGCCTTGATGTATGCACATTTCACAGTGTTTTTTGAAACTGGTTCGTGCATCTTTTCATGACAATCTTATCTGATGTAATAATGTCGCAAAGAAATGAATGATGAATCACTGACATTCAGATCATAATATCTCACTATTTGTTTCTCATGTTTTTCAGTAACCAGTCATCCCTCTGCTTTGCTATGTACTCTTGCCATTCATCTATAATCATTTCCACCAAAGCAAACGATTTTCTGAGTAATTCTAAGAATTTTGGAGTAAAATGGAACTTGGAGACGTGCTTTTGCCTCTATCACATTACCATGAGCTTTTTCTGCCCCGAGTTATTGAAAAGTAAAAGTTTTTTTTAAATGTCGCACTGATCTAAATTGATAATAATTGAGATACGATACGATGAGATACGCGACTTTTTTGTGAAGTGAAAATAAAATGGCTTTGAGATTGACCATTGAGATTTCGATTCTTTAGAATGTTGTCAAGTGAAGTCTTTGCAGTTCGAATTTTTTTGCAAAATTCATTATTTTGATATACTTTGCAGGCAGTAAATGGAATAAAAATCCAAGAATTATTTCTTCCAAGGCCTGATTCCTATTATTGTGCGGTTGCACATATGCCGTCCGAAGTGTGAAACTATTAAGCAGAATTATTGCAATTTTTTAAAGTTTGAATAGTTCAGAAATATCTATGTACTAGGCTGTTGCATAAGTTCTGTCCGATTTAAATTTTTGAGTTTAAAATGTCATAACTTCTTTCAGAGTCAACTTTTTTCCAAGGTCTTAGTTTCTATGTGTTGAGCAGTCCCTTGGCTAAAAAATGCATATTGAGATCTGCGCAAATCTTTGTTAAGGAAGAACCAAGAATGCAAAAACTTCGCAGCGTTTTTCTTCGAATCTGTCTTTTTTGACATGGTAACGCTCCCTTAGGAAAATTGATAGGCATCTTTTCTAATAATGGATGGATAGAGAAATTTTCGTAGATTATTATGCAACATAAAAGAGCCCATAGGGTTTGCGCTGCCGAGAGATTTTAACTCAACTCGAAAATTTGTCGCTGCTAATTGTTTGAACCAGCTGGCAAAATGCCAATGTCAGTGGGCGTGTCCATCGACTTGGTTAATCATTCAGACTAGAGCGCAGTTCAGTGCTCAGTAGTGATCATTCTTCATTTCAGTCGCTCATCTTCACCTTCACCCCGCCGCCACACCCTTCTACGAGTAAATCACTCTAACAGTACATCAACAGCAACAATGCCGGCCACTACGGTAAGGGATACGGTATCTCATATGGCGCAAAATATCCGTTGATTAGTGATCCCTGACAGATTACGGTATTCGCGATTTGAACTCGCAAAGAGAGAGTTATGTATGTGCACGTGTATCTATGTGATTCAAGAGCGAGAGTGCCCGAGTAGAGAGAACGAGTTTTACCCGGGTACACCCGCCCCCCTTTTCCGACCACACCTAGACGTTTTGACAGGGCGTTACTCGTTCACAAATCAACTCTTTATTACTCATCATTTCCTGAGCAACCGCAACCCTATTGTATCTACCTGTCTCTCAACAATCCCAAATAATCTCCAGAAACATTTGAACAACTGGAACCCGACTCAATGTTGTTCACAGCATCGTTTTATTGTGCAAATAATCAAAACTGTTCGTGTTTTGTTTACGGCTTACTATTGTGCTTATCGTTTCTATTACAGGATAGCAGCTGTACGATGCCGGACAGTGCCGATATCCCGACTTCAAATAGGAAAAGTCTTATTGAAGAAAATCGAGCACTTAGGGAACATATCGATGAGATAATGAACGGTTCACGAGTTGTGAGTTTTTGAATCATTTTTATAACCTTAACAGAAAATTCTCGAACAATTTTCGATCAATAAGCATCAGCTCCATCTATAATACGGTCAAAAACAGCAAGTACTGGAACTGTGGAACGCTATCATAGCTGACTGGTTTCGAGATAGTTGCTTTTTTCTTTCTTTGCGCGCAATCCGTACAAAAATCACGACAAGTATTCTATTGGAATCAAAGTATTTCTGTGTTTCAGTTGTTATCTTCTTCTATAAGAGTGGCCATTCAACTAACATTTTCAATATGTTAAAAGTCATTTTGGTACTTTTGCTTAAAGTAGACCGCCTCTTCCCAGTCTTACATTATCTGTTTCTCTTACGTCAATAAAAAATGATTTCATAATTTTTTTTTCATCACCGTTATTTCAAGATTAAGCTCATTTCAATCAAATCAGTTTGTACGAAATATGAACTTATTCTTGATCCAAAAAATAATCGATTTGCAGAATCAATCTTGCTATATAAGTAAATTCTCGAAGTTCTGCAGCACTTCTATGTTTTCAATGAACTCTTGAGAACCATCTTTGCAAGAAAATTTCAATGTTTCGATTTTTCCTCCGTTCCAGTGAACCGGATCTACTTTTGTTTTCTTTTAACACCCTTGTATAGTGCGATTCACGACATCAAAAAATTGAGAATGTCCTTGAAGACCTTTATTTTTGGATTTTTAATTTTGAATTAATGTAACATCAGCACCATTGCTGGTTGACGGCTCACACTTTTTCGAGGAATTATGATTTATTATTGAAATTTTGCAAAAAAACTCTTCAACGCACATTTGTCACCTTTCATGGTATTGATTTTAGGAAGTGATTGAAAATCTACTTCGAGAAAACGAAAAACTTCAAGAAGAACTGAAAGAGGCGAAGTCGTATGTTGATCAAGTGGATGTCGAAGCAGAACAGGTTAGTCGACTGTATTCTTTATTTCTTTTCCAGATTGTGACTTGAAAATATTCGTTTTCTATCCGGCTTACTTGGTTCTTTGTCTTGATTTGAGTCATGCAAAGTTTGTTTGCTCAATGCGGATTCCTTTGGAAAATAGTTTACATGAAAAACTTGTATAGAAGTCTGGTCTGAGTCACCAGGGATGACAAATCAGTCGTTCGATGTGCTTGATTTTCAACATAACATTGGGGGGAAAATTGAATGATTTGGTTGAGAAAACGATAAACAAAAAAAAACTAGGAAAAAATCCTGCCTATGGAGCTTCTATGTCATTTTCCAGTACAAAAAGGATACTAAAAAAAGATATTACAAAACCCAATGTAATTCAATTGAACGACTCCGTAGAGACAAAACTAATAATTTTTTACTATACTTGTTGTATCATAACAAATTGTCATCGCACATAATGGATAGGTGTCTGGAATGTGAAGAAAATTCAAAAGTTCCTTCCTTCATTTTTCTAACACCTATAATATGCGAAGCAAACAAATTTGTCTTCGTCATAACAACATAGTTGATCTTCACTTCTTCCATCAATTTCAAATAAAATTTCTCTGCAAACTGATTCATTGGCTGAGCAAGGGCCTCTTTGTTTACTTTGTTCCTTTTTTCTCGGATTGAAAGGTGTCACCCACTCATCACCCACTCATTTTTTGCTATAAAAGTAAAAAGAAAATTGAGCGGATGATTTGGAGAAGAGCCAGAAAAAAGGCTTAGTGAATCGTTGTGATACTTTCAGCAATATACCGAACTCTCATCTGAAATAACGGAACTATGTGAACTGGTGGAAAAGAAGGACAACGAAATAAAAGCTTTAAAAGAGAAATTAGCTGAAATGAGCAAAGCAGTGGAGAAAAACAATGAAGTAGCCGAGCAGCAAAAGCAAACTGCTCAACGGCAAACGGAGATTATTGAATCACTAAGGTAAACACAAGGTTCAGCTGTGGAAGGAGATTATTTCTATTGTGAAAATTTATGTTTCAGGGACGAGTTGGACAGCGAAAAGGAAAAGTCTGTGTATTCAGCAAAAGAAAAAGAAAAAGTGCAAGAAGAATTGAATGCATTGAAGAAAACTGTGGAAACAGAGAAAGGGGACGCGCTTGCGAAGGTAGTTGGCCACTCAAGTTTTTTTTTAAAATTTGTGTTCGTTTTTAGAAATACAATTCTATTCTAGGATGTACTTTTGTCGATTGAATTGGAAGACATGCAGAGGGAGCTTGAGAAGCAAAAAGAGATTTTGGCAAGCACAAGTATCGCTCAAATTGCAAATAAGGTACGAAAAAAAATCAGTGATTTTTTTTTCCAGAAATAAATGCAATTTCACCGTGAACTGTGAAACTAAATTGCACTAGTAAATTACTAGCGTATGAAGAAGCTAGATTCTCAAAACATACAAAATTTTGGCAATTTAAAAAATTTTTTCTCCTGAAATAAATGCACTTTCACCGCAAATTGACAAAGTAAATTACACTAATACACAATTGCTAGTGTATGAAGAAGCTAGCTTCTCTAAACAGATAGGATTTTTGGCAATTCAAAGATATGACCAAGAAATTCATATTTTTCGCAAGGTTCAGGGCCTAATTGACAAAGAATACAAAAACAAAACTAAAATGAAAATATATAATTTCTGTTTCGATCCTGGACATTAAATCACCATCCTAATTTTAGTTCTTGATTTTTCTGGGAAAGCAAAATTTCCGATAATGACATAGACACAAGGCACATTTTCAACTTGTTTTCTTCTCTTTTCTCGTCTTATTTTTTGATATTATAATAATTGTTACAGTGGGAACGTAGAGTGCTGACCTTGGAAAATGAAATTCGAGAACGGGATATACTTATTCATACACAACAAAGCGTTATCAATGACCTTAAACGGACGATGAGAGAGAATAGTGGTGAGTTTAATCCTAGCTCCTGTATTTTTCTGGAAAAATCGATATCTATAATTAATCTGTAGTACAAATGATTTGTTTTGCTTTCAGGTCTCCTGCATAGCGGCGGTAGCAGCTCGGATTCATTCCAAACACGAGATAACAGCCCCTCTTCACGATTTTCTGTCGTCAAGTACATTCTGAGGTGAGCTTTGATCGAGCAGAAAACAGAAATGTTTTTTTTATTCCACTAGTAAAATAATATGTTACAGCGATGTAAACAGTCAACTAGCCAATGTTTACGCCATAGCACGCATTCTCGATCTCTCATCTCAAGAACTGGACTATCTGGAAAAAAGTCTCGAGAACAAACAAAACAAACGATATCTATACTGAAACACTGCCAAGAGTAGAATTACTGTAAATATTATGTGTGCTACTGTTTTTTACGAAAAATTGAAGTAAGTAGGTTGAACATGTGCCTTTTCGGGTTTGATCTTGATTGCGATTTCTTTACTTCGAGCTTCGATTCATCACCTTAGTACAGCATAAGTACTAAATTATGTCATCTACCGAGGCTCTCTATCAGACTGTGAGGTTGTATTCATTTGAGTTCGAATGAACAAACCTTTGTAAGCATCTTTATTTTTGTTTGTAAATGTGTTGCTCATTTGACAACTATAAAGTAAGTTTTCTTATGCGCGTTTGGAGCGCGGAGGAATTTTTTCACACTAAAGTGAAGGAGAAGATTATGGTTTTATAGACGCCAGATGGTCTTATTTTAGTTTTTCAGACATGTTTGCAAGTAATGGAATGATATCGTCGAGTCATGTGTAACTCAATATGTGTATTGCACTCATGCTAGCTACCCTATGAATGAACAGGATTGGCTGAACAGGATTGGCAACCCTGCAAATCAAAGGATACTTGAGGGCTTGTAAAATTGGAACCTGCTCATTTCCATTGATTTCTCCTTGTTTCCTTCTCTCTCTATTTTTTAAGCATGTATCAGTTAGTAACACAGATTACTACAGTTACGCTATGAAAGGTCTTACTGAGGAGTTACCAGTATGGATGTCGTCAGCTGCCGCACACAGTGTGCAGACTCACACATTACGTTACAAATGAATCGATATTTTTCTTTTCATTAGGGTGAGCTAAATTCTTTGCGCTACAGCAGCAGTGCCCAGATTCGCTCCACATCTTATATCCGCTTTACGAGAAGCTGTGGCCGAGTCCTGCAAATCCTGCGAAACTCGCTTATTCCGCGAACTGCGCAGGTCCCGCTAATTACACGAATCCCGCAGAAAAAAAATGGTCATTTCCATCGTCATGGGTGTAGATCTCTTCTCGCTGCACTCTTTCATTTTCGGAGATTTCTATAGAGCTTTATATCATTTATTTTGAAATTAAATTATCACTTTTGATAAGAGCATGTTTTCTAGACCTTATCCATTTGAAAGCTTGTTTCGGCGATTTCTTCCTTCTCTGGCAGTGTAACCGTTACTGAATGTCGATGTGGGAGGTCCGTCTCACTTGAGATTATGTCCGTTGGTGGACTCACTCAAAAAGAAATTTCTTCCAACCTGTAAATACGAAAAAGGTAAAATCACTAAAACCTGGTTTTGTTGATGTTCTTCTCGCTACAGGTGGTGGAGGTACCATAGCGTATTCTGGCAGGATTGAACGAAGAAAGGGATATACTCTGACGGCAGCATCTCGCATTGGAAAGACAAACCTTAAAATACCTGTTGTTGTGATTTTCTTGGAATTTTACGTAAAATAATTTCAAGATTCTTACCAAATTATCAACAACGGATGAAGGAAGGCTATAGCAAGCGGTAGAATTATGAAAGACAGTTCAAGAGCTATCAATATGCACTGGAAAATTACTCATTAGCACTGTAGGAGAGAACATTTGGCAGAAAGCCAGGTTCGAGATAAGGGCATCAATTTTGAAAATTTTCGAAAAATTTCCAAGAGAAAACGACAGATTACTGAAAAATTCACAAAAGGAACGGATTACACAGCTGATAAAAAGACACTATGAATTTCTCGTCAAAATCTAATATATTAGGTTGAACCGAAGGTTCTGTCGCACCATTTTCAAAAAATCATAACTTCTTTTGGTCACGACGGTTTTGCGCAATTCAAATTTTTTCTGAAAGCGTAAAGCATGTAGTTTCCAAAAGCCCCCTGGGGATTTTCCAACATGCTCAGATGGCAGAGATAAAAATGAAAGAACGAGATCATCCGAACTTCGGAATTTTTGAGCAAGAATTCCAGAAATTCAGAAACAGTGCGATAAAATCCAGAAAAGCCATTATCCTAATTTTTCTTACATTTGATTACTAACTGAGTCAAGTTTGTGCTGATCGAGCCCTTCTTTCAAAAGTTATGATTTTTTGAAAAATAATGCCAAAAAATCAATTTCCTAAGAATTCTTAAGAAATGGATTTTTTTGCATTTTTTTCAAAAATTCGTAGCTTCTGAAAGAAAACCTCGATCAGCACAAACTTGACTCAGTTAGTAACCAAATGTAAGAAAAATTAGGATAATGGCTTTTCTGGATTTTATCGTACTGTTTCTGAATTTCTAGAATATTTGCTTAAAAATTCCGAAGTTCGGATGATTTCGTTCTTTCATTTTTGTCTCTGCCATCTGAGCATGTCGGAAAGTTTTCATGGAGCTTTTGGAAACTACATGCTTTACGCTTTCAGACAAAATTTGAACTGCGCAAAACCGTCGTGATCGAAAGAAGTTATGATTTTTTGAAAATGGTGCGACAGAACTTTCGGTTCAACCTAATATAAAGAAATGTGAGCGCAATTCAAAAATCTGTGGTGGAGGGAACGAACACCTCAATTAGGCACCACCTCCAAAGACTACTGGTCCCAACGATGCACAACAGTAGGACGAAAGGATCAACAGCCCGCGAAGGCGGTCTTTAATCTCTAATTGGGTGTTCGTTCCTCCACCAAAAAATCTGCAAATAGCGGGAAACCGCGTGGCGGTCCCAGCACGCGGATGCAATCTAGCGCCTTTAATTAGTGGTTCACTAGTATAAGAAAAGAACAGAAATAGTTTGGAAAAGGGTCAGTACTATTTCCTTAAAAACATTGTATGCATGTTAACAAAGTGGAGAAAAACAAATTTTTCAGACTAATTGTTGTAGTTCGCTGAAAGTGTCTGCATACAACTTCCTTGAGGATCTCTAAATGAACACAGCTTTTAAAAAACATAAAACGAAAACGGGTTAAACTGACGAATTAATAGAGAAGTTACTTCCGTTTACACCTTTCCCAAAACCTGCTATGAATTCTTGTCACAATGTTGCTCTCATGCAGCCTTTTCAGATTTGGGACATACAAAATAAGAACATTGGCATAAAAACAACAAAAATTTGTAGCGGAAGAAGGAAATCATGTATTGAACTTGCAATGACTGACCTCTTCACAATTATCCGATACAACATGTCGATATAGTACAAAGCAACCAGAGAAAAATAGCGAGCAAAGCCAAATAACAGTTTCAATCAAACTGACATCTTTGAGCGATATAGTCATGCTTGCCAGCGAACTGATTCTGCATTGAGAAATTTTATAGTATTCTATGGAAAAAATCGACATTTCGAATAAAATTTTGACTTACTTATTTGATTGCCGACGAGCTGAGATAGTTATAATAGCCACGGATGAAGAATGGAGTATAATCAAAAGAGTTACGAGACAGAAGGCGAGGTCACGATCACGGAGTGCCAAGAGAATAGAGCACTGAAAAGAAGAATTGTCAGAAAAGGACCTTTTATTGATTGAGATTTACTCCAAGTAACGACACCACCCTAATATTAGGCAGCGACCAGAGTAGCCCGTGCGCTGGCGCTGTGCCGACATCGTTCCAGCGGCGTTCCAGCGCCGTGTCAATGCCGTGCCGCAATGCATACCAAAATATTTCTCACTGAATGATCTATGTTCAGGCACAGCGCTGGAGCTGGCGCTGTGCCTGAACAGCCGACTATGGACGCAGCCTCATGTTATGCTTGTCAGAAATTCATAAGAGACTTATAAAGATGTCTAACACAACGCAATAAAAAAGAAAAAGGGGTTTTTATTCAATAATATTTTACCTGTCCCATGTTTTCCGGTTCGATGTCATGATCGAAAGCTGTAAACAGTAATGTGAGAGCTATGCAGACGACAATCAACGCACTTTGCCATACTGAACATGTCGAGGTCCAGCGAAATGAATGATGATTTGGCCTGGAAAGAATAGTAAAGAGGGAGAGAGTAATGATAACAAAGGTAAGTTTTTTGCCTAAGAAATAGTGCAATAGGAAAGAATTTGTGTATGAAAACTTACTTCATTGGGGTTAGTGTTTGAATAGCGACGATACATACTAGCACAGCACCATGAATATAGCAAAAAAGCAGGGGAAACTCGTGCAGCTTGCAACTTATTGTAGTCACCTGAACTGTAAAAGGTGTAGAAAAACTGACTAAAGGACTGATCTTAGGTACTATAAGAGCATTTTTAGGCATTTTGATTTGATATAAGGGGTCGCTAGGGCACTAGGAAAAATCACTACACTGTTACTGTGCTGACTTAGATTTGGATAATTTCCTTGCACAGATCACCGAAAGCAAACTTGAAATTCATATTTGCTAGGTCCCATTTTATGAGATGTAAGCGTTTTTCGAGTCGAAAATTGGACACTTTGTTAGATGAGACGGGCCAGCGCTAAGTATAGCGTTTGAGTAAGTAATGGTAACCTTTGATTCAACTGGCTTGGCTTCAAATAGGCGGGGCTTTGTGACAATTGAAGCCGCTCGCGCCCACGACGTACCTGCGTCTCTCTCGCGCGAGTGCTCTCTGGTCATTACCCAGAATCAATTAGGTCACGAAGCCCCGCCTTCCCGAGCCAAGCCGGTTGAATCAAATGGTACTTAACATTTGAGTTTGTGACCTAATTAAGGCTAGCATCAGAGAGACCCGCGCGAGAGAGACGCAGATGCGTCGCGGGTGCGAGCGGCGTTAATTACGTCACAAGTCTCCGCCCTCCCAAAGGCAAGCGTTGAATCAAAGGTTACGATGGCGCAATTCCGATCTTTAAACCCGTCTTAAAGGTATTATTGTTTGTGAAATAATGAAGAGCGGAAAGGTTTTAGTGCTTTACACTAGTGGGGACCCCGACTGAGTGAAGCTCGAAGTTTCGCTATCAAAAAATGGCATCTGAAGCGAAAGAACTGTAAAATAGCCGCAGTGTCTCCTCTCTCAAAGGCAGTTTCCGGCAGATTTTGCTTTTTTTCCTTCCTACATGTTTTAGGCCTTTTCGACACCTAGAACCCAAATTTGAGCTCCAAACTTGGTGAACAGACGCCCCTCAGCGTGGCGTGAAGGTGACACTGGGTGTCGAACTGCGATGCACAGCCGAGTGTATACTCTCGTAGGGCCACCCAAGGTGTGAAGGAGTTCGACGTTTCGGTTCCGGCCGGATGACTAGCTAAGAGCCGGCCAGGCCAGATCCCCCGCCGTTTGGTTTCCGGTCGCTATGCGGTTCTCCCCGCTCCACCCTCAGCGATCGCCCCGTGAAAATCAAGAGTAGGCCCACTAAGTCTGCCCTTGTCGGGGAAAAATTTACCTTCGCCAGTTAGGAGAAGAGAAAGAAACCCTGAACATCCGATCCCGCCTACGGCACAGGGTGGTAGCAGAAACGATGTTAGGGTCCTCAGGGCAACCTTTGGGTAGGACAAAAACGATACGTCTGCCTAAACGACGCGCCATGGAGACTGCCTCATGCTCTGCACCTTCAACGCCAGGACAGTCTCCATAAACGCTGACCTCTCTTATCGATACCGCAGAGCAGATCAAGTACCACATCATCGCTCTGCAGGAAACGAGGATCAGGAAGAAGGACGTGCGACAGATGAATGACGTTACTGTCATTAAAGGCAGCGTCCAGGCAAGTCTGGACACATGGGGATCTCACGTGGATAGTAATTTTGGGGCCCCAACTAAGCCACTGTCCAATCGGCAGCTCAGTTAGTGCTCTAACTGCTGAGATATTTCACTCGAAACTGGACCCCGCGATCGTACTTTGCATGGATTCATGGCGCAAAGCGTGGGTTCTGGCGCGAAACCGCCATGAATCAAGGCGAATACGATCGCGGGGTCCAGTTTTGAGGGGAATATCTCAGCCTCTAGAGCACTACCTGCGCTGCCGCTTGAGCAGTGCCTCAGTTAGGGCCGTGAAAGTACTTTCCACGTAAAATTCCCATAGGTCCAGATCTGTCTGGACGCTGCCTTTAATCTTGGTAAGAAAGTTCTACCACGAAACATTGGCGTTGGTTTGTCGTAAACCCATCTATCGTCCATCTTGTGGATTCGCACAAGATCCTATCACCTTGAATAGGCATCCTACGACTACGACCTCCACGTCAGAAGACTATAAGCACCATCAACTTTCACTCCCCAACATCAGCAGCTGACGATTCAGAAGTAAGTTCTTTTTACGAAGAAATGGAGGAGGTCCTTTGCAACGAGAAGTTCTTCCATAAGTTTGTTGTGGGAAACTCAACGCGAAAATCGGGATGCCACTAGAAAAAGAATGGGGATCGCGAAGTTCGGATGTGGGTTCCGAAACCAAGACGGCAATCGTCTCGTTGGTCTATTCGCACGACTTTTTCATGGAAACTCCATCCTCATGAAGAAAGAAAATCGCGAGTGGACATGAGAATGGCCCACTGGAACGAGATCGGCCGCATCCTCACCAACCGAAAGTGCAGCTTGCTTGAGGTCTCAAAAGTTCCATGCTTCTGCCGTGGCTCCGATCACCTGGAAGCTGGAGAAGAAGGTCTGTCACAGTGTCGCAAAAGGAAGGGTGACGCCTATGACGGTAACAGGCTGGAAGAGCTCATATCAAGTTGTGACCGGCCCATCGAGGAGGATCCAACGTACGACTACGACCGGCTTCTGAATGGATTGCAACTGTGGAGAGTACTCCCCAATGACTTCGGAGAAGAACCTGGAACGCATTTCGAAGACCACCAAGAAATTACTTGAGAGAAGAAGATCTTTGAGGCAAGATCCGAATGTAACCCATCTCGAGAAACTGATTACAGGCAGACCACGATATTGGAAGCATCCGGAAGACGAAATCTTAAAAGTGCCGAAGGGACCTCGAATATCACTTGCCGCTAGCTGCACTATCAGACGAACACGGGACCCTGACTTTCCGATATAAGATGAAATCTATCGCGAAGAACTTCTATACCAACCTCTTCCGCTCAACAACACCCGTGCCATGCCCGTTGTTCCCACCGGGGAAGTAGCACCACGAATTTCTACCTGCTGAAGTGCGCACCGCGATTCAGACCATGAATGTTCACATCCTCACAATCATTCATTGCCGACCAAATATTATAGCTATATATCAGCTGGCAACGACAGAAATACTCACATGCATACAAGCACAGATCAAAAAGGCACATACACGAAACACCTGGAAGTCCCTCAAGCTACAAGAAATCATGGTTTTTATATGAAATGTGGCTCTGCTCCTTCTATATCGCTTCTCGACTATGAAGACATCCAGCTCCAAGACCAGACCATCTTTCCGTCGAACTTCTGCGAGCCGAAGGACAACGTCTAACGAAATTCTCGCGTCGCATCTAACATCTCACCTTCTCAAGGAAAGCCCGACCAGTGGAGACGTAAAAACCGTCCTTCTCTTCAAGAGGGGCGAGCGTGAGGATCTTCGGTATTACCGTCCAATATGCCTGCTGAGTGTGCTGCACAAGCTTTTCACGAAGATTATCCTCGCTCGCATATCTACACTGGATGAAGCCCAACCTCAAGAACAAGCTGGATTTTGCAAAGGCTTCAGCTGCATGGATCATAATCAGAGAATTTCGAGGCTCATAGAAGTCTCCGGAAAACCGAAAGCCTCTCGTTCTAACCTTCGTCGACTGCAAGGAAGCCTTTGACAGCGTCGAAATCAACGCCATCCTGTCAGCGCTAGCCGATCGAGGAGTGGACTCAGCTTGTAGACATTAGCCGACTGCTACGAGGACTGTGCAACGACGATGCAGCTACTCCATCGCCTCCCTGATCATCCAAATTGGGAAAGGGGTCTGACAAGGCAGTACAATTTCGTCAAAGCTATTCACCGCCTCCTTGCAGTGGGTGATTAGTCACTGGACTAGGACGAGAAAGGCATAGGACTTGATGGGAGATTCCTATCAAACCTTCGTTTTGCGGGCAAAATCGTTCTCTTTTCGAGCAGTATCAGTAACAGAGACGATGAAGAAGGAATTAAATGAAGTAGCGAAGAAGATCGGATAGCGAATAAAGAAGAAGACTGAAGAAGACTCAGTACAATGAACGCCCTTTGCCAAGATGCAGAAATAGAACTGGAAGGCACTTCTATTATGAAAACGTCTTCTTACGTGTATCTCGGACATTCTATAAACACTGAGAACGACTTGAGGGAAGAACTCAACAAGAGAAGAAGAGCACCTGGGCCGCCTTCTGGCCTCTGAAGGAAGCCACCGACCAGCTGACGAACCCGGAACTTTCATGCTTAACTGTTTGACTCAACCGTTTTCCCGACGCTCTGTTACAGCTAAGATTTGGGCCGACACTGTAGCCACGTCGAAAGCTCTACGGACCACCTTGAGCGCAGTCTTCTGAAGATGACCCGACGCAAGCAACATTATTCGGACTTCGCAATACGGACGTGAGAAGAATGTCCCGTCTTCGTGACCCAGCGGAATACGTTGAGGAAGCCAAACACTGATGGGCCGGTCACATAATGAGAAGAACAGACGACAGATGGACACTAAGAACATCTAAATGGATTCCTCGCGAAGCCAAACGTTCTCGAGCAAGACCACCGACGACATGGGCACGTGTTCGTGGAACGGATGGACCAGCTGAGAAATCAGCTGGATACGACTCTCGCCCCTGAAACTCGTGGACGCAGCCACCGACGACGACCAAGAAGATCGTGGATGTCCGAAGCGAGGGACAGGGATCACTGGAAACTTCTGTACTGGAGCCCACACGTCACTTGAGGACGGGCCGTCTAAGTACTTAAGTAAGTAAGTAAGAGAACGTTACGTTTACCCAATTTTCAAAAAGCAGTTCGAACGAAAGTTTCAATGGAGAGTTGGGAGACCTGCCACGAAAATCTTGCCGCCTGTGATTCTTGGGTTTGGATAGCATGCACAATGCAAGCGGTCGCAGGGCCCGCGCCGAACAAGTGAAATTGTCCGAAAGCGCGCCGATTGGGGTTGTGCACCTCGGTTCGAGGGCTACTTTTTCGACGCAGAGTGAGTGGAGTGACCTCGCTAAACCTCCACGCCGGAGTGGGTCTGGAGGTTTAGTGGGGTGACCGGGAACCCCACACAGCCACAATTTCACAGGGCACGAATCTGCTGGGAGACTGCCTCTAAAGGGGAGGTATGTTCTTTCTGAGCCGGCCCCCACCATTGCCGTACCGAGACCCGCCTCGTATTGATCGATTGACACACCCGCACGACGCTAGCACGGAGGTGGAAGGGCGCAAAGGCAAACTCTGGTTGCTGCCTAATCGCGAGTGGAATGGGTTTAACATAGACTCGCCAATATATGAATCCGAAGCAAATCACAGTTTAACTTTTAAAAATAGATAATCGCGTACCACGGTAAAACATGGCTTGTATAGAGCAACACCAAAGAATAAATTTCTAGCAAATTGATAGCCAGCCAGCAGCACGAAGTTCAACGAAACGGATGCCTTAATTTAGTTACTCCTATAATCTAGCACAGTACTATACAAAGTGTCAGAATTGGCTTACCAGCATTCGCCGTTGAGAATACGGTACTGGTACGGCATTGTGTGTAACTACGGTCATGATGCAGTTGGTGATTATTGCTAACACTGCCAATACTACCTCGAGAATATGCAGTGCCCTAAGAAAATTCATGATGGAATTAGCATCTAACAAATTTTATTTAACAACTCCTCAAAAAATTAAAATCGTCTTTAGAAAATCGACTCACCAAATATGTGGTTCTGTGAGGGTATCTGTGCATTTTGACAGGTCGACCTCGGCCTGCATCTCTGCTATCTTTCATTCATTATGGAAACTGTAACAGGCTAGAAGTTTCAAAGGAATGAGCAAAATACAGAATTCGACAACCTGAAATTTCGGTTAAAAACTCAGAGTATATAATCGCAATCCATTTAGGATGAATGTTTCGAAAGAATAGGAAGATTAATGTTTCAGTGATTCATAGTAAAATTCCTTCTTTATTTGAAAGGCATCAGATGTTTGAAATGGATGCAGAGGGAAGAAATAGGGGAGAGAGATGCAATAAGCAGTTCCATGCAAATTTTGGAAATAAGAGAATCAATAATAAGACATTGTATATAACTTTATTACAAATAAAGTAATAAAGAAAGAGCAATGTAGCATTAATTCTAGAAGTTTGCTTGTTTACCCTACCCTAGTTTCTCGAGACTTTTGCAGAACATTTGGCAATGACCACAGATTTTCTTGCGCGTATTCATTAAAAGGCAAAACAACCCTTTTTCTCCCTTATTGAGTACTTTTTTTTTTACCAAAAAATTATGAAGAAGGAATGAAAATGTTTCAATGCTTTAGCATTTCATGAAAAGACTGCAGAAAAAACTTGTAAAGTGTAAAAGAGCGGATGAACATACAAGAATGAATAGTGCATAAAAAGATTTTTCAAAAAAATTAGAATCCAAATCGCATATTCAGAACAAAGACAGTGGTTACTTCGAAAGATTGCAAAATTCTTAGAACAACATCACTGTTCCATTACCCAGAAAACTGAGTGAAAAGTTGAGAAAAAAGTAGCGAAATAGAATAGCAAAATTCGGTCACTCCTGAATGCAAAAATCATGCTGAGAGATAAAAGCATGAGAACAACTTTACGAACTTGCATGAAGCATAATAAAAAGCTTCTCCACTAGTTTTATATTTATTAGGTTGTAACAGAATTAATGCAGGTTTTTCATGCCCTTTTTTCAAAGTGCTGGTTCAGAATAGAATTCCATCGTATTAGAAAACTAGCATATCATCTGAAAGCCTTCTCCTAGTTTCTTGGACATGCTTCGATTTCGAGAGGAGTGGATTCATCTGAAAATTATGTGCCTTTGAAATCAAGAGGCTAAACACTGAAATTTCCTCTTTTTGAAGTTTTTGCTTTAAATTCACCGCAAAAAACTGAAAATTTATGCAAACTGGCATAATGCTTATACGTGCCCTGCACTACAGAATGCACGTTAGAGCAGAATTTTCAAAAGTTTCTAGACTGAGAAATTTCATTTCATACCTAAGCAACCGCTGCTATCATTCTGCGGCGTATAAAAATCCTAAAGATGGGACAGTTGCAGAGCTTTTGTCATATGCAGAAACAGTAGACATAGAACATTTGATAGCAAAAAAACCGAAAGCTGTTGTTCTCCTTGGCGGCAAGAAAGTCAAGAAAACAGCAAAGAACGACTTTTTCGCCTTTTCAAAGCACTTGCTAAAAATGACTAATCACAATTTTTTGCGATATTTTCTGTCACAAATTTTCTCATAAAATTCAAGTTCAACGCTGCTGTACAACCAGATATCGTCTACACAATGAGTGAAGTTTACATCGTCCTACTTGATTGTGTAGTAAGTTATGGTCTCTCAAATTAAAGATTTTTCAAGAAAACTTTTGGCAGTTTTAGGGTTATAAAATTTTTCTCAGTGAAGCTATCACGACATAGTAGTAGTGTGTACTAAATTGAGAAAGATTTGCTGATTGCAGTAGTTTTTATTGGAAACGGATTGACTATTTCTATGAAAAGTTATAATAGTCCAAACTCAGAATTTGGAAAACCTGCATTAATTCTGTTACAACCTAATATATATCAAATACGCTCAAAGCACAAGGAAAACGTAACCAGTATGAAGACAACAGGCAATAAAGCATTAGAAGAAGAAAACACAGATTAAGTCATCTCACGTCGAGTCACTTAATTCACGGGCAAGAATAATAGAAGGTTGGTCCGTGAGTCCTGCATCAAAAAATATTTGAAACTCGCATATTAGTTTGAGCAACTTTTGCAATTATATCAAGTACTTTTTGGCATATAGCAGGCCTTTCATTTTGCTATGCATACTAGAGGTTATTCAAGCTAAAATTAATACGTCGTGTTTGAAAGGAAAAAATCATGGCTAATAGCACTGATAATAGAAACATACAAACAGCGCTTTAGTCAAAAAGGGTACGTAACAAACACGGAGTAATATCTAGCAGTATTCACGGACAAAATTACTATTTGGTTTCTATTCATCATATTTCGCTGTGATGTGCTAACAATTCTTCCTCTAACTATTATTTAAAAAGCATAATGTTTTCTCTCTAAGATATATTTGACAGCGCAAAAACATTGAAAACGGAAAGAACTTACGACTTTCAGAAATTTTGGTGCAAGATATGGATCAATCCGCATAACATGTGTTCCAAAATTTCGAAAAAGTTTAGGTTGAAACTCAACAGTGATATGAAGGCACACATGGCATCATTTACCGTGGCTTACGATCCCCACTTACAATAATTATATAACGTTTATTAAAAACTATTCAAAATGACTTCTTTTCTCAATAGTGCATTAACCCATTGGGGGGGGGCAGCCAACATGAACGATAGATTGTGCCAGCCATATGCGTTGCGTAGGTCAGATATTTTCTGGATTCTATAATTACGCTATGATGATATTCAAAATTTTGGTAAAAACGCTGGGAGCTCGGTACCGCCTTATTCTTACTGTTCGACACCATTTTCAACCCAGTGAAGAGCATATCGCTTCAAAAAATAAGATTTTAGGAGCGGCATATTGACAACCGCACGAGTACGGTATGCTTATTTCCAGCTTCATCTTGGCATACACCCAACCCATTGACGACGATGTCTAATTCTGCATGGCGACGCTGTGGGACGACGCGGTATTGCACAACACTTGTGTGAATTTTTTTGTGGTTATTCACGAGATGTAAGCTGTAAACGTTTTCTTGGACGACGGCGTCTATAGGTTTCAAGAGCCCCGCAGACCGTTCAAGTGCAAATATTAGGAAAGACCTGGAAAGGATATGTCTTTGCAAGACGTGGGCCAACGGTGGTCCACATGTCTCTGAGCAAAACGTGCGTGGGCCGCTCGTGGATCACATCGTCGTAAATGAGTTGAAGACGATTTCAACTTAGCAGTTAATATGAGGCTTAGAGCATACTTTCGATTCAAGGTTTCGTCATACAAATATAATCCAAAACGTTACATTAAGAAGTTCGAATCTTGTCTCTTTCCTTTTTTTTATATAGTCGAACTATACCTTTTCTCAAATCCTATTTTACAATAGTTTTCTTTGAACAGAAGGCTATTTTTTCGATTAAAAGAGAATGATCAATCCAAACTAGCAAACTTTCTTGATAATCGTTTTGAGACAAAAAAATTTTGTGCCAAAGTTTATCAACGTAATATTGGGACACATGGTATTAGGGTGTCTCATAATTTGCCGTTTTTACTGGTCGTACTTCTGTATGTATGAGCTATATGATTACATGTGTAAGAGGAGCCCAGGACCTCTAGGGGCGGAGTTTGCCATTTTTCCATTTATTTTTTCAATTTCTAGCCATGGAAAAAGTGCACAAATGAATGTTCGATGTGTCAAGCATATGTTGGGATAAATGGTGGATATTTGAGATTTTTTTGGGGCAGAGATACGATTTTCCACGGTAAACTTCTTTTCGACTACTATCAGATTTTAGCTCAAAACTTCACCCCGAAATACGATTTGGGCAGACTCTTGATAGCCATCTTGTAGAGCTTGCTTTGTCCTTTCGAATGGTTACCCAAGCCACATAAATTGAAGAAATGATACAAAAAGACGACGGTTGTAGTAAAAACGTTAAAGAATTCAAGACACTCTAATATTTCTAACAAAAAATTTCTCACCACAGCGCGATGTTTCCCAAGAATTTTTCACGAACGTAATCGGCTAGAGAAGCAGCTCTGTTGTTGTAGGGTGTAAAATCTCGAGCGAAAACATAGTTTGTAATGGCAATCAGCGTTTAATCAGACGAGTATTGAGCGCGGGTTGAGATTCGGGGGGACGGGGACGCGGGCGGGGAGTGGCTAACTAGTGCCCCCCGAGCACGGCCGGCTCGACCACATTTCCGGACTCCTCCCTCTTCCAGTGACGACACTGCAATACAATGACACGCTATCCGCTTTGCATGGCAGAATTAGTTGTTCCCCTTTTAGGGCCCAAGATCTATTGTTCGGGGATATTTTTCAGATTTTTGAAATCCCTTGCAATAATTGGCGCGAATTCTCGCGGTTGCAGGATGAAATTTAATCCTAACAGAATTTGTTTTATTTGGCTCGTTTGTGTCACATAAATCCGCAGAGAAAGTGTACGTGTCCGCGCGTTCGCGAGTACACATTTGGGAACTGCGCCAACGGGCAGCTGCTGATTGCAAGCAGGCGTGAGAGAAAAAAACAATCACTAAAGGAAAGCGGTGCGTAGCGAATGTGGACGTTTTGCACAGAGTTTCCAAATAGTTGGGATTTTAGTCCCCCGCTTTTTTATCCTGTACTACCATGTGTCAAAAATTCCGATGACAAACTTAAACCGAAATTTTCTTGCAATAGAATATCGCAAAAGTCTGGTAACTTTGGTAACCTTTCAAAGATCTCTGCTTCCCTTTTCTGAATTATGCTATCTTGCTGCATAAGTTCTGTTTCATTTGCTGTTTCCAAGTTCAAAATATTAACTTCTTACCACAGTGTGGAGATTTTCTCAAATATAACCCCCAAACCGGATAGTGTCAAAACAGATACAAAAATTATCATGAAATATCGTATCCTTTTGGCAATCATATTTTAATTTCTCATTTTTTCCACTATACATATTTTTTAGGTCGATATATCGGCTAGCTGGGATCTCAGGCTTGACCGCTGGGCTAAGGATTCTAGTAAAATTCAATTTGTATTAGAAACAGCAACTCTTTTTTGTTAATACCGATAGTATCGCATTGAAGATGAAGATCCCTTAAA